ACTCTAAACCCAGGCCCAAGGCCTTGAGGTTGAAGGGTTTAGGACTACAACAGACGGGCCTTATAATCTGACTAGGGTCTTGGAGTATGGTACTACTATACCAGAATAAAGACTCTCAGAGCTCGCATGAAGAATTACTCTGACTTCTTTTTTCATGTATTTGTCTTTTCGGAGGTCCCTTGGTAATGCATTAACATCGGGGGCTGGCGCCTTCGGCGCATCCCTCACGGAATCTCATGGGTGCACGTCTCGAGGTTTCACGGAGCTCCGACATTTCGGAGGATCCGTGCAGGGCCTACGGGACAATGAGCGGGGTATGATTTACTTATAGACTAATGCCAGAAGCCGAGATAACTGCCACTGTTTTCCGCTATTCCGTAGGGCTCTTTTTTCAATACTACATTAAACCCCCAAGTCCTATCCTGATTATCCAGGCCCTTATTCTGAAAAGGATGCAATAAATTCAGTAGAAACCCTTATGGCACCGTTTGAAGGAAATCTGAAGGGAATCCTATTCCAACATTCGGAGCCCTACTTAACCGAGAAACTCTCATGTGACAGAGGGCCGAAAGCCTCCACCTTCGAGACGTACCCACGAGAGCTCCGTGCAACTCTGGGAATGTTTCCAAAGCCAGGGTTCGGGGCTTTAAGGACCTAGGGTTCTAACAAGCGTCTGGGAGCTTCGGGCTTTGGGGCTTTAAGGGTTCAGGGTGTGGGTCTGCTTTGGGTTTCGGGTCTAACATTTGGGAGTTTCCGAAAATAGGGGCCCCTAATATAATACCCTACATAGTAGGATCCTTATTATAAGGACCCCCAAATATGGTACCCCTAATTTTTGGAAAGTCCCATTTGGGGGTCTGGGGCTCCACGGTCCCAGGATCTCTTTTGCGAGTCGCTCACTTTTGAAAACAACTTTGAAAGGCTCGTAGTAAGGTTCCACATGGGTGGTCCAAGCTCCTCCCACGGTTGACCCCAAATCCAACAGCCCCTCAACCTTGTCATAGTTTCATGTATTTAGCTTTTCTATACAGTACCATATGCATTATGTTCTAATGTACTATACTATATGCAAACTTGTCCTAGAAACCACTACACCTGGGAAGTCTACGACCACAAACGTTCCTTTTTTTGTGCAGAACTTTCGCATGCGAAAGCACCAACAGAAGGAAACAGGCCACACTGTGTCGAACGAGCCGTACAAAGACACACCTAGACATACACTCTCACAACCTTTTCAAATCCCTGACCACAGAACCGTTCGGAAATCTACCATGGGGGCCTTAATGCTTAGAATAGGTTTTTGGGGCCCATTATAATATACTTATCATAAGGAGCCCCCAAAATAGTTATGTAGGTAACTATTAAGGCCCCTATAATACGGATCAAGAAACAAGCAAGAAGCAGTCCCAGCCCACGTATTCCCAAGCATCGCAAACAAACAGTAGATCGAAACCGTGCATCCCAAACATAAATCCAGCATCCTACCAAGCCCTAAATAAACCCCAAACCCTCAACCCTAATCCCAAACCATTAAGAGCTGAACAGTTATCACAACCCTTGTAGCAAGCCTTAGTTGCGCTGCTTGGTAGTCCTACATCCCCCCAGCCCAAAACTCGTATGCCTTAAGGGTTACGGGCTCAGGATTGTAAGCCCAATCCCCGAAACCATTGTGTGAGATAGGGCTTAGGAAAGTTTAGGGTGTACTTAGAGGCCCAGGGGACTTAGTAAGTAGGTTATAAGCAGAGTTATAAGTACCCCAAGTGGAGTTACCCCAATTATAACCCTACTTATAAACGACTTACTAAGTCTCCTGGTGTAGGGTGCAGATCTCGGATCCAGCATGAGTTGAGCCATTCCCGGCGCAGGTTTCAGCTTCTTCCAGTGAGTCGACTTCTGTCGCTATCAGAGATGAAGCCAGGAACCTCCTTGGCTCATGGTGTTGACTTCTGGGCTCAAGCTGGTTAGGTTTAACATAGGAGCCTGATTAACACTCCCCGGATTTCTACTAGGGCTCCTAAAATGCATCCCCAGAAACAAGGGTTAAAGGGCCAGGGTGTTTTAATCAGGTTCGTACCTTAAGTTAAGGTACATTAAAGCCTCGATTAGTGTAGGGTCATGACCCGCAGTACAAGGGTTTAGGGGTTTCGGGTTTAGGAGTTTAAGGTTTAGGGTTCTGTAACACACCAGGAGCCAGCACCCCATTCTCTGTACTGTGATATTGGAACCTGCTATTGTGTATCACACAGCTTAGGCAGAAGCAATCTCAACACCCCTCTGTCCCCGTACCGCGAAATCCTCAACCCTAAACCCCAAACTCACAACCCTAAAACCCCAAAATCCTAATCCCTAAACGCTAAACCCCAAACCCCTCTTCCCCCCAAGTAATGCAAGGGCCTTAATCATTAGAATACGGTTTTGGCGGTAGATTACACTATAGTTACACCAAAATAGTATAGGTAATTATTAAGGCCCCCGCAAGTATAGGGCTTTGGTGGTATATCACACTATAGTTATGATAAGGAATCCCCCAAAATAGTATAGGTAATTCTTAAGGCCCCCCTCAAGTGTACATCCAGGTCGCTGGTGCAAGGATCTCCATCGGAGGCTGACTCGAAGATCGGAGGGTCACGCCTTGCTCTGTCGCTTTATTTGGGGTCCCTCTAATAAGGATCCTACTATTTAGGGTACTATATTAGGGTCCCCTACGTTCGGGAAACTCCCACTAGACCTAAGAGCAACCTATGAATAAAAAGGGTGCCCTTTTTGGCTTAAAGGGGTTTATAAGGGAATCTAACCCCTAAAAAGGGAATAAGGGCCTACTCTGGGTCCTAGTTACTATACTATTGTTGATGGACAAAATCCTACATGACTTCAGGGACTCTAAACTATGGGAACCATGGTATAGGCTATAGGGTTTTAATTGGCAATGCAGGATTTTGTCCATCAGCAGTATTGTGGGGGGGGTTCCTTATTTCATTGTAGTATAATATGCCCCAACACCCTGCTCGAATTCTTAAGGCACCTATACTATCGCTTTTGGGAACTTTCAATGCTCCTTCTTGGCTGACTTCTGAACCCCTCCCAAAAGCTAAACTTTTAGCCTCCTCAGCATGGTTAATATGGAAACCCAAAAAGTTAAAGTCCAAAGAGCCAACCAGAAGAACGCCAAGCCTTTATTGGGTCCCTTGTAGGGTTCCCTGCAATTTTCGGAGCTCTAAGGGTTTCGGGTTTGGAATTTAGGATTCAAGGTTTAAGGGATTTAATAAAGGCTTAGGGTTCAAGGATTTTAACGTTCCGGGTTTAAGGATTGAAATCATGTTCCGCCAATCAAGGCCGAGAGTTCAGGGACAGTACCAAATCTTTTTCGGATTTTCATCTCATTTTTTGCTTACCGGAAAAGTTGGAAAGTGAGGAGTTCCGGGGCGCATGGCACTGAAACCCAATCTTCCAACTTTCCGTTGTGGGGATTCCGCAACCCGCATAGCTTCAAAAACAAAGGCGCAAGCCTTTTTGTGCGATCTTCCAAGTCCTCTTCTCCTTCGCAAGCACTGCATTTCTTGCCTCGCAACGCCCCGCCGCCCCGCATCTCGGAGATGCCACCCCGCACCCCCCGCATGCCCTTAATCCTACCTGTCGGGTATCATGGGGAACTAAAGGTTAACCCTTTTGGTTATATTGGGGTTATATAGGAACTATACTACGCAAAAAAAGATAAAGGTTACCTACTCTACTACTAGGTAATTGTGAGGGCAAGCATTCATGTAGTGCGTGCGCCTTCTCGATTTGTATCAACATCGCCCATACACATCTGCCACCCCCGGGCACACAACCGAAAGACAAGGTTAATCCCAAACCTGGGGTGGGGTAGGGTGAGGTGGGGTGGGGGCTGGGGGGGTGGGTGGGTGGGTGGGTTCGCGTGCATGGCAAGCTTCCGCCTCTCGCTTTCCGTGTGGTGTGCTGGTTTGCATGTCAGGGATTAGGGTTAGGGTGAAGACCTTCAAGCTCAGGGCTTGTTTTGGGTTTAGGGGTTTATCAACCTTCTAGAAAGGTTTAAGGTAAGCCCTCAAACCTCTAAACGTCTCGACACGAGGCGCTGAACCAGAGCATCTTACAGCTCCCAACCCTAAACCCAACACCCTAACCTCTAGTACTAGTCCTTGTAAAGATCTCCTACAGTATGCCCCCCAAACCTCTGAATACTACTCAGGTGCCTACTCTGGCTAGACCATTAAATTAGTGTAACCGTTATAGAGCCATTTCTAAAACCCCATAAAGCCCTTGTTGTAACCCTTAAATAGCAATCTAGATAACCCTATAAAGCCTTTATTGTAACCCTAGTAGAGCTGTTTGCGGACCCCTGTTTGTATAACCTTGTCGAAGCCCTTGCCTTACAGAGCCATTCGGGTAATTGTCAAAATTACAGTCCCTTCTTGGGTACCCTAAATAGTAAGAGCAGTATCATATCAAGGACCCAAAAAGGGACCATAGTTTTTACGACCACCCATTCGTAATACCCTACAACCAGAGCCTCCGAAACACCTGCAGTAAGGAATCTAAATACTATCTTGGGGGCTCCTTGTTATCGTTATAGTACAATTGCCCCGAAACCCTATTCTTATTTGTATATTATGTACATTAAGTTCCTTACTGAACCCTTATAATCGTCCTTATAGATCCCTTCAAAAGGAACCCTATTCTAACTGTTAAGGCCCCGATAGTACACCCTAAGGGTCCATGTACTCCTATAGTATATACATTGACCTTAATGTAGCCCCTATATAGGTACTTTGCGGCCCATGTATCTCCATATGGGTACATGGACCCTTAAGGACAGCTCTTTTAGCAACGACCGCAAGCAAGCTGCTTTGGTAATCTCCCATAGGCTCCATGGTAGTTCCTTTTTGGGATTACCTTATCGGATCCTAATATGAACCACCAAAAGGAACCACAGTATATGGGTACATGGACAGCTCTTTTAGCAACGACCGCAGGCAAGCTGCTTTTCGTCGATGACGTAGAGTTCCGGGCCGCCTTCGCTTCTTTCCAGGCGTGTTTTAAGGCTCCTTAAAGGGATCGTTGCAGGCTTCCTTAAAGGGGCCTAGTGTTTATTTTAGGGTTTAGGGTTTATTTTGGGGTTTAGGGTACAGGGTTTATTTTAGGGTCTAGGGTTCCGAAACTCGTCCTGAAAGAGGGTTTAATTGATTCGAGGTTGTGGGCTGAGGTAAATCCATGTATGGCTCTTCTAGAAGCTAGAACCGCTGCGAATCGTGCCCCTCATCAGCCCCTATATGGTTTGCTAGCGGTGTCCTCCAATACCCAGTTCTTCTTGGAGGCCTAGGGGACTTAGTAAGTCGGCTACAAGTAGGGTTACAGTCGGGGTAACTCCATTTAGGGACTTATAACTCTACTTATAACCTACTTACTAAGTCCCCTGGGCCTCTAAGTAGGAGGTTGATCCCTGGCGAGGGGCCTGCCACCTTTACCTTAAGCCCCAAACCCCATCATTGCAAACAACGAACCCAAAATCTGAAAATCCCTTTAAACACCTACCGCTAAGCCTGAAACAGCCCTCCAAACCAAAAAATCCTCCAAACCGTACAACAAACACCAAAACCTATGAACGATTTATTATGTCCTACAAACCCTACAAACCCCCTAAAGCTTGAATCAAACTACACCGCCCAGACCTTGAAGATCAAATCGTGAAACCGTTTTCATGCCCTGAGCCCAAACCCCCAAACCCAAACCCCCACAAGCCACTCACTTCCACCTCCAGCCACCTGCCTTGCAGCCTGCACCCACTTGCTCTCCAGCCACCTGCCCTCCCATCGATCCTCTAGCCGCCTTCGAGCCTCCTTATCTTCAGCCACCACCACCCACCAGGCACCAGCCGCCAGCCACAGCACCAGTTGCAACGTAGCAGCCACCAGACCACGAGCCAAGCCCCACCGCTAGCCCAGCCACCTCTCCACCTAACTCGCAGCCACCATAGTACATTGTAATAGACTAAAGTATGCCTAAAACCCTTAAACCCCTAAACCCCTAAATCCTTAAAACCCCAAATACTATAATATATGCTTCAACTAAAGAGCTCCCGGGCCTTCTCCGCGCTCTCCGCCTTTGTTTGCTAACCCAAAATAGTAGGATCCTTATTGTAAGGACCCGCAAAACAAGGTACCACGTAATTTTCGGAAACTCCCAAACAGCTCCGGCCTTCTCCGCTCTTTCCGACTTTTTCTGCCTCTGTCGGATCCTTCGCCGCGCTTCCGCGAAGATGCCCCGACGTGCGGCGAGCCTCGGCGCGAGGATGCGAAGGAGTTCCTTTAAGGGCTCCTGGATCCATAGGGTTTAGGGGTTTAGGGGTTTAGGGTTTAAGGGTTTAGGGTTTAGGGCTTGGGTTCTGTAGGGTTCGGGGTTCCTTTAAGGGACAAGGGTTCTACGAAGGTTCCTTTAAGGGCTTCATTCAAGGATCTTGTAAGGGCTCCTGTAAGGGGTCCGCACGCTTGATGATATAAATCCTAGGGTGCCTTTGAAGGGATCTATAAGGGCACCGTTAAAGGGTTCCTTTAAGGGATCTAAAGGGTTTTGGGATATAGATCATGCATTGTCCATAATTAGGCACATACCATAACTCCCATAGTCTAGGGTCATCAAGGTGTTGCAGGACTTGTATCATCAAGGGTTCAGGGTTCCTTTAAGGAACAAGGGCTCTATGAAGGCTCCTTGAAAGGCTCGGTTAAGGGATCTATATCTATAGCGGCTCCTTCAGGGCTCCCTTTATGGCATCTTTGGGGTTGCTTGAAGGCCTCCACGAGAATTCTGCAGGGTTTAGGGTTCTAGATCGTGGTGGACTTATGAAGCCACCAGGCTTCCTTTTAGGGGGGATTTTGTGGGGTTGATCGGGTTCTTAAAGGGATCCTTGACGGAATCATCCTTACAGGGATCTAATTCAATCCAACATAGAGGCCTCATCAGGGTGAGCAGGGTTCAAGGACTACGGATCGAGGCTTTTGGGGCTTTGGGTTCAATATACATGCCTGTATACCTGCTTAACTACTAGACCCAAGAGTAGCATAGGAATAAAAAGGTGCCCTTTTTGGTTTAAAGGGGTTTATAAGGGAACCCAAACCCTAAAAAAGGGAATAAGGGCCTATTCTGGGTCCTAGTTAATTCATGGTATTCTTGTTGTCGGCTCCTACCGACCAGCAGGTTGCGACACTCTATTATCAGCATTCACCCCGAAGACCCTTAGAGGATCCTTTAAAGCAACCCTTCGGGATCCCTTTAAAGGAACCCCTAGGGTTTAAAGTCTTGGACAACGTAAAGATCGGCCAGCTGCCATATCGTGTAGCGCCGGACGATGTCCCAGAGTTCTGGACAAGATTGGCGCCGCCGCTGGAGAACCTGAAAGAACGTGTAGAACACCCTGTGAGATCCAATCTTTAAACCCTTACTAGGACTTACAACATAGACATAGCCCATCGGCACAGGATTCAGGTGTTCGAGTTAAGGATCTTCTCTTATTGAAAAAGCGACTGCAGAGACTACCGCAGGGCCTATATAATGAGTGTGTTTCCGGGCGCAGTCAACGTCGGGAAATTTTAACCCTGAACCCTAAACCTTACTTCAAGCCCTAAGCCCTAAACCCCCCAACTGCCCTTTAGGATGACCTAAACACCCTCTATCTAATAAGGGCCATAAGGGCTCCATTGAAGGCTACTTGGGGGGTCCTGGTAAGCCCTAATCGTTGGTTTCAGCCCTTGGTATACATGCTTCCCTAGGATGCCCAGTAACCTAGAAATAAAAAGGGCTCCTTCTTTGGTATACGGTAACTTTATAAGGAACCTAGGACTACGAAAAGAGAATAAGGGTACTGCTGGGCATCCTACTTCCAGTTAGGACCCCTCCGCTGGGCTTCTGGACAGGCCTGCAGCTTGCATCTTGGGCAGCATCTCGCGCTTGGGTTTAAGGTTCAGGGTTAGGGGTTGGGTTTTTTTTTGGTTCAGGGTTTTAGGGTTTAGGGCTTTGGGGTTTAGTGGTTTAGGGCTCGGGGCTTGGATGGCTTTGGCTTTAGGGTTTAAGATTCAGGTTATTTGGGTTCAGAAACACACAGTCACTATACGAGCCGCTACACTCCCAAGTATGAAGATCATCACGCTTGTGTGGTGCCTCTCTCATTGTCAAACGACATGACGGCCTTCATGAAGTCGTGGTGCCTCTGCCCATACTACATCCCTATAATAGCCCTTTAGGGTAGCCTATAAGGTTAAAGTAGCCCTTGTAGGCAGCCTTTAAAGGAACCTTTTTCGGGGCCGGCCTGCATGAAGTCGTGGTGCGTGAGCGACAGGACTTCGCAGTAGGTCAGGGCGTAGCCGGTCCTCGGCTGATTACTCCCCCAAAGGGGTGCTTCCCTTAACCCACCAGAACCTGCTTTTGTGCAGGCAGGGTCTCTACAAATTCCACAATAAGGTTTAGAATAAGAACCTACAAAAAACTAGGGTTTGGTAGCTTAAAATAAAAATCCTACCTTTAAGGGTCCTCAAAAGGGATCTGTTTAGGGTTACTAATTATAAGGGTCTTACTACGCTAAATGCTTCGCTCCTCGTATGACGCCAGAAATTTTTGAAAGGCTCAACTCCGCCAAACCCAACTCCGAAGTTGTAAACCGAAACCCTGCACTCCTAAGCCCTACCTGGTAGCCGAGAAGACCTAGCTTTTTAAGGTACTTTTCTATAGAAACCATAAGAAGGAACCCCAAACAGGTAGGTCTTTCCGGCTACAGGTAAACCCTACCCTAGACCCGTAATCCCGAAACGAAGACCCCCTTAGACCCCTGATCCCGAAACCCCGAAACCCCAAAAACCCTAAACCCTGAACCCGAACTTCACCAAGTGTCTGCGTGCGGATCAAGGAGACGTCCGACAAGACGAAATCTTCTCCCCAGACTTCTCCTTTTCGGATACTGCTCGGCTTCCTTTTAGGGTTTAGGGTTCCTTTTGGGGTACTACAATAGGGTTAGATGTTTAGGTGGTCTCCCAAAGGGTCTACGGTTTAGGGTTTAGGGTTCCTTTTGGGTACTAAAATAGGGTTTAGGGTTTAGAGGTTTAAGTGTTCTCCTCAAGGGTCCAACTACGAGCATAGTAGCTACCTAGTAGATAATTGACCCGCAAAGTATATCCCACGGTTGACGATATAAATCTTGCAGTATCTTAAGGATCCTAAACTCTGGGAATTATGGTACATGCCTTATTATGGGTAATGCAGGATTTATATCATCAACCGTTGGACACTTTGGGTCGTTGAGGTGTGGAGGTTTAGGGTTCTGGGGTCTGAGGTTCCGAAACCCGAAACCGTCATTGAGCTTTATGGCCATGTCAAACAGGGCTTGGAGACTGAAGCCCCAATCCGCCCAACCCCATGGAACAAGGCTTAAGAGCTTGGGGTTTAGGGGTTTTTGGGATTGGGGCTTTAGGTTAGCTCTCCAGTTCAAAAGATGTAGCAAGAAATTGGAAATTGCACAAGACCTCTGATGTCGAAAGCATGTAATCAAGCAGTATACCTTCGTTTATAGAGTAACCCTTGAAATGATTTTGGAAATATTACAGAAGCCGGTAGACAGGATATCACTGGCTTCGAGTTTTGAGATCCTTGAATTGTTTTTTCTATTAGCCCTGAAAAAGTAAGATTTTGGGGCAACATGCAGTGCTTAGGGCTTCGGGCGGCCACATTTCCAACCTGCTCCTGCTATTGTTGTATCATCCCTTGCCCCATCACGTGTCAATTCGTATTCCCAGCTATGGCATGCCCGAAAGCCTCTACCACCACACTACGGTTGATGATCTAAATCCTGCACTACTTAAGGACCCTAAGCTACGGGAAGTATGGTATATGCCCACCACCACAGCAAAACACAACAAAACCCCTAAAGGCGCCAAAACACTGAAGCCCTGAAGCCCTAAAACCTCCCTAAATCCAAAAAACTCTAAACCCCAAACCCTAAACCCCAAATCCTAAACCCTAAAGCCCTAAATCCAAAAAAACTCGAAAGGTCGCAAAACCTGAACCTCCTCACTGCTTTGCCGAGTCTCCAGGTGCTTTGAAGCCATACTTCCGACTGTGATCGTCCGTGAAGATGTGGCTCTTATGGCAGAACCTTAGGTTTAAGGAGGATTTAGGGTTAAGGTGTCTAGGGATTAACTATAAATAACATCACAATGATGTTATGAAACAGCTGTCTTGTAGTATTTGGGTCTCCTGCTGCGAGGCTGCGGACATACACCCTACGCTAAGTGTCGGCAGGCAGCACGGCCAGCATGCCCCGCGAGAGGATGAAGAGGACCTGCGTGCAACGCACAGGGGGGCGGGGGGTGGTCTTGCACCAGTCTTAATTTCGTGGGCCTCGTCTGGGGAAGATGCACGCTTGCGCAATCTGAAACACAACCCAGCTTGTGCCCAGAGACTCCAAGATCCCTTAGTTAAGGAATATTCCTTAAACCATATTTGGGGTCCCTACTATGATTTAAACGATATGTTCCTTCAATTAAGGGATATTGGAGTGTCTGGGTCGGTCCATCGGTGGGTGTTCTTTGCCAGAGGCGAAGGAGCCAGACTTGAAGGATGCTTGTTGACCACCATCCTCTGAGCATTCTTTTGCCCCACCATCTTTTCGTATCAGTAATAATGTTGATGGACAAAATCTGCATTACCCATTTTAAGGAAGATACCATAATTCCCATAGTTTAGAGTCCTTAGGGTCATGCAGGATTTTGTCCATCAGCAGTAGTAATTAGTTATCGAAATAATAGTAAGTCGTAACAAGGAACACAGAAATTATCATAATCGATTAGGGCTCCTCGAAAGTACGGGCTTTTTTTGAGGGCTTCAGGCTGCTTGAAAGGTTCAATAATTGTACAGTGCCTTGGCTTCGAGGATTTAGCCAGGCCAGGACACCCGGACCGAATCCGTGATCCAATAAAAGCCCTATAGCAAAGCCCTTCCATCATCTCTGGACATTGTATGAAATTCCTGGGTTTAGGGTTCTAGGTTTAGGGTGTAAGGAACATGGATGAGAATTGAAGTGCGAATGTATCATCAGAACGGCAGACTTTATCATTGGGGCTCCTGTACCAGAATCCACCAAGCTTAAACCCTAAGCCCTAAGCACAGCCCCAAACCCTAAACCCTTACCTGGACCCCAAAGAACCTGCCTGTTTAGGGTTCGCTAATGCGATACTATATATATATATATATATATATATTTATGTATATATACATCCTTAAAAAAGGTAAGCTATTTGGGGATGAGGTCGGCAATAAGCGATAAACCCGAGACTCCTGAACCCTCAAACGCCTATACTACCCTAAACCCGAAAACCCTAAACCCCTAACCCCTGAACCCCTACATCCCTAAACCCCTGAACGTAGGCTTGAAGGTTCAGGGGCTGCTTTAACACTCCTCGGCTAGGCCTAAGAGTAACCTAGGAATAAAAAGGGTTCCCTTTTTGGTTTAAAGGGGTTTATAAGGGAACCTAAACCTTAAAAAGGGAATAAGGGCCTACTCTGGGTCCTAGTCGGCCTGCATGTTGTCGAAAGACTCCTCCTGTGCAAAGGCTTGAAGCTGGAGTTTCTTGGAGATGTCCGCCACGCAGGCTTCCTGAACAAGTGGGGGGCCTCAAAGGTAGGATGAAGGTAGGTGGGATATTCTAAAATATGAGTCCTTATATAAGGGATCCGTAATCCCACCTACCTTCATCCCACCCTGTGAGGCTTCCTGAACAAGGGTTTAGGGTTTGGGCACCTATAGTAGGGCCCTTTCGAGAGCAGAGTTGTGTCAGTGAGAGTGGTGATAGTGGCGGTTGTAGTGGTGGGATTGTTGTAGTCGTAGTAGAAGAAGTCGTAGTAGAAGTAGTCGAAGTAGTTGAAGTAGAAGTGGTACTGTTGATGGACAAAATCCTGCATGACCCATTATAAGGGATATACCATAGTTCCCATAGTTTAGAGTCCTTAGGGTCATGCAGGATTTTGTCCATCAGCAGTAGCAGTGACGGAATCAGTGGTGCTTGCCGGGGGCGAGATGGGAGCTTCCGAAAATGTGGGACCCTAATATAGTACCCCAAATAGTAGGATCCTTACTAGAAGGACCCCAAGATAAGGTACCCCTAATTTTCGGAAACTCCCAGATGAAAGAGCAGGAGTCTGGCCGTGCTATTGAGATGATGACTTCCCAGCCCTGAAGCCGGTACTTTAAGGGTTCTCAGAGCCTCCAAAACCCCTTAATTAAGGAATATAGCTTAAAGGGGATCTATAGGGGCTTATAGGGTTCCCTTTAAAGGGATCTATAGGGTTTAAAGTATAGTAGGATCATGATTTAAGGTATATTCCTTAATTAAGGGATATTGGAGTCTCTAGGTACTTTAAGGGTTCGCTGAAGCCGTTAAGGCTTCCCTCACTACACTGGGGTTTCGTCCTTGTCGTATGAGCTTGATTTTAGGGGTTTCGGGGTTCAGGGATTTAGGGGTTTGGGGAACCTTATAGATCCCTTAAAGGGAACCCCCCAAAAAGGGATTCGGTTTTTTGGGGAACCTTATCATAGAACTAGTTGAAACCTTATATAACCCTGTAGTACCCCTAGACCCACAACCCAAGCCCTATAGCCTGAGGCGAGTTTGCGATAAGAACCTTTTGGAGCGCCGGCGACTCCTTAAAGGGCCCTAATTCGCTTTAACCCTGAAGCATTCAGATCAGAGCCCCATCTCAGCAATGACTCTCTTACACCCCTCAAGAAGCACACACACACACAGACACAGCTCCACCTCCCAGAAACCACACACGCACACAAAACCCTAATCCCCGAACACCCCATTGCCATAAAGCCCTAACCCCAACCTCCAAACCCTAATCCCCATAAAGCCCTAAACCCATAAAGCCCCAAACCCAAAGCCACACAGAAAGACTTGCCGAGAACTGGGTCGCCTCAGGCCCAGTGTAGCGATCTTGCTGCTCCAAGCGCTTGATATGGCTGATGAACTGCTTGAAGAAAGGCACCTTGAGGGGCTCGTTGGAGGGATCTATAGCGTCATCATATACCTTAAGGGTACCATAGGGTCCTAGAATAGGGCCCCCTTAAGGGATGAACTGCTTGAAGAAAGGAGGAACCTGTGATGGATAGTTTTAGGGTGTAGGGTTTGATTGATGAGCTGCTTGACGAAAGGAACCTTTTCGGAAGTGGGGTGAAAGGGCTTAAGGCTTTAGGGGTGTAAACGTCGGGCCCGGGGTCGTGTAATAGAGGACTTCAAAACTAGAATCGACTTTGGGGGGTTCCTTGTTTGATTATGGTATACTTAAAGGATCATGGGACTTAGTAACTAGGGTTATATTTAGGGTAACCCTACTTATAACTACTTATAACCCCAATTACGGTACTTATAACCCTAGTTACTAAATCCCATGATCCTCCAAGTAATCTACCCCAGACACTACTCTGATTATCATTAGGATAGGATTTTGGGGCCCATTATGCCATATCAAAATAAGGACCCCCCCCAATAGTATTGGTAATAATTTAGGCCCCCATAGTATTCAGGCTTTGGGGCTTTTCGAAGCGGACTTTAACTGGGCTTTTTAAGTAATCAGGGAGAAAAAAAGTATTGACCTTCATTTCATAATGGCTCCTTTAAGAAAAAAGCATTGAAGTATGGTACTCCAAACCCAAGTTGCTTAAAGGATCATGGGACTTAGTAACCAGGGTTGTAATTTAGGGTAACCCTACTTATAACTACTTATACCCCTACTTACTAAGTCCCATGATCCTCCAAGTAACAGGGGTGAAGCTTAGCAGTCAGACCTTTGGGCTTCACGGCTTGGTCTCTTGAGTTCCAGGGCTCAGACTTACGTAGGGGGTTTGGGGTTTAGGGGTTTAAGCCGTAAACCCGAAGTATACAACCTTCAGGTTCAGGGCTGTAACATAATGGACCCACAAATAATTTAGGCAGTTATCAAGGCTACTTGGAGGATCATGGGACTTAGTAAGTAAGGTTTTAAGTGCCTCAATTGGGGTTATAAGTAGTTATAAGTACACTTACCCTACTTATGACCCGAGTTACTAAGTCCCATGATCCTTTAAGTATAGTAGGTTCTTGGCTTTGGAGTTAAATGCCACGAGCTTCAGGGTGGTAGGAGCTGCCAGCCCTGCTTCAAGTTAGGGTTTAGGGTTTCGGGAAGAAGCTCCAAGGGTATGGTTTTAGGGTTTTGGGTTCAAGGTATAGGGTTTGATGCTGAGGGTAAAGGGTTTGGGGTTTTGGGTATAGTCTGGGGTTTAAGGTTAGGGCATGAGGTTAGGGGTTTCGGGTAGAAGGTTTAATTTCGGTAGAGGTTTTAAGAGTAGGGTTTTGGGTTTGGGGTTTCGGGTATAAGGCTTTGGGTTTAGGGTCCAAGAAAACTACCCTCCCCGAGTAAGACCCTTGCAAAGTCCGCTCCAAATTCTAACAGCCTGTCACAAGAGCAGAATCGTACAGCTCTATCAACAAACCCATTGAACACTGCTAAGCAACAACCCTGACTCCTATATTGCGACACCAAAAACATCTCCGAGTTTCACGCCTTTTGGAGCCAAACGCCGTTGATTGCAATGCACGCTTCGGCTCGCAACTGTGGACTCATCCTCTTTCGTGGTGGGCTTCGGAGCTTCTAGGATTTTATGGTTTCGATTTGTCTGCCGTTCCAGGGATTTGTGGCGGTGATACTGATTTACAGGTTCACGACTTCTTTGTCCCAGGGTTTCAATCCGTCTTGACGTTTTTACGATCTGTAATGGTGTTGTTTAATCACACCTATCGGGCTTGAAGTTGTTGCTTGGGCTTAAATTTATTGGGGTGTTAAGGGCTTTTCTCCTAAGTAGCATTGTGGTGCCTGGAGCTGCTCCTCTTGCAAGGCTCCTTTTAAAAGGTTACTTTAAGCCGGTCTATAGGGGGATCTACATTTTGGGGCCCATTATACTATAATAGTAAAGACTTTGCTCTATTTTCTAGTTCTAGGCTTTAGTACAGTTCTTCGTGCTGTTGCTAGGTATGTACCTAACAGAACAGAAGTATCAATAGAACCATAAAACGGATATCAACATGTAAACACATACACCTATATGTATAGCAGTCTTGTTCGTCTGCGGTAGCAGCATCAGGGCTGGGGGATTTGAGGGTTTCTCGAGTTCTTCAGCGCATCAGGGCATGTTATAGTTCTTATCCAAGCTTCCCCAGGCTTGAGAAGGCATAGGTGCCCACCCACTAAACCGTAAACAAGGCCTAAATCCCTGAACCCATGATGTATCAGGACCAAATGAAACTTACAGAACATCACCTAAGCCCATGTTGCAATCATGAACCAAGCTTGCGACCCACCTCTAGGGAAACTCGCGTCCGACCCTAAGATACAGGGCCCTGAACAATTAAAACGGGGTTTGCGGGTATATCGATTGTTGTAGTATTGGCTTTTGACAGGAACCCCAGGGATGCTGTTACTAACTATTCCTACGCCCTCAACCCGAAACCCCAGTTCTTCCGACCCCTCTACAGTAGAAGCCAGAAAGATGGAAAACCATAGCTTCTGTCCTTAAGAGTACTTACTGTATAGGGAATCCCAGCACTATTTGGCCTCAATCCGGTTTCCAACTTTATGGGGTTCGCAATTCTTAACGAGCTATAAGTACCATAACCCCAATAAGGATCCCTTTCAAGGTGCTTACAACTCTACTTGCTACCTGCATTACAACCCGCGGCCTAACATTGCAGGACGCTCCTCTCCATCAGAGCTTGCCGCTCCTTGAAGACGGACTGGTGCCTGCTTGAAAGGAATCTGCTGGAGGGTTCTTTTTAAGGGTTCAAGCTGGTTTTGGGTTAGATATAAGCATATGAAAGGAATCCCCACACTAGTAGTTATTGGGGTCCTTGTAGTAAAGTAGAAGTCAGAAAGTTTGAAAATTGAATATCATTGTCCTGGTGCCCTTAAGGCCAACCATGAGGGACTCCTACGGTTGATGATATAAATCCTGCATGACCCATAACAAGTAATATACCATAATCCCCATAGTTGAGGGTCCTTAAGGTAATGCAGGATTTATATCATCAACAGTAGCACTAATCATCCTAAATCCATGTTCAAACTTTCTTCTGGGTTCACCGTAGGGAGATGGTCTCGTTTAAGTGCTCCTCTTCGGGCGCTGGGATACATGCCCGCAGACTCCAACAGTGCTTGACTAAGGAACATTCCTTAAATCATATTAAGGATCCTACTATAATTTACGGTATACTCCGAAATTAAGGGATATTGGAGTCTCTGGGGTGGGGCTTAGGGTTCAGGGGCAGTTGAGATTAGGGAATTCAGGGTCCAGGGGTTTTGGATCGAGAGTCCCGGGGCGCAGGGCTTAGGGTAGAGGCATTGATTGGTTTTTGGGGCTGAGCTTGGCGGTTTAACTGCAAAAGCCTACCAAAACCTACTGCCTACCAAAACCTACTGCTGTTGTAGGGTCCCTATAAATCCATATTAGGATTCTTTTAAGACCGTGCAAAAAGTAGGTTATGGTAGTTTAAGGTAGGGTTTACTGGAGAGTCTAGGGTTTCGCGGTTAAGCGCCGTCTCAAGAGCTCTTCTTGGATCTCTTTTGCAATAGGGGAGCTGAGGAAGACTACGTTTCAGATTACCGTCCTTTCGAAGGGGGGCTATAGGGGTTCCATATGTCTTTCAAGCAAGGTATGTGCAAAATCCCACGTTATCCGTAATGAACCCTAAACCATTCAACGCCATAATTTGGCAGGGTAATGCAGATTTTGTTGTCCATCAGCGGGCTGCCACGGTTTGCATTGTTGTGGCTCCACAGATCTTCAGATATCACTTAAACGAGGTTTATTTGAAATTATGGTAAGATGCTTATTCGAGTGATGCTGATTAAGGTGTATTGAAGATCTGGCTTTCTCCGCAAGGGGGAAAAAGGTTTCATAAGGCTGACCTCAGGATGTACACTTACTGCTAAACCCTAAACCCTAAGGTCCTTGCGAGATAGTCTCTACCCTCTCCCCGGCCCTAACCTCAAAAACCCAAAACGGTATAAGGGTCCTTTTGATGACAACTTGGGCCTGTTCTGCAAGAAGTATCGCCGAAGTCGGCATTGCAGGTCCTGGATCAAAAGGGCAACTGTCCAGAGACTCCAATACCCCTTAATTCGGGAATATGCCTTAAACTATAGTAGGATCCTCAATATGATTTCAGGAATATCCCTTAATTATTGATATCGGAGTCTCTGGGTGTTGAGTCTCCAAAGCTTCATGGCCAGGATTTCCTACAAAACTTCCTTTTGCGTTCTACAGGGGGTTCTTTACGGGTTCCATATAACGGTTCCTTCCGGGTTTGCAGTCTAGAGCTTAGGCTCTAGAGTTAAGGGACATTAAATGATAGGGACCTTAGTGATCGGTGTATTGGGTTGTACTACTTATGTAAAACTACCTATGATAAGGATCCCTCAGGAGTGGCACTAATTCCTAACTCCTGCTAGATGCGGAACAGTTGGATCGCTTGCTGGATGAGCGAGTGTGATCCCACGTCGCCCCGAAGGTAGGACAGTAAAGACTAGATGTTAAACAACACTCCCTACCTCAAGGCATATACCGTACGAACAGTATATGAATACTGAATTCGGGTCACATGTTGGCGGCCAAGAACGGAAACCCAACACTCGATACCATAGACTGATCTCTGAAGCAGAATCTTTGAGCTGCCACAAGAAAAGATGACACATTCAAGATGATGTAGGAGCCTCAACAATCAGAATAGGGTTTCGGGGTCCAGTATACCATAATTGTAATAAGGAATCACCAAAATAGTATAGGCAATTATTGAGGCCCCTCCATTAACAGCAGCTTCAAAGCAGTCCTTTATCCGCTAAGCGCAACCTCGAAGCAGACCCAAAACCTGAGGATCACACCCAAAAGCTCAACCCAAATACTACGGCTGAGGGAGCCAGACAGTTGGAACATGAGTATCCTCATTCCCAATATTTATTGGGCGATCCTAGCACCAATCCTCCTAAACCCATGCTTCGTTGCTTAGTTCATAAGCCCCAAAAAGTGTACACTTTCAGTTTTATAGTGGGACATGAACCCAAAAGTGTAAAGTGTATCCACTCAACTACTAAGCATGTACCAACTTTCTGGGTTCACTGTAGGTACTTAAAGGATCATGGGACTTAGTAACTAGGGTTATATTATAATTAGGGTAACTATACTTATAACCCCAATTAAGGTACTTATGACCTTACTCACTAAGTCCCATGATCCCCGTTATAGAACCCCTATAGATCCCATTAAGGAACCCTTTTTATTATAGAACCTTATAGTACCCTTATTGAAAGGAACCCTAAACATTACAAAGTCCCATGATCCTCCAAATAGTTTGGGGTTTCGGCTTTGGCACTCAGGAGCCCGCACGCACGGAGTCAGCATGACATGCTGTGGGACTTCAGTTCATTCAAGAGCTATGAAACTGAAAAGCCAAGTCTGCACGAACATCTGTACAACTTCAAAGCAGACCCCGCGAAATTAGAAACACCATAACAACCCTGACCTCCAGACCCATAAAAGCCGAAAACCAAGATTGAGGCTGGTCCCTCAGCCCCATGACCTCAAAACCCCAGAAGAACCCTTAAACCTTAAGCCCTAAACCGAAAGAACCCTAAACCCTAAATCCCTAATCCCTGAAGAACCCTAAACCCTCAACCCCAAAAGGTAAAGTGGCACTAGCACCTGCTTCCCTGCGTGCCCGCATTTGAAAGCACCCAGAAAACAAAACCAAGCTTCATCCCCTACGGCGACAAAAAAGCTGAGAAAAAACCTAAATCCATTAACGCCAAATTACCCCTTAACCCTAGATATGTCGCTGTCGTTCAAGTAGTGTCGTTGTCGTTCAAGTAACCCCTTAAAGGAACCCTTAAAGCCACAAGCCCTTAAGAAATGGAAGCCTTCAGGGAACCCTCTATCTATCTGTCTATCTATATACATATATATATATATATATATATATATGTATGCCGTTTTCCTTAAAGTGACCCCTTAAAGGAACCCTTAAAGCCCTTAAGAAAGGAAGCCTTCAAGGAACCCTCCATCTCCAACTTTCCTTACCTTTGCTTAGTAGGAAATAGAAGAATGGTAGTAGTGGTAGTAGTAGTAGTAGTAGTTATAATTGTACCCCATTCCTCCATTCCCTACTAACCAAAGGTAAGCTTTCCGGTCCGGCTCGAGCCCCTGGTCTCCCATCATCGTGTTCAAGCGGTGCATGCGCTGTCGGAACTCCTGGTTATGATTTCCTTACTGTGGTATCTTAATATGATTTCCTTACTGTGGTATCTCCATATGATTTCCTTATTATTAATATGATGGTATCTCAATATGATTTCCTTGTTATGGTATCTTAAATATGGTTATGATTTCCTTATTATGGTATCTTAAGTTATGAGATACTTAATATGGTATCTTAAACTAACTTCCTTAAGGAGAACCCAGTATTCGTGGGGAGGGGTTTCGGGTTCAGGGCTTTTAGGTTGAGGGTGTAGGAGGTTGGGTTCAGATTTTAGGGTTTAGGGCTCAAGGGTCTATAGAGTAGGCAAGGTATGCAAATCACGGGGATCCTTATGGGGGTAGGGGGAGGGGGGTGAGGGGCCGTATTGCCCAAAAGGAAGGGTCGAGGGCCCTCGCGACTGTGGCCCTGGCGACTGTGCCTGATGTTCGCACCGGCTGCACATCACAGAATGTCACCAGAAACCACCCATACCTGTCGCAGGTTGCAGCATCCGTCACGTTCAGCAGAAGCGCAACACAAGCTTTGTCGTGTAATGCGATCATTGTGAAACTTTTCCTACATCCACCACGGTTTTCGCACGCTCCTGGGAGCTTGTGTCACTCCTCTTGTCTCCATGGCCTCTCCACATAGTCAAAATCTGGCCAGGTCATGCATGACCGGATTGCCAAGAACTTCTGGAAGAGATAGCGACAAGCATCGACATGGGCTGCAGCAGGCCCTGAATTCTCCAAGATCTCATCCCATGTCACAGCCTTGACCTATAACCCCCTTAAAACCACAATAAAAATACTATTATTAACATCTCTTGGGTTTTAAATGAACAAAAATATAACTAGTATTCTTAATATTCAGAGGGTTCTTTATGAACAAAAATGAAAAATAAATCCTAAAGGAGACTACAGTCTGACCACGTAGCCACGGAGCTGGGAAACTGCAGGACTCAGCCCGACTGTACCCCAGTACTTCAAGGATCATGGGACTTTGTAACTAAGGTTCCTTAAAGGGCTCCTTTAAAGGGATCTCTACAGGGGCTCTATTATAAGAGGGGATTTAGGGTATACTTAAAGGATCATGGGACTTAGTAACTAGGGTTATAAGTAGGGTAACTATACTAGTAACTCCTTAGAACGCCAATCAAGGTACTTATAACCTTACTTACTCAGTCCCATGATCCTCCCAGTATAGAACCCTACCTCCCTTCCCGCTACCCCCCAAGGGTCCCTATGAATTTAGGGTTTAGGGTTTAGATCGAACTAAAGAGAAGTAGCATGCCCCTTTTGTCTCTATCTTTACATAGTTCTACTAGAATATTCCCCATCCGTCCTTATTCTGCGTTGGTTGCGGGCGGGGGAGGGCGCGGGTGTTTCGGGTTTAGGGTCTGGGGCTTTAGATTAAAGCTTAAGGGTCTTGGGTTCAGGTTTTAGGGTCTTTTGGGCTCAAGGGTTCAAGGCGTCAGCGCAATTTAAGTTAGGCTCGGTGTCTGTCAATAGAGTAGGCCGGGCCGTTGGGGCTATAGCAGACCACACCTACAGAGGGCTCAGCAGAAGAGAATCTAGGCTTCTGTTGTGACTTTGTTTAACATCTTCAGGGCCGACTTGCTTCTGTTGGCACATGGGGGTTTCCGAAAATAGGGGACCCTAATGTAGTACCCTAAACAGTAGGACCACCAAATAACGCGCCCCTAATTATCGGAAAATCCCACGATAAACAACAGAGCTGTCACTGTTCCGAACCCGAATTACAGCAAGTAAATCGAAAGCCTGAAGCCTAAGCCTCGAACACGAACCGTACCTATAGTCTCCATTGTAGTTCCTTTTTTGGGGTTACCTTCTAGGATACTTAGTATATAATTGGTTAAACCCAAAAGACGAACTACAATAGAGACTGTAGGACACCCTAAACCCCAAGCCCCAACTTCTAGCAAGAACACACCCGAAAGCTCCCCAATGTAGCACGTACTTGGAGGCTCATGGAACTTAGTAAGTAAGGTTATAAGTACCTGAATTGGGGTCATAAGTAGTTATAAGTATAATTACCCTACTTATTGAATACTAAGTCCCATGATCCTTTAAGTAGGACCCTTGACCTAAAGCAACCCTAAACATGGTACCCATACTTGGAGGCCCAGGGGACTTAGTAAGGGCTCCTTAGAGGGATCTATAGGGTTCCTTAAAGGGATCTATGGGGTTTAGGGTTTAGGGTCTAGTTGGAGGCCCAGGGGACTTAGTAAGTAGGTTATAAGTAGGGTCCAGTGCGAAAGCCCCCACAACCACGATTAATACTTCAATCAAAGGGGAAAAGGAGGGACCTTTGTTAAGGACCCCTAGGTATATACCTTTAATATAGCTATTATATACCCATTATATAGCCCATTATAGGGTAGGCGTCCCCATTAAGGGTCCCTCCTTCTCCCTTTGATTCAACGCCCTAACGGCCTAAACAATATACCCCGAAGTTCCGCTTTAGGTTGGGAGCTCCTGTGTCAAACCTTGTCTAAGCCACATTTGGGTGGTTGTCAAAATTATGGTCCTTTTTGGGTACCCTAAATAATAGGTGCCGTATTGTACCAAGGACCCAAAACGGGACCATTATTTTGACAACCACCCATTTACTAACTATTTATAGCAGCCATGACCGACCCTCTAAAGCTCTTGTTCTCCCCCTGCAGCAACCATGTACAGCTGTTACCAGGCCCTTGTAGGGAGTTTCCGAAAATTAGGGGTACCTTATTTTGGGGTCTTTATAATAAAGATCCTACTATTTCGGGTATTCTACTAGGGTCTCCCATTTTCGGGAACCGCCATATACCCTAAACCCTCAAAGGAACCTTGGATTGAATGGAGCCCCTTGTATGCCATCCCACCCTTCAAAGGAGCCCTTAACAAGAAGCCTTAAAGGGAACAGGGAGCTGTACAGGATCCCTTAGTGTAAACCCTAAATCCTAAAACCTAAACCCTAGGCCCCAAAACCCTTCAGCCACCAGCGGAGCCCTTAATAGAAATCCTTAAAGGAGCTCCAAAAGGAACCCAAAAAGCAGTCCTTAAAGTGAGGGACACCAAAAGCACATAAGCATAATTAAGCACTTAAAAGGGATGTCCCTGCCTTATTGGGAATCATTATAAGGGGGTGTATATGGGATATCCCTATCCTTGTTTTGCTTATGTGCTTTTTTGCGGCCGAATACAGAGCCCTAAAAAAATAGGACCCTTGCAAGGAAACTCCTGGCTCTCGTGGGTTAAATCGTCGACGATGGCACCGACCTCACCGATGAGGATTTCGGGTCTGGCGGCTTTTAGGGTTTAGGGCTTAGGATTTACGGTTTAGGGTTCAGGGTTTGAGGGGGTCTATAAGCTTTTCAGGGTGGAGGGTCTAGGATTTAAGGCTTGGCGGTTTTTAAGGTGTTAGGGCTTTGGGGATTTCAGGGTTTAGGGGGCGAGCTTCTCGGAAACCGTAAATCCGATAGTAACAACGACAAAAGCAGCAATAATGAGTAGTGCTTACAAACAACAAGGATGACAATACTACTAATAACAATAACCCCTAACCCCTGGGCCCCTAAACCCAAAGCCCTAACCTCAAACTCTAAACCCCAAGCCCTAAACCCTAAGCCGTAAACCCTAAGCCGCACGCCCTAAACCGTAAGCCCTAAGCCCTAAACCCAAAGCCTAAACCCAACGCCCTAAGCCCTAAACCTCAAGCCCTAAGCCCTAAACCCTAAACCCCAAGCCCTACTAAACCCTAAGCCCTACTAAACCCTAAGTTCTAAGCCCTAAACCCGAAGCCCCAAGCCCTAAACTTTCAGCCCTGAAGCCCTAAACGTAGGGCGAGAAACCTCACCGATGATGTAGGCCCAGGCAAGGCCAGAGATGAGAACCACCACAGATCCGACCACCCTGGGTGGCTTTTGCTTCGTTGCCGTAATTTAGTGAATGCTCCTGCGAAAAAGGGATATTGGAGTCTCCTAAACCCTATACATCCCTTATAGCTCCCTTATAGTAGAAGCCAGAAAGTTGGAACATGATTATCCTCGTGCTCCTAAGGTAAAGTAGAAGGGATCCTAGCACGAATCCTCCTAAAGCCATGTTCCAACGTTCTGGCTTCTACTGTAAACCCCTAAAACCCTAAACCCTAAACCCTAGGGTGTCCGGGTTACTTTGAAGGGGTCCGTTAAAGGATCCTCGAAAGGTTCTATCCAAGTACCCATCATAGTAATTCGTTTTTGGGATTACCGTATAGGATTCGGAATATGAGCCCCCCAAAAGGGCGACTATAAGGGTTTAAAGGGTACTTTCAGATCCCGGTAAGCAGGTTTAACGGGATCCTTGAAGGTTTCTACAAGGGTTTAGAAAGTTTAGACGTTTAGAAGCTAGTTAGAGGGTACTTTCAGGGATCCTTCAATTTAAGGAATTTACGTTTGGCTGCCTAGGCTCGGAGTTTAGGGTAGCATCTGGCATTTCGGGGCTTTAGTTTCTTGGACAACGCAACTCCTGTGCCTCTTGAACTCCCAAACAAGGGTTTAAGGCTTCGGGTGTAGCGAAGACGCGCTGCATCCAAAAACATCCGTGAGAGCTCATTTGGGGTCTGCAAGCGGGGCATAAGCGAGGTTGTAAAGGGATGACTCCAACAAGGGCATCTGTGGACCGAAACGCAGACTACTTAGCAAGTCAGCTGAAACGTCAGGTGGCCTGAAACGGATTGCATATCTAATGATGTGCCAAATCCTAACTAACTCTGCTCCGCTTTAGACGGCAAACAAAATAGCAGTTCAAATGGTAAACAAAGCACACTTCTCTTGGAGATTCCTCAGAACAACAAGCCTTAAAAAGTCATCAAGAGCCACTCAGACTCGCCGAAACCCACCTAAACCCTAACCTCAAACGCTAAAACCTAAGAAAAGCCGAATCTCCGTTCGAGTAGGTTTTGAGGTGCGATGTCGCCATAGCCGACAGACGTGACTGTGTACCTTGCTAAAAGGTCTTTGGGCTTTGAGGTTTAAGGCTTTAGGGGTTATTCGGCTTTAATGTTTTAGGGTCTTTTTGGCTTCAGGGTTTAGCGGTTTATTTTGGGCTTCAGGGTTTAGCGGTTTAGGGTTTATTGGGGTTTAATGTCTTAGGGTCTTTTGGGCTTCAGGGTTTAGCGGTTTAGGGTTTATTGGGGTTTAATGTTTCAAGGTTTTTTGGGCTTCAGGGCTTAGCGGTTTAGGGTTTATTGGGGTTTAAAGTTTCAGGGTCATTTTGGGCTTCAGGTTTGGGGTCTGGGGCCTTGTGGGCTTGAGGGTCTCTTAGGGTTCAGGGTTCCCAGAGAGCCCAATACCCCTTAATTAAGGAATATGGCTTATATTATATAGGGCTTCATACTATGATTTAAGCTATATTCCTTAATTAAGGGGTATTGGGCTCTCTGGGTTTCGGGAACTAACGAATTTGTGCTATTGAGGTAGCTCCGTTTAAGGTGCTTGTAATTCTACGTATAACCTGCTTATTAACCCCAACACCCTAAAACCCTAACATTTAAACCCTACGCAGATGACCTGAAATTTCACTGACAGACATCTCCATGAACACACCCTCACCCAAAAACCCAGCCCTGACCCCACCTCATGTAATATAAGGGCCTCAATCAGTAGAGTAGGTTCTGCCTGAAACCCAGAGCGTGACAGTACCCAAATTGTCGGATGTTAAGTCCCAAATGCGATACTACGTCAAGGTGCTAAAAATCACCAAAACTACTCTGCATGTTGTTGGTACAACAGACCCGCCATGTTGAGTAGTTAAGCCCCCAGGACGAGGCACGCGCAGAAGAAGAAGGAGGCCACATAGACTCGGTACGGGGAGTCCCGAGTATCAACTCCAAAATGCTCAAGATCGGACTCTTGGATATCGTCAATCCTCAGTTAGGGTTTACGGTTCAGAGTTTAGGGTTTATGTTTGATATACTCGAATCCTCCATTGCGATTTTGGGTTTCCTTCAAGGTTCCATGAAAATTCATCCACACGTTTTACATCCTCAAACTTCAATTGATCGTGGATTTTGTGGGGTTAAAGTTGGTCTGGTGAAGGCTGTAGGCTTCATAGCAGCTTTAGCATGGTTCCTAAACTCAATCGGCTAAGACTTGTTGGGTTTTGGGGGGTCGTAAACACAAAACAACTCCAAGCCTTACGGGAGTGCAAATCTCTGTACAAGGTCTAGACCTAAGAGTAACCTAGGAATAAAAAGGGTGCCCTTTTTGGTTTAAAGGGGCTTATAAGGGAACCGAAACCCTACAAAAAGGGAATAAGGGCCTACTCTGGGTCCTAGAGGTTTAGGGATCAGAGACGCCGAACACTTGCAACATCTTTTCAAATCAACCCCAAGTTCGCTGTCTCGGCTTCTTGGCATCTTTGTGGATTTAAGCTCTGAAGCCCTGTCCCGAAACACCTAGGGCTCAGGGTTTTGAGGGCCTCGGGCCTACTTAAAGGATCATGGGACTTAGTAACTAGGGTTATAATTAGGGCAACTATACTTATAGCTACTTATAACCCCAATTAGGGTACTTATAACCCTACTTACTAAGTCCCATGATCCTCCAAGTATCTCCTCAGACCCGAAACCTGATTGCTGAGCTTCCCGGCCTCCGCCCCTTCACACAAGCTAACTTTGTAGCTGCGGCAAGGTTATATGATGGTTCAATTCGGGACGGCTACGCGCCCCTAAACCCAAAACCCCTAAACCCTAAACCCCTCAACCGTAAACGCGCCAAAGAGACGTCTAAAGCCCCCAGCCCTTCTGAAGAACCCTTAATCCTACGACTAAGAACACCTACTCATTCCTCCGAATCTCTATATAAGTCCTAAAACAAGGTAGCTTTTTTCTTACTTGTCCAGTATCCTGGGGGAGCCAAATGTTAACCTTTGAGAACTCTTTCAAGCCCGTAGATATCCAAGCCCCTTACAGAAGGTCGGTTTTAGTTGGGGAGTCAGCACCCCTGACCCACAGAGCCCAATACCCCTTAGTTAAGGAAGATAGCTTAAATCCTTTTATGAAGCCCTATATAACTTAAGCCATATTCCTTCATTAAGGGGTGTTATCCCCTAGACCCTAAACCCTATAGATCCCCTAAAGGATCCCTTAAAGGGGCCCTAGCCATACTCCTTAATTAAGGGGTATTGGGCTTTGGGGAGTTCCGCCCAGAGTCCACTGCGGGTATTTGTCCTCGACCAGCTGCAGTGTCAGTGCCCAGAGGCACGCAAGCCAATGGCACATCAGCCCTGGCGCCAGACCCTACATCCCAAACCCTAAACCCTAAAATTCTAAAACACACACCCCAAACTCCTTAACCCTAAACCCTTAGCCTAAGAAGACGTAGGGTCAAGGCTTGTAAGGTCAGGCTTCAAGGTTTTATTTGGGTGGTTGTCAAAATTATGGCCCCTTTTTGGGCACTAAATATAGTATGGCACCTAGTATTTAGGGTAGCCAAAAAAGGGACCCGAATTTTGACAACCGCCCTGGACCCTGAGCCCTTTCTCCAAGGAGCCTGTGGGCCAAGGCTTTAAAAAGGGGTATTAAACTTAAGCCCTACTTGGAGGTCCAGACTTACCTTTGGTTAGTAGGGAATGGAGGATTGGGGCACAATTACAACTAGTGTCGCACAAGATGCTCAAGAACTCTCGGGGGAAAGCATACGCATACACCTAGCAATGTTTTCCTCCAACTCCGCGATCGTTAGAACATGCCCCCGCAGTCTGGCTCTTCGGAACACGAGAAGGCAGCCTGGCCTCGCAGCAGTTGGATAGCAGAACCCTAGCCGATACAGTCTGTCTTGGACTTCCTCGAACAAGTTCAGCTGGATTTCCGAATGCTGGAAACTTCCAAGCTGCATGGTCATGTAATCACGCATTCTCGCTCCAGTCCAAGAGACATCGCGACGATGGTGCACCCGACGATAGCACGAACTCAAGCTGCACTGCCACACCAGGTGCCCAGCTCGCTTTGAACGTCGAGGAGACATGCAGTGAGTTGGTTTGCGTGCGAGGCCCCTCATCAGACTCCTCTTCGCTCGCGCTTTCGGCATCCTGGACACAGCTGGAAGCAGCTGGAAGGACGGCAGTCACCCAGTCAAAGACGCAGCAAACAACAGCGGTGTGCGGTTGGCGTTTTCGGCCACACCCTTAACATCCCTTAACCCCGAAAAGCCACCGAAAAAGCCCTAACCACACTCCAAAGCCAATCTGAACCCGAAACTCCCAAGAGTCTGAAAGTTCGGAAGAGGCGTCCTACTGACCTAATTACTCTGTTGGGTCAAGGAACAAGGGTTTCAAGAAGGTTCCTTTACGGCTCCGTTCAAGGATCTATTTCTACAAGGGCCCCTGTGATGGGCCCATACGGTCGATGATCTAAATCCTGCATTGCCCATAATGAGGAATATCTACCATAATTCCCATAGTTTAGGATCCTTTAAGGTGCTGCAGGATTTTTCTCTCACCAGCAGTAGCTTAGGGTTTTACAGGGCATTAAGGGTTTCGGGTATTACACTTTCGGGGCTTCGGGTGTCGGGTTCGGGGTTCAGGGGTACTAAACTGAAGCCCGACTTGGAGGGCTTAGGGGGGTAGCTGTCAAAATTAGGGTCCCTTTTCGGGTACCTTAAATACGAGGTGCCGTACTATATTAGGGACCCAAAAAGGGCCATAATTTTGACAACCACCCAGGGGAGTTAGTAAGTCGGTTGCAAGTTGTTTTTTTGGTTTTAGGGTTGTAACTAATCAAGGTCTCGGATGTAGGATTTAGGTTATAAGTAGGGTTTTCATTGGGGTAGCTCCATATAAGGTACTTAGAACTCTACTTATATAACCCATGGCACATCAACCCTGGCCGAAGGGTTTTGTGTTGGTTTATGCAATCTGCGTCATCATGACCGTCCTGAATGACTAGAACAGGGTTTTGGGGCCCATTAAACCATAAACTATAATAAGGAAGTGCCAAATTTATGGATTAATTATGTTGTTTTCTGAAATAGTATGTGTAGTGATTAAGGCCCCCTATACTCACATTGATTAAGGCCCCCTATATTAAACAAGCTTAACGTTTTGGAGCTCCATATGCCCAACACAAGCCAAGCGCAAAACAAGAATTACTTGGAGGCCCAGGGGACTTAGTAAGTCGGTTATAAGTACGGTCATAATTGGGGTAACTCCATTTAGGGGACTTATGACTCTACCTATAACCTACTTACTAAGTGCCCTGGGCCTCTAAGTAGGGTGAATCACCTACCTGAACTGGAGGTTTACCAGTACTGCAGGGGCCTTAACAATTAAGATAGGTTTTAGGGTAGATTATACCATATTTATATATAAGGACCCCCCCAAAATACAGGAGCCTGAACAATTAAGATAAGCTTCAGGGCAGATTCTACCATATCTATAGTAAGGAACCCCCAAACAATAGTATTGGTAATCATATTAGGTCCCCATGTTATACCATGAAAGACTGAACAAGCCCTTGGTTCAAGTCTTGTAAGGGGGGTTCCCGATTGAAGCTCAGAGACCTTCAGACTCTCAAGTTGTGTACTTGGTCCTGATTGCCAGATCTTGCGCCTTTAACCCTAAATGCCACCGAATCCCTAAACCCTAAACCCTCTAAAAGCCACTTTAAACCCTAAATGCCAGAAAACCTAAAGGTCCTAAACCTCAAAGGCCCTAAACCAAATAAAACCCCGGGTCCGCCTAAGACCAGGAGGAAGCGTCCCAAGGCGAGTTGCTGATAGGGGATCGATCGAAGAGCCTGCAATTCTCCGCGTCTTTCGGGGCGGCTTGGGGCTTGGAGGTCGTGGGCTTCTGGGTCTGATGCTTCCAGAGAGGCGGGTGTTCCTGTGCGGGGATCACGTCAGCACGCAATTTGACGGAAAGAACGACATCCCCGTCAGGCTTCCACCATCCTTGACTTCTTCGCCGCTGCCGGCTTAGGTATCAAGTCGTGCGGATTCTGGATCTCGATGTCAGTCATGAACCCAGAGCTCCTTCACACGTTCCGATGACGGAGGCAGCCACCCGAATCTCCGAGAAGTCCTCGGCAGCTCCCTCTCAACCTAGGGTCTGTCGCCGCACTAAGCAAAGTCTTAGTTGACATGGGCATGCGCGAAGGCAGCAGATGGCGAAAGCTGACGAGCTCCGGTCACAATGTGATTCGGAGCTGAAGACTTTCAGGAGCGATTGATATAGGGGCCTTAACAACTGGAATGGGGTTTTGGGGCCGGTTATGCTATAGTATTATAATCAGGAGCCCCCAAAATAGTATTGGGTTATTATGAAGGCCCCTATACGAACGTTTCAGGAGCGATGATGCTGCTTGTGCTGTATTCAGACTAGGACACCTACTGTTGATGGACAAACTCCTGCATTACCCATTATAAGGACTATACCATCGTTTCCATAGTCTAGGGCCCCCACAAGAAGCTTTAAAGAGTGTGGCTCATCTTTACCACCCTTAGAACCACAATCATAATAAGCTCACGCTCTGAATATGTTCTCGGGTTTTGTATGAACAAGAATGCAAATCAATTCCTCAGCAGACTATAGTCATACTCTTCTACGGCTTGCAGGGCCCTCCGCGATACTAAGACAAAGACTTTACGCAGCGGGGATTCGGAAGAAAACCTAAACCCTAAACCCCCTAAACCAAACACCCGTGAACCTTAAGACCCTATAGCAAGCAAAAATCCCTAAACCCAACACCCTAAACCCCTAAACCCAAAACCCTAAACCCAAACCCCTAAACTCCGAGCTTCTAAACCCATTTCCAGAACCCGTATGGGTAGTTGTCAAACTTATGATCCCTTTTTGGATACCCTAAATATCAGATGCCATAAGGTAAAAGCCAGAAAGTTGGAATATGATTATCCTAACCCTTCTATGGCAAATTATAAAGTATCCTACCATGAAACCATATTCCAACTTTCTGGAGTTCCCTGTATTATGTTCGGCTCAAAAGGCGCCATATTCCTGACAACCACCCTTATAGATCCTTGCAAGTATCCCATATGGGAGTTTCCGAAAATTCGGGGTAGCTTATTTGGGGTCCTTATAGTAAGGATCCTACTGTTTAGGGTACTATATTAGGGCCCCTGTTTTCGGAAAGTCCCATATACACCCCCCCCTTATAGTGAAGCCCAATATTGTAGGGATCTCCCTATAAACTGCTTATGCTTATGTGCTTTCTGGGTCCCTAAACCACCCGTTTATAATACCCTATACACCCAGATCCTCCGAAACCCCTTCATTGAGGAATCTAAACCAAAGTATGGTAGGATCTACAATACGATGTAAGGCATATTCAGTATAACTCTAAACCCATGTGGGTGGCTGTCAATCAAAGTAAGGGTCCCTTTTTGGGTCCTTGCTATAGTACGGCACCTAGTGTTTAGGGTAACCCAAAAAGGGACCCTAATTTTGACAACCACCCATACTGTTGATGGACAAAATCCTGCACGACCCATTATAAGGGATATACCATAGTTCCCATAGTTTAGAGTCCTTAGGGTCATGCAGGATTTTGTCCATCAACAGTATGATGTAAGGTATATTCAGTATAACCCTAAACCCATGTCTGGAACCCTCACTTGGAGGCCTAGGGGACTTAGTAAGGGCTCCTTAAAGGGATCTATAGGGTTCCTTAAAGGGATCTATAGGGTTCCGTAAAGGGATCTATAGGGTTCCTTAGAGGGATCTATGGGGTTTAGGGTTTAGGGTCTACTTGGAGGCCCAGGGGACTTAGTAAGTCGTTTATAAGTAGGGCTAGAATTGGGGTAACTCCATTTAGGGTACTTAAAACTCTACTTATAACCTACTTACTAAGTCCCCTGGGCCTGTAAGTATAGATCCTTGCAATCAGCTTCAGGGCGTTGGTTCTTTGACACGAAGCTTTTCTGGCTCTTCGGGAGGGGAGTACAGATTTTTCAGGTTTCAAACGGGCTAGTGCCCAGACTCCAACATCCCTTGATTGAGGAATACACCTTAAATTATGGTAGGGTTAATTAAGGAATATACTTGAAATTATAGGACCCCTACTATGACTTAAAGTATATTCCTGAATTACAGGATATTGGAGTCTCTGGGTGTGAGGGGTTCTGAACCCCACACTGCGCTTTCCTAGAACCTGGCTTTCCCTGAACCCTTAACACCGAAAGCCCCAAAGCCCTGTCAACGCCAAACCGAAACCCCTAAACCCAAACCCTTAAACCCCAGAACCCTTAAACCCTAAACCTTAAACACTCAAGCCACCGAACCCGAAAACTAAATACACAAAGACCCGAAAAGCAGCAATCCGCCCTAAACCCAAGACCCTATAGTTCCTAGAAGCCTAAGCTTAAACCCAAACCTAGTCTTATCAAGAGGCAGACAGAGGAGGGAACCCTAAACCCCAAACCTCCAACCCCCAAACCCTAAATCCCCTGAGCCCCCAACCTCGAACCCCTAAACCCTTCAAACCCAAAATCCCCCAAGCCCTAAACCCCCCCAAAAACCCTAAACCCAAAACCTTCAAACCCTGAACCCTAAACCCCACAAAACCCTAAACCCAAAACTTTCAAACCCTGAACCCTAAATCCCACAAAACCCTAAACCCAAAACTTGCAAACCCTGAACCCTAAATCCCACAAAACCCTAAACCCAAAACTTTCAAACCCTGAACCCTAAACCCCACAAAACCCTAAACCCAAAACTTTCAAACCCTGAACCCTAAATCCCCGCAAAACCCTAAACCCAAAACTTTCAAACCCTGAACCCTAAATCCCCGCAAAACCCTAAACCCCAATCCCCTACACCCAAAACAGCAGGGCCTCCTGCTCCTCCATCCACAGCGATCGCCGTGCCAGCCTTTTAGGACCCTTGCTTCAAAGGGGAAAAGGAGGGACCCTTAATGGGGACCCCTATACCCTATAGTGGGCTATATAATGGGTATATAATGGCGAAATTAAGGATATATACCTAGGGGTCCTTATTAAGGGTCCCTCCTTTTACCCTTGGATTGCTGGGTCCAGGAAGGTTAGGGGGGCCGTAACACTTAGAATAGGATTTCTTTAGAATAGGGTATCTTTAAAGGGGCCTATAAGGGCTACCTTTAGGGATAATTATAAGGATTTCATATCAAGGCCCCTAGCTATCTATCTATCTATCTATCTCTATATATATATATATATATCTATCTACATATTGATTGATTGGGACCCGTTACCTTAGCCAACCAAACGCTTAGGTACCCTGTACTAAGGACCTAGAAGATGTTAGGTTATGGTGTAAGATCGTTTAAGGAAAGGTTAAAACAACCCTAAACCCGAACCCTAGGCCCGAAGCCATTCATTTCGTCTCAATACAAAACCCAAAATCTGCAGGGGAGAAGTGTACGGGCGGGGTGCATTGGCTCAAGCTTAGATTTCAGACTCCCCGCCACGAGCCTAGTTGCTGAGTTCCCACCCTGTATGTGTTAAGATGATGCAAAATCAGAAACGCCACGCCAAAGGTCCAAAAAGTTAACTATTTCTGGTACAAAGCCACGACGGTCACAAGTATCCTATGCAGCTACGATGCCTTAAACAGCTCAACTCATAGCCCGGTACGGAAAATGAAGTCCTACACCCTGGCCCCACCCCAACCCTAAACCCTAAACCCCAAACCCTATACCCTAAACCTCTTTATCATATGTTAATTTAAACTTTACTGTCAACCTTGCTTAAGGCAAGTTTCGGGGTTTGGCTGGCCAGATGCCAGACCCCCGCGCGCGCCAGACCCCATACCCAAACTTGTTTAAGGCAATTTTCGTGGTTCAGCTAGCCAGATCCCCGTGCGCGCGCGTGCCAGACCCCATACCCAAACTTGTTGAAGGCAATTTTCGGGGTCTAGGTTCTAGCTGGCCAGACCCCCACACTTGTGGTTTAGATCTAAACTCTTGGATGTTCGAGGGTGGGGTGGGGCGTTACATATGCTTCTGGCAGGCGAGTTTAAGAGACACCTTTTCCGGCTTAGGGCTCCAGGCTCTGAGTTGGGATTCAAGGCTATATGGGAGTTTCCGAAAATAGGGGTACCTTATTTTGGGGTCCTTATGATAAGGATCCTACTATTCAGGGTACTATATTAGGGTCCCCTATTTTCGGAAACTCCCATATAGGGTTTAAGGCTATAGGACCATGAAATCATGTAAGTGTGAATGAAAGTCAACTATGAATGGTACTCATTTGAGAGAATGAAGTAAAATTTTGTATCTTCTTAATGTTATGGGACTCTAAGGGTGGGTGGGTGTTATTTCTAAACCGTAAACACAACTCGACTTGAAAGCTGCTCGATCCGGAGCTGCTGAACCCTAAACCCTAAACCCCAACCCTACTTAAAGGATCATGGGACTTAGTGCAGTAACTAGGGTTAGAAGTAGGGTAACTATACTTATAACTACTTATAACCCCAAGTGAGGTACTTATAACCTTACTTACTAAGTCCCCTGCCCCTCCAAGTAGACGAACCCCAGGCTCCAACCCCTGACGACCCTAATGTAAGAACTTTTGGGCCTTTATTAGGGCTCCTTTAAAGGGGTCTATTAGGGGTTACTACAAGGCATCCATAAGGGATACGACAATAGTGTAGGAACCTGATTAAGAAATCTTGGGCTGGTATTAGGGTTCCTTCTGTGAACCCTACTATTTTGGGCCCAGGGTTTCTTAATCAGGTTCCTACATTAAACCCTCCAATCCTTCGCCCATCAACCCTGAAGCCTAAAGCCCCCAAACCCTGAAACACCCAAAGCAAATACAGACCCCAAGCTCTACTTGGAGGGTCATGGGACTTAGTAAGTAAGGCTATAAGTACCTTACTTGGGGTTATAAGTAGTTATAAGTATAGTTACCCTAATTATAACCCTAGATACAAAGTCCCGAGTTCCTTTAAGTACCCATAAGCCCAAACCCTAAAACCGCCGAAGCCCTAAAACCCAAAGTCAAGGCGCCGGATCAGCTTCAGCAGTCGAAGGGCCCGAAGAACCTTCACGCTGCTGTAGCCTCCACGGTTTGAGCTCAGTTTAGGGTTTAGGGGTTTACGGTTTTTTAGGGTTTTAGGGTTGAGGGTTGAGGGTTTAGGGGTTTAGGGTTTAGGGGTTTAGGGGTTAGGGTTTAGGGTTTAGGGGCCTTGAAAAGTAGAGTGGGGTCTAATGGGCTTTTAATTCAAAAGTCTTAAGGCCTAAAGGGTCAACGGCAGAAGCTTGACCAAGTAGAGTGCCAAGGGCTTATGGCTGTAAAGGTTTCGGGTCGCGGTGATGGTGATGAAGCGGAAGAGGTTGACCCCGGCATTTTTGGTATGCTATTGCCGGTGCCATGGGGCTCTATCTGTTGCTGCTGTCCTGGTGCCACTAGCGCTTTGTTGCTAGGAACCAGCCGTGCTCCTGTGATGCTATTGCTAACAGGTTTGGCTCCCTCCTCGCTATCGCTCTTGGTGGCTATGCTCGGCTGCATGAAGCCATGCCACGCCCCCTACATTTTCAACCCTAAGAATTAACAAGTACTACATCAACTCGGATACTTTGACCCCTATTACAACCTACTAACTTGACTGACTGACTGACTGACTGATTGACTGACTGACTGACTGACCGACTGACTGACTGACTGACTGACGGACTGCCTGACCAAGTAGCTAATCAACCAAGTCCTGATACCGAGAGACCCAAGACCTTTCACCCCGCCAGATGTCAGAGACCAACCCATAACATATTAGCGCCCGAAACAATTAGGCAGGGATTTCGGAGGGTTTTCGCACAACTGTTCGGTATGACTAGCTCATCAAACTTGCTATGCACTGAATCCCGTATAAACCCGTGCATAACACCCATGTTTGAAATCTTGTGAGGGCACTCACAAACCCCAAACATAAAATGGCCTTAAAGGATAGAATGGGGTGGAGATATACTACACAATAAATATAGAAGGGACCACAAGGAATATCGTTACAGATTTTCCGACCCCTATGGTAATCTTTGTGGAGACCCCTCCCTGCCCAAACACCCCAGCGAGCTGGCCTGAGGTTGTTTCCGTTTCTGCGGGTGCAAAAACATCGAAGGGGATCAGCGTCACGAAGTCCAAGACAAACCTTGGCATCGCTTTTGGCTTTAACCTTACTTAAGGATCATGGGACTTAGTAACTAGGGTGATTATTAGGGTAATTATGCTTATAACTACTTATAACCCCAATTAAGGTACTTATAACCTTACTTACTAAGTCCCATGATCCTCCAAGTACTACCCCAATAAGCCACGGAAATAAAAGGTTAACCTTTCCGATTCCTGGTAAACTACAAAGAACCAAAAAAGTTCAAAGGTTGGGTCTTAGGGATCTAAATAAATTTAGCGTCTTCAAGCTGCAGGACTTGAAGGCACTTTAAGGTTTAGGTTTCGGGTTGAAGACCCCTGAGAAGATCTCAAAAATATCCAAAGATGTCTTCTCTAGGCACTACTTGAAGGCCCAGGGGACTTAGTAACTAGGTTATAAGTAGAGTTATAAGTCCCCTAAATGGAGCTACCCCAATTATAACCCTACTTATAACCGACTTACTAAGTCCCCTGCCCCTCCAAGTAGTATCAGCTACCGCATGATTGCTTCTATTTTTTTGGACCTCCCGGAAAACCCAGGATTCATACACCCCGTCCTTTAGAGGCCTTAATCTTCGCATCGCTTTTCTGGGACGGGGGTTCAGGAATCCGGGGTCTACATAAAGGGAAGTTTGAACCATGTAACTAGATCTGAAACATGCGCCATTCGCTCCGAAACCCCTGAGGCCTCATCCTATGAACTCCGTAGCCTCAGTGTAGCTAAACATGTAGCGCGGATGCATGGAAGGGCCTTGCTATAACCCCCGACCTAACCCATCCCCGCAGTGAGCAAGACTCTGTACTACCTACCGCCCCAGGCCAACGTACCGAGAAGCCAGGTCTTCACGTACCGGGAGACGATCTTGTTCAGCCGCACCTACGAAGGGGCTCGTAGCCTAGTGTACTTGGAGGATCATGGGACCTAGTAAGTAAGGTTATAAGTACCTTAATTGGGGTTATAAGTATAGGTACCCTAATTATAACCCTAGTTAATACCAAGTCCCATGATCCTTTAAGTAGGGATCCAAGAGTCAAGCCAAGGCTCCTTTGAAAAGGTCCTGTAAGCCTATAAGTGTATTCAGCTGGTAGAGCGTAGGGTTGATGCTTTAAAGTTTAAGGCTTGCAGGAATTTGTTTTCAGGGTTTCGCTCTTCGGGCTGAATATGAGGCCGCCTGAACAGTTAGAGTAGGCTTTGGGGCGTATTGTAATGCAACTAGAATAAACATCCTCAGCGACCGAGTTTCTAGTTAGTCTGGCTTCTACATTATTGGGGAATTGGTATTGGAGCGTTCGAGATCTGGAATTAAGATTTAATCTATTCGGGTTTCGGTGTCTCAGATCATCACGACGTCCTACCTAGGTGTGACATGCAGCTGCTGCCAATGAGACCATGCTTTGGGAGTTAGGATTAGGGATTAGGGGGACCCTTGGGGATATAGACTCTCTCAATCCCCTGTTAAGAGAGCCAGAAATAGGGTTCAGAAGGGGTACCCTTTAAGGGGTCTCCCTAATAATACTACTACCTATGCTTGGACGGGCTCGTGCCCTCCGACCCCTGCTGGTGTAGCAAAGAAGCACTCCCGTAACGAAAATGCTGTGGTCCTTCTCCATAGCCATGGCCACCCAAGAGCTGTCTTCTAAGACCAAAGCTGTGCCGGGATCGAGGCTCGTGATCCTGAATTTCGGTCCCCAGCTTTAGGCTTGCAGCAAGATAAGCAACCTTGGGCCAGCCGGCCCTCGGATCGTGTGGGTCGCTTCCCGAAGCTCTCCCCGAGCGGACGCCAAGAAAGACAGCACGAAACTTGAGAAAATCGGCTGGCCACCGAAAAGACTTGAAAGGAGTTGGAGCCGCAAAAACTCATTGCCGCGACGCTCCACGCATTCCCTCAAAAAAGTCAAGCGGATGTCTGCCGCCTTCAGGGGGTACCCTTGGCTTCATTCTTGCGCACCACATTGCGAGTGTAGCCCGAAGGGAAACCGGGGGAGCATTCCCACACTTAAACGTTGGGTGTTTGTGGGGGCTTCTTTGTCTTTGGTGCTAGGAGTGTAAGGAGGAGCTAATGCGCTCGGAATCAAGCGAGTTGCTTCAGCGTTCAAGGGCTTAGAGGTTTAGGGATCTAGTGTTTAGGGGTGCCTCGTCAGCAAGCCTCAAGACTCAAGAGCTATAAGAAGGTCTCCGAATAGTTTTAACTCTTAGACAATACTGTCACAGGTCGTACTGCGGCAATTGCAGCCAATCAAAGCGACATCATCAACTGCTTGGTAACAATTCCTTTCGCAACAAGGGCGCAAACGCACAAGAGTTTTAGGCCATGGAACCCGTGTACACAACAGAAACTCCTTGCGAAGCCCTTGCACCCTTTACAGTACAACACCCGATCTAGAGCCATACTGATCCACATCGAAGACAATCTTATTCTAGGGCCTACATAGTTTGCCTATAGTTACTATTTTGAAGGTTTCTTATTACAGTTATTATAAACACCAAAGGCCTATTCTAATTATCAAGGCCCATTTTCTTCCGTTTCTCCCTTCACCCTCAACGCTTAAACCCTAGCCGCGAAGCTTCGCGAACACCCATGATAGGGACCCTTAGGGGGGTAGGGGGAGGGGGTAGGGGACTATATCTCGCCGGGTGCTTATGAAGGCCCCTCCCCCCTTTAAGGGTGCTTATGAACCCATGACAGGGCCCCCCAAAAAAAGCACATAAGCAAAATAAGGATAGGGATATCCCTTAGAAGCTGCCCCCACCCTGTAATAGTGATATAGTAGGAATATAATAGGGCCCTAATATTCGGCTCGGCCCGGCCGAAGCGGTCAGAGGTTCCTATTCGGATTCCTCTATTCCCCACCTCTTAATCCCCTCCCCAGTGACCGCCCCAAAAAAAAGGGTGCCACCCCCCCCCCCCCCCCCCCCCCCCCCTAAAAAATGGAAACGTGTCGATGAGCCCCAAGGTGCGGCGGTTGCCTTCCAGGTGCGAGCTTTCTGGGGTTTTCGACGACACGGGACTGCAATGTAGCATCTTTTTGTGTTGGGGCTCGCCGCATGCGCGTACAGCCGGGCCGAGGCGGACGACGCGCAGCGTTTCAAATAATCCTTATAGTCACTATTACAGGGTGGGGGCAGCTTCTAAGATATGCCATATAAACCTCCTTATAAGGAAGCCCAAGGCTTCTGTGGCCCCGAACATGAGAGCCCCAAGAGAGACTGCTCGCCGCCTCCAAAACCACGCCCGAAGGCGTGTTCCTCGTGTAGGCGGTGCAGAACTGCAGCATCATGTCGATGAAGAAGATGAAGTCCACCTGGAACTTTCGAAAAAATATCGGGATTTGGGGTACATGACATGAGGGGAACCCTTAGGGGGGGGCCCTTAATGAGGACCTAATAAGGCCTACTCAAGAAAGTATAGTCCCCTACCCCCTTCCCCCCTGAGGGTCCCGATGATGACACCAAAGTTAAGCTTCTAAGAGATTCAGGTGTCAACAAAATTCAGGAGCCTGTGGAATCGCGGCGATCAGTCTTCCCGTGTGTTGGTCTAATATTAGGTACTGCCCCCCTACAGTAAGAGTCGATAATAGTAATAATAGGCCTACGATTAAGGTCCTAATATATCTATATTATGAATCTTATTCAGCTATTACTGAGTGGGGGAGTTACCCAAGTCTAATATATCAGGTTTTGGGGGATCAGAAGGAGCCTGTCGACCATAAGAGCTGGAGTCTACGCGGGCTTTATGCAGGCATTAGGATTTCCGGGATTCCTTCTTGGAGGCCGGGGTAACTCCATATAAGGTAATGGTAACTCTACCTATAGCCTATAACCTACTTACTAAGTCCACTGGGCGTCTAAGTTGAAGTAGGGCGTAAATGCCGACAGAGTTGTAAAGGCACACGTAAGTTGAACTTTGTAGCTCCCAACTCGAAGTTCCAAAAAACTTAAGATCCACAAGCCCCAGTACCGGGTTTTTGTTTTTTTCTCGAAGTTGGGGCTAAGCTTTTCTTTTGGTTTTAGGGTTCGATTCTTTTTGGGGCTTGGGGTAATGTAGGAAGCTGATTAAGAAGCCTTGGCCCTGAATGACCCCCAAATAGTACGATTATGAAAAACCCTGATAAAGACCCAGGGTTTCTTAACCAGGTTCCTACATTAGGGCCCCTATATTATAGAACCCTACTATAGATCCCTTATAGAGCCCTTTAAGGATCCCTTTAAAGGAACCCTATTCTTAATCTGGTTCCTACATTACGGAACTCTCAGGAATGATATCATCGAACAGCTAAACCCCTATAATAGCCCTGATAGACCCCTTTAAAGGAACCCTAGATTCGCGTTCGGCTTCAGACATCTCCGACCCCCGGCCAGGACTCCCTGAAACCGCTGAAATAACGCGACTCAGATCTTCCAAAAATCCCTCCCAGGGTTCCTTTAAGGGAGCTAGAAGGGATGTATAGGGTTTAGGAGACTCCAAATATCCTTTTTTGAAGGAGTATTCACCAAACTAAAGTAGGATCCGCAATGATGTAAGAATCTGATTAGAAACCCTGGGTGTTCGTTAGGGTTCCTTATATGAGCCCTACTATTTTGGGGTGATTAAGAGCCAGGGTTGCTTAATCAGATTCCTACATTACTTGGTTTCCCCAGTAGCCCGTGAAAATCCAGGGTACCTTTTGCCTACTATTCGGTTATCATAAAGAAACTTCAATGCTAGGAGGGTTTAGGCTTTAGAGCTTTAGGGCTTTAGGGATTGAGGGGTTTAGGGATTTAGCGCCTTCGTAATTCGGCATCCTTTTCCTAGGGCACCCTTTTCCTACTGCTCGGTTATGATAAGAAGACTCCAAAACGAAATGGGCAAAAAGGGTTCTACTGTGATTCCCAGAATATAATCCTGGCTAAGGGAGGGTGGAGCCAGCACCCCAAACCCGAAGCCCCAATCCCTAAATCCTAAAAACACCTAAGCCCCTATACACCTTCAACACCCTAGACGTCTGAACACCTAAAGCCTAAACCTCCACCAAACCCTACACCCCTATAGACACCTTACAGAACCCTTAAAGGAACCCCAGCAAGCCCTTATATTCCCTAAAGCCCCTAAACCCCTCAACTCTAAGCCCAAAATACGAGACGAGGGAGCCAGCACGCTCACGAAGAACGCAGCGTTGTACCGCACCTGCAGCAAGCAGACCTCGCGCTGTGCTGATGAGCAGGGTGCAGCAGTTCGGGGTTTAGAGTTTGGGGGTTCCGGTGGGTAGGGTGCGAGGGTGTAGGGGGTTTAGGGTCTCAGGTGGGGGGGGGCGTCGGGAAGGCGGTTTGAGGGTCTTATATGGTGTTCCAGCCAGGTTTAAGGACTTTGGGGCAAAGGGGCTTGCGGGGTCTTATGCCAGGGTGGGGGATGTAAGGCCAAGCCGACTGAATTCAAGGTTGTCTTTTCCAGCTGCATCATGACAAGGATTTTAAACTTCAGGGCTGTTGGGTTCAGGATGTAGAAACAGAAGTAGTAACACCCCTTCCTTTAAGGGCCTCCATGTTAGGATCCCCTTAAAACTCCTGATTAAAGAGCGGGGCAGGGGTCTAAACAACGATTTAGAATTTAGATGAAAAGGATCCACAAGTGTCCTAAGAGAGCTCAATACCAAGCACATGATATAGATTTTGCATTGCAACCCTCAGCCCCAAACGTCCCAAACTCTAACCCCATACCTCAACTCTGAACTCCAAGCCCTAAACCGGAAACGCCCGAAACCCCAACACACGAAACCTCGACAGCAGGTATCATATCTTGCGGCGGAGGCCTAGCATAGCGGCCCTTTTAGTTAGAATAGGGTTTTGGAGCCCATTATGCTATGATTACAAGGATTATATTAAGGAACTCCCAAAATTATACAGGTAGTTATTTAGGCCCCTCTATTATAACCTATGGAAACCCTTATACAACCCTTTAATTCTCTAGGCCTCTGTATTGGTCTTCTGTTACACCGGGCCCATTAAGGCTTCACCAGGGCATAAAGCATCATAGTGGTCTTGGGAGGGTCTGTATTCTGTTTAGGGTCTACTTGGCAGATCGGGGGACATCCCAACTACACTGTAATTAGGTGGATCTTAACCCTAAATCGTTTGTATCGTTAGCCCTGAATTACAAAAACGCTTGCTTTGCAACTGGTTACAAGGTGCTCTGAGCCTTTGAGCGGGGTTTCATGACGTAAACTGCTGGGTTTAGCTTCATACAGGGGTTTCGGGTTTGGGGGTTTAGCCGCGGGATTTCTTGGCATGTCGAGCAGGATCAGGGCCGGGCACTAGGACACGTTATATATATATATATATATATATATATATATATATATACATATATATATATGTATATATATATATATATATATAGAGCTTCAGGGTTTAAGGTTCAAGGTCATTGTTACGGTAAAAGGTCTTCGTCCGGGTGACAAAGGAGTAGGGGTAAGGTACACTGAACCCCGAATCCTAGGGTCGAGGGTTTAGGTTCTAGGTCATGGGGCTTAGGGTCTAGGCTCCTAGGGTTTGGGGCTTAGGGTTTACCTAAGTTGCGAGGCTTGAAGCTAAATGCTGAAAGCTGAACCTGAAGCCCGAAAGTCAACGCCTGATGGGGCCTGATAATTAGAACAAGGTGTTGGGCAATACGGTTGATGATATAAATCCTGCATGACCTTAAGGACCCTAAACTATGGGAATTATGGTATATGCCATATTATGGGTAATGCAGGATTTATATCATCAACCGTATGATTCAGGATATACTGTATATTAAGGAACCTAAGGACTACTGCTCTCAACAATTCCCTAAACCCTAAGCCACTACATTAAACCCTCACTCACCCTCGCCGGTTGCACAACGGCCTAGAGCTGCACGCATCTTACACCCCAAACCCGGTAAGTATCCAAATACAGGTGCCTTAGTAACTGGAATAAGGTTTTGTCGACGTTGTCTGACATACTGACAATACAGAACCCTAGGCACCACTGTTGATGATATAAACCCTGCATTACCTTAACGACCCTAAACTATGAGAGTTATGGTATATTCCTTATTATGGGTTATGCAGGATTTATACCATCAACCGTAGTAATCATTGGCACTTGTTCCGACACATATCTTACACCCTCAAGTTTCGGTTCTCTTCTGTCCCAACCATGCCCTTAACCCAGAACCCGAAGCCTAAATCCGACCTGTAGGCCGAAAAAAACCCGTTTGTTTAGGCTTCCTTAGTAGTAGTAGAAGTAGAAGTAGAAGTAGAAGTAGAAGTAGAAGTAGTAGTAGTAGTAGTAGTAGTAGTAGTAGTAGTAGTAGGTCTGGCTTCTTTTTTTGTGTAAGTCCTGAAGAAGGTAAGATTTTGCTGCCGCTGGTAATCCCCTAAGCGCCAGAATTCGGCCTGCACCGGCGTGACTAAGGCCACGAAGATCAGGGACGCACACACCTTGGCTGATGAACCCCTCCTAAAAGTTAAACGTTTAGCCTCCTCAGTATAGGTAAAAGAAACCCCAACAAGTTAAACATCTAAGACCTCAGTATAGTTAATATAGAAACCCCCAAAAATTAAAAATCTAAGAGCCAACCAGAAGAACGCGCCAAGAAACGAGGATCTGCCATGCTCCGCCCATGGGACATCTCGCAGGGTTGATCACGTACCTTTCTCACATGGGCAGTTTTCTAAACTACTGTTGATGATATACATCCTGCATGACCTTAAGGACCGTAAACTATGGAAAAATATAAAGGGTATTGACTCTAAACTACGGGAATTATGGTATATTCCTTACTCTGGGTCATGCAGGATTTATATCATCAACTGTAGGGTCCCTTTTAGGGTCCTTTTGAGAAGGGTGCCGTACTATTTGGGGACTCTAGGGAACTATTATAAAGGGTACCTCCTCCTCGGGCCCTTAGGAGACGGATCCTACTGTTTGGGGTACTGTAGTAGGGTCTCCTACTTTCGGAAACTCCCACATGCAGATCAAGATCATCTAAGGACTGGAAGACCGCAACTCAAAGCCCTAAACCCCGAACGTTGAAGCACGCACCCTACACTCTCAAGGTCGAGATCTTTGAGGCTTTAGGTATCATTACTGCATCACATGCCCTGCAAAACAAACAAATGCTTTAATCAGGCCCCAATGCTAAGCCCTAATCGTCAGCTCTTCGGAACCAAGGAACCCTGTTTTCAATTGTTAAGGCCCCCCTGGATTGAGGTTTTGTGGTTTGGGGTCAAGGTCATTGACCCCCGCGGCTTGGCACTTAGGGAAAAAGCGCATATGTTCAGTTCCGTACGGTATGAAATAGGGGCCTTAATAATTAGAATAGGGTTTGGGAGGGTATATTCTACTATACATGTAGTTTGGAACTCCCAGAGTAGTATAGGTCATTATCTAAATTTAAGCCTCTGTAGTAATAGAATATTACCCCAAAAGTGTAAAGTGCACTCATTCAGCTATTAAGACAATCTACTAGTTACTGGCCTAAGGTCTAAACCCCTCTCTCGCTCTCTCTCATCGTCTGAGTCTCGCTGTCTGTCCACAAAGGCTTCCGATCTTTTTGAACTGCATTGACTGGTGTATTGCACCTGTTAGCCAAACAGCCCAAGCCTACATCCAAAAACAAAAGCCGTCCCAAAGAGTGCATCAGCCAAGCAACCAAGGCTTCACAGCCGAGGGTTGCGTTGGGTTCACCGTTTGTACCTCCCAGGCTGATCATAATAGTGGTTAGCTTCTTTATGTTCTAGGGTATAGGGTTTAGGGGAATAGGGTTTAAGGGTTTACAGGGTTAATGTAGGCACCTGATTAAGAAACCTTGGGCCTTTATGAGGGTTCCTTATATGAATCCTGCTATTTTGGGGTTCTAGGCACAGGGTTTCTTAATTTAGGTTCCTACATTAGGGTGGTACCTGCAATTTGGGGCTGTGGGTTTCGGAGTCATGCTCCACATCGTCAGAGGTGTCTCGCGTTGGAGGCATTCAAGGTTTAAGGGCTTTCACGGTTAAGGGCTTCAGAGGGTTCAAAGAATTGGGAAGGGATCAAAGTTCCTGCCTCGAGGGTTCGGGGATTTAGTAGGTAGCTACTCAATAGAACTATAACTACACTAAACTGAACCCAATTAGGTTGCATGCTGTAGGCAAGACTTGCCGCTCATGCGCGTGACCTGCCTGCGGTGTCCTTCTTATCGTTATTCGTGGGTGTGCCCAGAGCCTCCAAAACCCCTTAATTAAGGAATATACCTTAAATCACATTATGGATCCTACTATACTTTAAGGGTATATTCCTTAATTAAGGGGTTTTGGAGGCTCTGGGTCAAGCCCGGGGCGTACACCAATGCCCTGGGCCAGACTCCAACGATCAGGAAACTTGGTCCTCGACCCTGCCATCATCCGGTTGATGGACAAAATCCCTAGGGCTCCTTTAAGGGATCTTTAGGGTTTAGGGATATAAATCCTGCATGACCCTAAGGACTCTAAACTATGGGAATTATGGTACATTCCAAATAAAGGGTAATGCAGGATTTTGTCCATCAACAGTCTCTCTGCATGGGAAGTCGTTGCCCTGCTCCTGCTCTTCCCGACCACGGCAGCTTCTAGAGCAGGGCTCCTGCTTTCTTGCCCGTGCCCATCTTCTCCAGAGAACGGAAACACTAGACTAGACCCTAAGCAGCTGCCATTTAGAACCCCTTATAAAGTTAGCCTTTTCAGCCCACTAAGCAAGCCCCAAAGCTAAGGTCCTAACATCCCAGCTCAGTCCCAACACAGAAACCACAAGACGTTGATGCGTGAAATGATCTGAACCGTTTTCTACTCAGGGTGGTTATGCCGGCTACTTAAAGGATCATGGGACTTAGTAACTAGGGTGATATTTGGGGTAACTATACTTATAACTACATATAACCCCAATTAAGGTACTTATAACCTTACTTGCTAAGTCCCATGATCCTCCTAGTAGTCATTCTTCACCTGCTACACCGGAGAAGCAGCTAAATTGCTAAAGCTACCTGGAGCTACCAAACTTACTTTCTGTAGGTTCTCCATAAATGCTAGATCAGGGCTCATAGTGAGAACTTAAAGAGCAGCTTTACGGTGGTTGTTTAAGGTAACCCGTGAGGTAACCCCTAGAACGAACTTTAAAGCTCTGCGAGCCCAGCAGGCCCCAACTTTCCACACTGAAAGGAACCTTTATCGGAGCCGTAAAGGGCTCCTTTAAGGGATCCTTCTCAGGGTTCATATAAGAAGTCATTTGAACTGCTCCCTTAGAGGTACCTTAAAGGGAGCCTTATGGTACCATTCAGGGAATCCTTTATCGGCCCTTTATACCCCCCATCATAGCCTTCATGATGGAGAAGTCATGGAGAGTACTTCGCTTCCGCAGCGTTATTCGCTGTAGAGAATCGAGCTGCTCACTTTCAGCAGCGGGCGATTGCGGCAGCATGTCCTTGGATTCATTGAGTACAGAGGGGGCCTCGAAGATTGCTAATGTGAATTCTTGATATTCATACCTGGAAGCCCCACATCCTACTCTAAGGCCCCGAAAGAGCTTTCTTGTTCACCGGATCGAATGCTATACAGGCGAAAATGCGGTGGGGTTAGGTTCTTCGGCTTCTTGGCACAGCCAGCGCCAATCATTGAATCAAAACGAACGAATGATGTATATCCCGAGGTGCCCCGCACCCAGACCCCCGGGAGGAACCCCCATTAAGGGATCTATTTTTTGGATTTTTGAAAAGGGGGTCTGGGCAGTGACGCACGGGAACAACACCTGGAAGAAGACTGGCCGAAAGCCTAAACTCTACAAGCCTAAAGTGTCAACCCCCGAAGCCCTGTAAGAACGCTTAAATCCTAAACCCCAAGCCACCTATTTCAACCCTAAACCCCTAAACCCCTCAACCTTCAAACCCTAAACCCTCAATTTAAACCCTAAACCCCTAAACCTTTAAACCCTTAAACCCTAAACCCCTGAAGCCTCAACCCCTCAAAACCTAAACTCCAAGGGTGAAAGGAGGGACCCTTAACAAGGACCCCTAGGTATATACCCTTAATATAGTTAGTATATACCCATTATATAGCCCATTCTAGGGTAGGGGTCTTACGGGGCCCTCCGTTTCCCCTTTGAGAAACTGCAACGCTCCAGAGGCCCGGCTTCCTAGAGAGCCTCGCCAGTGCCACTGAAATCTGAGGTATTTTGGGGCTTAGAGTTTACCTTAACCCACCACAAACTACCTTTTTAATTTGTATACTAGGAACCCACAAAAAGTAGGGTTGGTTTAGGGCTTAGAGTTTACCTTAACCCACCACAAACTACCTTTTTGTATACTAGGAACCCACAAAAAGTAGGGTTGGTTTAGGGCTTAGAGTTTACCTTAACCCACCAGAAACTACCTTTTTGTATACTAGGAACCCACAGAAAGTAGGGTTGGTTTAGGGCTTAGAGTTTACCTTAACCCACCACAAACTACCTTTTTGTATACTAGGAACCCACAAAAAGTAGGGTTGGTTTAGGGCTTAGAGTTTACCTTAACCCACCACAAACTACCTTTTTGTATACTAGGAACCCACAAAAAGTAGGGTTGGTTTAAGGCTTAGAGTTTACCTTAACCCACCACAAACTACCTTTTTGTATACTAGGAACCCACAAAAAGTAGGGTTGGTTTAGGGCTTAGAGTTTACCTTAACCCACCAGAAACTACCTTTTTGTATACCAGGAACCCACAAAAAGTAGGGTTCAGGGCTCAGAGTTTACCTTAACTCACCAGATCCTATCTTCTTGCATACTAAGAACCAACAAAAAGTAGGGTTTAGGGCTTAGAGTTTACCTTAACTCACCAGAACCTATCTTTTTGTATACTAGGAACCCACAAAAAGTAGGGTTTAGGGCTTAATTAGAGTTCACCTTAACCTCAAGGTAGGATTGACCGACGAACGGCGTCCGACTCTCCAGGCGAAAGCCCGGCTTTCGGGGTCCGAGTTTTATGCATCTTACCCTAAGGCTCCATAGTAGTTCCTTTTCGGGATGACCCTATAGGATTCTAAATGAGCCTCAGGGTAACGGCGTCTGTTTTTGGGTTTAAATACCTTGCGGCCAGAGAAATCCAAATCAAACGTCATTCAACATGCCCAAAAAGTCCTCCTTTCTATAGGGTGTAATATTACACAGAGAAGTGTACAGTGTACCAATTCTGGATACTAAGTAGGGTTTAAGCTTTAGGGGTTTAGGGTTTAGGTCTTAGGGTTGAAGCAAAGGAAACAGAAGCGATGAACCCCCCACATGCCTTCAGAGAGTCACTTCTCGGTGACTCTGCTCGGCTCACAATGCTTGATGCCGGCTCCGAGGAATCTCCTTCGCACTTCAGGCCGGCTGCAAGGCTTTCTACAAATATGGGGTGTTTCCGAGAAGAGGGGATCCTAATATAGTACCCTAAAAAGTAGGATCCTGCTTGTAAGGATCCCAAAATACGGTGCCCCTAATTTCCGGAAGCTCTCATCTCCAGGTTTCTATGTTGTTTTAATGTGAAGTAGTTGTATTAAGGAGCCCTACTTGGCAGTGCAGACTTTAAAATATTTACGAAGAGTTCGAGGTACTACGCGCATAGCCACCCAAACTTGTAGTTTCACCCTAACCCGGAACCCTAGGCCCTTAACCCTAAACCCCTGAACCCGTAAAACCCTGAACCCTTAAAACCCTGACCCTAAACCCCTGACCCTTAGCCCTAAACCCTGAACCTTAAAACCCTAGACCCGAAACCCATAAGACCCTTAACCCTCAACCCTAAACCTCGAAGCCCAACTCCAAAGACCACCCGAAAACCAGAAGAAGAAAACACGGGTACTACTGGGCATCCTAATTAACGGTTATGCTACGCCAGAAGAATGAAGGCTTATCATTCGACATGTTTGAAAGCGCTTCAGGAATCCAACCGCTCTTCCCAAAACAACAAGGAAGCAACATCCTGAACCCCAAGCCCATATGGGAGTTTCCGAAAATTGGGGGTACCTTATTTTGGGGCCCTTATAACAGGGATCCTAGTATTTAGGGTACTATATTAGGGTCCCCTATTTTCGGAAACTCCCATATCTTCATCTCCCACCTCCGTTTCAATATATCGTTCGGACCATGGATCCCGAACATAGACCCGGTATTGGGCTTAGCAGGATCCCTGTCACAAGACGGCACGCAGAGACCTTGCGAAACCACCAGTCCCCTGTTGCAAATGGAAAGGCTGACATGCAGACCCTCTCCAAATACTCGTGATACTGTAAACAACGAGCGAATTCACGCTGCTGCATGCCTTGAACTGTCAGAGAGCAAACAAAGCCTTGCGAAAAGGCTTCACGTTGTTGCTCTGAGTAACCTGACGAACAAGTGAGCTCAACGCTGTTCTGAAGAGCCCAGACACATCAAACTAGCGATTGCTTTAATATGGAACCTTATGTTGCCATCAGGGGCCCTTGGACCACTCATCATGAAAACTCTGTCAAATCGAACCCCAGCACAAGGGCATTCTCAACCCAAACAGCTGCGGCTCCCTGGAGCGTCGGCAGCGTCAACTCCCGCTGGAAGGGCTCGGCCGTCTTCTTTGGCAAAGTAGGCTGGCCTGGCTGCTAAGCTGGCCCTGACTCAGGTCGGGAATGTAGAAGTTCAAGGAAACGGCAGATTTGTCATTAAAGAATGTAAAGTTTAGTTTGTCTGTTGTGGTACTTACACTTACAGTATACGCGTTTTTTGGCCTCATAGAATCCCCTTAACCAGCCATTGTAGCACGTACAGGAAGCTTCCCAGAGACTCTAGTACCCCTTAATTATGGAACATACCTTGAATTATAGTAAGATCCTTAATATGATTTAAGGAATATTCCTTAATTCAGGATCTTAGAATCTCTTAAACCGTAAACCCTATAGATCCCTTAAAGGAGCCCTTAAGGGAACCCTGACAGATCCCTTTAAAGGGATATTGGAGTCTCTGGGTTCTATGGTCCGAGGCAGCTTACAGGTTGCGCCCTCCTCTGAATGGCCCGTACCAAATCCCTCGAAACCGGCCCCAATCCTAAACCCGAATAATTGAATGGCAAGCAGAAGCTGCAGAAGCTAGAAGATTGAATGATCGGATTGCAGGCTGTTTCGAGAAAAACCGTAAAACCCCTGTACTTGGAGGGTCGGGGGACTTAGTAAGCAGGTAGTAAGTAGACTTATAAGTACCCTAAAAGGGACCCTAATTGGGGTTATGGTACTTATAAGTCCCCAAAATAAACAGTTACTAAGTCCCCCGACCCTCCAAGTAACTTCCGATCCTTCACCCCACGGGGCCTCTTCCAACAGTCACGGGCGCTGCGCCCAGCTTTGCCATTCCAAGCTCGGTGAAGTTGTCGACCTTGTTGCAGGGGCTGTAGAGTTTACATAGTTGCGGAATTATTTAGCCTTCATGTCCGGCTTGAGGGATTAAGGCTGCAGGGCTTAGGGTTTAAGGGTGTAGCTTAGGGTTTAAGGATTTGGGATCCAGGGATTTGGGGTTTAGGGATTAGGGTTTCAGGGGTTCGAGGATTGGGGCTCAGGGATATACGGTTTTAGGGCTTTGGGGTTCAGGCTCAGGGTTGCGGAATTCTCAAGAACTGTATACGTAAATTGTAGGTACGGCCTAGCTACGGTTGATGATATGAATCCTGCACCTACCCATAATAAGGAACATACCATAGTTCCCACAGTTAGGGGTCCTTAAGGTAATGCAGGATTTATATTGTCAACCATATGACGGACTTGACGCACGAAGTCCTTGATCCTGGAAGTTGAGTTTACAATGGGGTGCAGCGAGTCTGGGGTTGTATTAGTCATGTACAGTGCAACATAGTATAGCGTAGTATAGCATAGCATAGTTTCGCATAGTATAGCATAAATTGTCGTACAAGTTGGTATCAGCTAAAGGATATAAGAATAAACGCAATAGGACGATGTAGTGCGCTTTCATCAAGAAACCTCTCGGGAAGAGGTCCTTGCCCCAAGAGAAAAAGAGCCCCCTTAAAGATTTCAAACTCCCATGTCGCTGATTTTGAACTCCTCTACTTAAAGGATCATGGGACTTAGTAACTAGGGTTATAATTAGGGTAACTATACTTATAACCCCAATTAAGGTACTTATAACCTTACTTACTAAGTCCCATGATCCTCCAAGTATCCCAAAGTCCGAAGAGTTTTCGTAACACAAAAACACCCGGTGAGACTCCATGGCCATCCCCAAACCACGACAGAACACTAAGCCAAGCAACAAAAACACCTACAAAAAACTAAACCCTAAAACACGAAAGCCCAAAAAACACCTCAAACCCCATGGCCTTCCCCATGATATCCTCGATCTCTTTGTCCAGCGGGTTAGGCGGGCCGCCGCCTCGGAAAAAGAACACCTTAACTTGGGTACTTCCCCCAAACAGGAACCGTCAATAATGGGGCTACTATCGGGTGCGACTGTATCTATATAATCCAAGAATATGGGTGTTTTGGGGTGGTTTGAGGGCTTCTTAGCCAAGGAATATGGGATTCCAGGGCTTCAAAGCTTTTTTTCGGGTTTCGGGTATCTTATGCACAGAATGTGGTTTCTTCGGGCGGGATGAAGATTTCTTGTTTTAGGACTTCAGCGTCTCGGGTTTAGAATTTGTAAGCCAAGCAATACGGCTTTTGCTCAACCTGACCTCGACCTCAAGCCCACACACTAAGCTGCAAAGACAAGCTTGAACAATGTACCTCTAGCTCCGGGCTTCTGTATAGGTTACTGTGGGGGGGGGAGTATTGATTTGGGTATCCCAAGAATTAAGGTGTTGGGGCATGTTATGGTGTGTGTGTATATATATATATACAGAGTTCGCTTTAACATACCGCAATACCCATACGAAAAGTAGTTGTTATAGTATGGAGCCCACTGGATTCGTGCTAATTAGAACCTCTTCTTCCGACCAGGCCCCGAACCCTGGAAGACCGAGGTTTAGGGTTTAAAGGGAACTCCAGAAAGTTGGAATATGGTTTCAGGGTAGGATACCTTATAATTTACCATAAAGGGTTTAGGATAATCATATTCCAACTTTCTGGCTTTTACTTTAGGGGTTAGACCTGAGCCCAAATACATGGATCCCTACTGTTGATGGACAAAATCCTGCATGACCCTAAGGACTCTAAACTATGGGAGCTATGGTATATTCCTTATAATGGGTAATGCAGGATTTTGTCCATCAGCAGTAGAATAGTCCCTTTAGGTAATCCCCAATACTAGTCCCCATAACCCATTCCCCCATTCCCTACACCTTATATCAAAGGGGAAAAGGAGGGACCCTCAATAAGGACCCCTAGGTATATACCCATAATATAGCCATAATATACCCATTGTACAGCCCATTATAGGGTAGGGGTCCCATTAAGGGTCCCTCCTTTTTCCCTCTGATTATAGCCTCAGAAGGCCTCAACACCGCGAAGCGACTTCCACATCCTAGGGTTTAGGGGTTTAGGGGTTTAAGGGGTTTAGGGTTTAGGGGTTTAGGGCTTTCAAGTTTTAGAGCTACCAAGCGGCAACGCAGCAGAGCATTTTCCCTTTCCAGCCTGGCAGGCCACGCAAGGGCGCCCAGCTTTACATATTTCTAGGGCTGGGAGCTTCATAGTAAAACCTAGACCCCGAACGCGAAACCCAGAAACCCTAAACCCTACACCCTAAATCCCTACTAAGAACCAGACAGCCTACTAAGAACCCTAAACCCCTGTAGTATAACCCTTATAGTAACCCTTCTAGGACCATTTAAAGGAACCCTCAAAGGAACCTACTCAGAACCAGCCAGTCATCTGCCATGCCTGCCTCTTGGGATTCGGGCCTTCTACCGGAACACTCCGGCTCAAGAATTGGCCCGGAACCTAGACACTACACCCAAACTCCTAAACCTCGCCAAGTATTCCACCCTCAACCCAAACCCAAAATCCTAAACTCTAAACTCCTCGAAGCCCAATCCCTAGACTCCATCATCCTAAACCCCAAAGCCAAACCCCTGTAAGGGGCTGGTTGAGGCTTGGGGCACTTGGGTGGTTGTCAAAATTAGGGTCCCTTTTGGGGTACCCTAAATAATAGGTGCCGTACTATAATAAGGACCCAAAAAGGGACCCTAATCTTGACAACCACCCACTTAGTGTTCCGGCTTTGAGCACAGGCTACTTAGCAGTAATGAGGGGTTCCTTTGCGAGTTTCCAGGAGTATTCTATAAGGGTCTTAATTATAGTATAGTGTGCCGGCTTTGAGCAAAGGATGATACTTTGCAGGTTTACCACCTTACCAAATACATATCTTGATTTAGGGGCTTTGAGAATTCCAAGAGTGTTTTGGGGCATCGTCTGCCAGAATGAGAATGAAGAGCCCTAAGGAAGAACAGGGGCAACTATTATTCAAGGTTCTGCATTATTTCGCAATTACAGCACAGCTAAGCTCTGTCGGACCGAATCTCGTCTGGCCGAAGAACTCAAGTATCTCGTCGGATTATATAGACCCTCATGAATGTCAACCTTTTCAACCATGTTAGGGTTAGGTAAACGATGAACCCCGAAGGGTTCAAGATTACCTATTCAGCCTCAAAGTGTAACATCTAAGAACCCAGCAGTTTTGTTTGGAGTTGGTTTACGGCCCCAACTTTAGACCCTAAGACGTGGATTTAATTAAGACCAGCCTTGAAATGCGAATCTGGCTATTGGCCCAGCCAGAGAACCGTTACAAGCCTGTTGATTCTACCATCTTCAAACTGATGCAGCACTGTGCAAGCAGGTCCTGCTGGCGCGTTGATGATGATGATGATGTTGATAGTGGTTCTTTGTGATACTGAAAGCGGTGACGGTAGTTGGAATGGTGAACATGGTAACGCTAGTGATAGCGGCGAGAGCGGCAGATATTCTTAATGTCCATGATCACGGACATAGTATGGGTAGGAACAATGACGATGAGCATGATGACGTTGTTGTTGTTGTTGTTGATGATGATGATGATGATAACGCCTAAACCTTAACACCTCAAATGCCGATAGCAGCCTCGATTTTGCTCGTACTGCCCGGCTTTTGGCTACTGTTGTCGTTGTTCATCTCATAAACACGCTTGTCTGCATGGATGGTCTTCAGGCTGAAGGGACGACAGATCATGCGACCCCTCAGTACCAGCAAAAGGGGATGACAGGCTTCTTGTTAAGGAGCTCCAGCTAATTCTTCACAATGAACGCATGTTACATTCTAGCTACTCCAATTGTCGTATCTTGAGCTCGGTTCCTGAACAAGAGCCTATGTGAAGCCAGACACAGCCTGGTCCAGCCCATGATAAGTCAACGAATCCTTCTGAAACAAAGAACGCATCCCAGGCTTGTAAACACCTACAAACATCAAACATCCAGAACCCATCCCTGAAAACCGAACGGAACAATACTCAATATATCAGTGCCTCCCGCCAAACATGTTGTGAGCAGAATAGAATGAAGTGCAAACACCATAGGCCCCAGACGAAAGCTTCCGCTGTAAACTCCAAACCATCTACTAACGACTTAGATCCTTCAACTCCCAGCGCCCAAAGCCCAGAAGCCCTAAACCCTAACACCTCTAGAACCCCCGGAACCGAACCTCTGCCGCTGTTACATATTGAACCCTTACGTAGTGTTACTCGGTATTCAGACCCCAAACCCCTGAAACCCTGCAGCCTAAAGCCCACAACCTTCAAGAACAAAAGCACTAGGCCTTAAACTTTAACCCCCCCTCAAAACCCACCAACACCCGAATCCTCTGCAGGACGTTGGTCAGCTGCTCAATCAGCGGCTGCCACTGCGGCAAAGGTCCGAAATCAGAGCTCTCCATCGGATGGCTACGCGGCGGTCGCTTGTGTTTGGATTCTCTTGGGTTCCTTTACTTAAAGGATCATGGGACTTAGTAACTAGGGTTACAATTAGGGTAACTATACTTATAACTACTTATAACCCCAATTAAGGTACTTATAACCTTACTTACTAAGTCCCCTGATCCTCCAAGTAGGGGCTTCTTCGGTTCCCTTCCATGGCTTCATAGGCTTTCCCAGGGTTTGGGGAGTTTAGTGTTTGCTTATGGCGTTCTTAAAACATCTGTTCGACTTTTCGTCCGGTTCGAGGGCGTGGGGATGTAGGTAATGATTCAGGGTTTAGGGCTCCTTACATGAGTCCTACTATTTTGGGGTTAGAGGCCCAGGGTTTCGTAATCAGGTTCCTATCCGGCGCACAGCCCGGTCCAGGGTCCTTTCGCCCCTTCGGGGGAAAAGGAACCGGTACTGGCAGTAGCATATACTTTCTTGCTACAGCTAGCGTTAGGCGCGTAGGAGAATGGTTTGCTGGTGGTTGTTCTCGTTGATGCTATCATGCTGACCCCTAAACCCTAACAAATTAGTAGTTTGTTCTTTTGAGACTCAGAGCAGGTACCGTCCCCTGCCTTCAAAACGGGCTGCGATGGAAAAGCTCAGGGGGCTTTGGGCCTCCCTCAAGGGATCCTTTGAGGGTCCCCTTGAAGGGCTCCTATTGTGGGATCCCTTAGGAGTTCCTTGAGGAACTCTAGAATCTTGTGATTACAGGATTCCTTACCGGGCTCGGGGCTCTAAAAAAGGGGATCCATCAGTTCTTTAAAGGGCTCTGGGGATCCGCACAGGTCTCACGTTTCAGGGGCTCCTTCAAGGGATCTAGAACCATTAGGATTCCAGAAAGGGCTCTATACAGTTTCATGAGGGTTTCTTGCAAAAGGCTCTACAAGGGGGTTTAGGGCTTTTGTTGTTGGGTTCTAGGGCATAGGGGTTCCAGGCAATTTTCAGGTTCAGGGCCAGTGCGGAATCAGGAAGCTCTAGGGCCTAGGGATTCAACCCAAAGTCAGGCCGACCCAAAACCCTAAACCCAAAACCCAAAACCCTAAACCCTAAACCCTCTAAGAGGGTTTAGGGTTGAGGGCTTAGGGTGGGAAGTAAACTCAGCTGAGACTGACCATTAGGGTAGGCGTCTCGCTGCCTCGGTGGTTTTTGGCTTCTTACTTGTCCAGTGTCCTAGGGAAACTGCAGGGTAACTTCGGGATTATCAGTGGTTGTGGTACCCCAAGACGGGGAAAGGTTTACTACTCTACCGCTGCGATTTTGGTTGTGAGCCCCTGCCCTAAACCCTGAACCCCCTTCAATATGTTGGGTTCTGTAGGCGTCTGTCTCTGTGGGCATAGGTTCAGGTTCACCCGAACCCTCTAAAACCCAAGGCTTAAACCCACTACAAAGAACTGCTAGTGCTAATAACTGCTCAGTTCTCAGCCCTCTCTCTATGTATATATATATATTTATGTATATATGTATATATATATATATATATATATATATATATGTATAATGTATGTATATTACTTCTGCTCCTTCTGATGTTGTTGTTGCTGCTGCGCCTCGGAGCGCTTCAATTCTGTGCTGCTCTTGTTCTGACCCTGATTACATAAAGCGCCTCATAAACGATTTTCTGCAGTCCTTGTAAGGTTGGAGGGTTTGGAGATCATAGAAGCCAAAAGTTCTTTTCATTTGGGAGTTGCAGGAAAGAGCCTTAGCAAACGGACACCCCCCCGCCCCAATATTGAGAAATCCCTCCAACGCTTCTTCCGTCACTGCCCCTTGGAGAACCCTCTGCCCTTCAGTTTTGCACACATGCGCATGAATCGATCAGTTGTGGAGGAGTAGCTAGGTCGAAAACGGCACCCTGGATTTGTTGTTGGTGCAGGCTGCCCACCATAAACCCTACGTCCTACATCAGGTGTCTCCACATGGTGCCAATAGGCTGCTGATGGGTGTTATGCTCGAAGCCGACAATAATGCTGAACACATGGCCGCATGTCGCCTAAGGCCTTAGGCCTCAGTAGATGCTGCATCGGGAACTTTGCCCAAGCTCTCATGTGTCACCAGATTTGAAGATCTCTTCGGTGATCTCCATGTCCTGATGCTGCAGTTGCTGGAAGTTAGGATTTCCTGTATTCTGCAATACTCGTTGGAATAGGTCAGTGGGAGGCTGCTACAAGAAGCACTCCAAAACAGAGCCCAAATCACAACTTGATATACGGGCCTTATTGACTAGACTACGGGTTTGGGGTATATTGTACGACAATTCTTGTAGCCCCTGCAAAATTGGACCCTACTTGGAGGATCATGGGACTTAGTAAGTAAGGTTATAAGTACCCTAATTGCGGTTATAAGCATTGCCAGAAGGAGCCCTAACCCCTAAACTGGCCCTCGACCCTCATCCTCTGTCCGCGGCCCTCGTGCCAGATTGAGATTTCACCGGTTCTCTGGGGGGTCTCCTGAGATGTCCCAGACGCAGCACCAAGTTGAGGCATTGACGATCCAAAGCCGCAGAGGTTTAAAGGGAACTCCAGAAAGTTGGAATATGGTTTCAGGGTAGGATCCCCTATAATTTACCTTAAAGGGGTTACGATAATGATATTCCAACTTTCTGGCTTCTACTGCAGGAGGTGTGGGGCGTCGGGCGAAGGCTTCATGTTTAGGGTTTACTTTCCCGAACCCGTAAACTAGACCCAAGAGTAACCTAGGAATAAAAAGGGTGCCCTTTTTGGTTTAAAGGGGTTTATAAGGGAACCTGAACCCTAAAAAAGGGAATAAGGGCCTACTCTAGGTCCTAGTAAATCAAACCTACTTCGTAGGCCTCTGGGTCGCTGGCTCCGTGCGCACTCGAGTCGCGGCGGTGTTTCGCAACTGGCACGCGCCGCTTGTCCAGGGCTTTCTGCAGCGATCTGGGCGAAGCCCGGACCAAGGTGTCCTCCTGGAGCCACTCGCCCAGCCTCCTCCGGTCGCGACTGAAGCCTCAAGGCGTCTTCGGTGGAGAGTGGACCTACCTTTTTGAGGAACTATATATCGAAACCATAATAAGGAACCCTAGGAACTATATATCGAAACCATAATAAGGAACGAGCTTCCTGTGGAGTCCGACCCGCAGCCGCTGTTTCGTCCCCAGTGTTTAAGGCTCTTAGCCCTAAACCCTCGGAACTTGGGTAGACGATGATGTAGAGGCCGTCATAATGAAATAGAAGAGGGTTTGGGGGTATATGATACTATAATATAATGAGGAATCCCCCAACAAACCCATTCTGGTTGTTAAGGCCCCTACATTAACTGGCCATGAAAGGCGGTGAGGTCGAAGACTCCTTGGGCACTCGCAGGTAGCACAAAAAAGCCGACCAATTTTCACGAATTCTGAAATGACAGGCGTAAGGAACCCAAAACGAAGCCCTAATCCGGGCATGTGGGTACTTGTCAGAATTGAGGTCCCTTTTGGGGTATCCTAAATAATAGGTGCCGTACTATAATACGGACCCCAAAAGGAACCATACCTTTGACAACCACCCAGTAGAAAAGCTAGGATTTTTTTGTGCTACAGCTCCCTCCTTCGCTGCGGGGCCCGGGAGGCCCATCAGTAGATACAAGTAAAGCTATTAGTCCCCTAATACCCAGAGAGCCCAATACCCCTTAATTAAGGAATATAGCTGAAACCATAATATGAAGCCCTATATAATTCAAGCCATATTCCTTAATTAAGGGGTATTGGGCTCTCTGGGTATCGGTCATAAATTTTTATAGCTAACCCAGCTAGAACTACACATGAACCTCCAAGTAGAGGGCCGCAGCAGGTGGACGAGCCAATCAGGCACTGGCACGTCCCTGCTATAGGGGCCTTAATAACTCGACGGGGGTCAATACTACGCTTAAAGTTAAAACCTAACAAAACAGGAGCTGGAAGGGAATAGTAGCCCTTAATTAAGCCATATACCTTACACCATATTAGGGTTCCTAGTATAATTCAAGGAATATATCCCTCAATCAACGGGTTTTGGAGTCTATGGGAAACTCCAAAGCCGCAGCTTTTCGCAGAACCCCAAATCCCATATGCGTGGCTGTCAACTCTAGGGTCACTTTTTGGGTACCCTAAATATTAGGTGCCGTATTATATTAAGGATCCAAAAAGGGACCATAATTTTGACCACCACCCATATACCTCCAAATACCCTGCACCTAAAACCTCCAACGCAACTTACAACCCTACCACCCTTCATGGAATACATGAGCACGAAGTACCTAAGCTCCACAGCTCCTAAACCCTGAACCCTAAGCTCGAAAAGCTTTAACCCTACCATCTTTCATGAAATACCTTAGCCCATAAGGTCCTGAACCTAAATCCTAAACTCTACCTTATATCCAAGTTACCTACCCTTTACTGGACTTGTATAAGCAGATCATCATAAAGAACCCCACCCTAAACCCTAAACCCTAAAACGGTAGGTTTTACAGGGTCCGGGTAAACCCTGAAATTCTCCGCAACCATCTTCCAAGCAACCGCCAAATTCCAACCCTTCAGTCTAAACTACTAAACTAGACCCAAGAGTCACACAGAAAAATGAAGAGGGTGGGTGCCCTTTTTGGTTTTAAAGGGGATTAGGAATAAGGGCTTACTCCGGGTCCTGGTCAGTCTAATCTACTAAACTCCAAACTTCCAAACCCTAAGTATGGTACTTGGAGGAGACGGGGACTTAGTAAGTAGGTTATCAATAGAGTTATAAAAGTACCCTGAATGGAGTTACCCCAATTCTATCCCTACTTATGAACGACTAACTACGTCCCCTGCCCCTCCATCCAGGTAGGGGTTCCTTTGACAAATATTAAGTAAGATCCTCTTAAGCCCAACAAGGGAAACATAAAATGTCCCCAAGCCCTACCCAGCAACTATGGAGGGGGTGGCTCCAGGAACTGAGATATGGAGTTGTTGTATCCTGAAACCGGGTGCCGACAAATGGGAGTTTTCCGAAAATAGGGGACCCTAATATAGTACCCCAAATAGTAGGATCCTTATTAGAAGGCCCCCCAAAAAAACAGTACCCCCGAAATTTCCAAAAACTCCCAAAAGTCCTTTGCGACCATTTCCGGCTCCACTGTGCGCACCGGCCCCAACCTAAGGAACTCGTGGTGTGGTCCGGTGCAGGACTCATGGTTTGGGTCGGTGAGCTTTAGGATTCCTTTTAGTTTGGGGTTTTTATAGGGTTTTGAGGGGATTTAAGGGGTCTTTGGTGTTCGGCATTTAGGCGTTGAGGGTTTTTGAGTTTGTGTGTTGCTGCTGTTTTTTTCGGATCTGTTAGATTTTGCGGTCTTAGACCCTTACACTCGATCTGACGAGTCGCAGTGACGTTGAGTTTGTTCGTGATATGTCGTGATGATGATGGTGATGATGACATGTAACGACGAGGACAACCATGACTCGCCGTGACTGGCTCTAGTTGGCATTTGTGCGTCTTGTCGCACCGATGCCTAGAATCTAGACGCGTCAGCTGAGCTGCAGTGCATAACTACTAAATTTGATATAGATTTTAGGGTTTGTTATGCTAGGGGCGCGTACTTGTGTACCTCGGAAGTCTACTACTACTTACTGAAACTGATGCCATTATAGTGCTCACGCAGGTTTCGGTTGCCGCCTGGTTCCAAGCCATCTGCCACAAAAGCGACGACTTACATCCGTGCCCGTATAATCGACCCTAAACCACATGAAGCACAATGGAACGACTCCTGCGTCTCGAAGGACCGTATAGTTACCCCAAATAACTGCTTATTGGGGCCTTCTATAGCTTATGGTGACGAGCAGGCGGGGGGTGCATCCGTGCGTCAGCGTTTTGGGATCCGTCTTCTCACCAATCAGGCGTCTCGCTAGTAGAATGTGAGTTGCCACTCTTTGGCTGGTTGCGCATGCTGGGGATTGGATGGTGGATCACAGAACCGAAGTGACCGGGGCTCCCGCAAGCTCAGCGAAACTTCGTCCGCAGTCTCCTTTCCCAAGGCTCTCAATACGGTTGATGATATAAATCCTGCATTACCCATAGTAAGGAATATACCATAGTTCCCATAGTTTAGGGTCCTTAAAGTAATGCAGGATTTATATCATCAACCGTAGTTTCCCTAAGCCCTAATAAGCCCTAAACTACACTAAACCCTGAACCGAACTTCTTAGGGCCCCAAAAAAGCACATAAGCAAAACTGAGGCCCCTTATAATGAAGCCCAATAAGGTGAGATATCCCTATAAATGCTTGTGCTTATGTGCTTTTTGGATTCGGGCTTCTACTCAGACTCAGGCGCGTACTCAGGCGAATTTTTCGAAACTGTCAATGCTAAATTTCCCCAAATTCTATCGAACTGTTCCTGGAGGCTTCCAAGGGATCCTCCGTCCCCTCCTTTGAACAGATGGTCTGCATCTTAAGCGGGGCTTTGAGAAGGATCCAGATCGTATCCGAATCATGCCTTGGAAGGACCCCTAGATCTGTATAAACACTGATGCCCGGATCCCACACCCCTGAACCTTAAACCCAGGCTTCTCCGGAGGGACCTCACTGGCCTGGCTAGGAGGAAGAAAGCGCACCTCTGGCGGTCAGACGGGGTTTTCGGGTCGAGGCCATACGAGGCCACTGGGTTTCAGATTTCGGGGTGTTGGGATGTTCCCGGACAGAGACCAATTCAGGAATATGCGATAAATGATGCGATGTAGCTCAAGTATAGTCATGGGGCGCCAACTTTTCAAGTCCATGCTGTCAAGTTCGAAGACTACGGCTCCAGGTTGGGTTTGGATACGCGGTGTTATAGTGTGCAGGGCCCCCCCAAACCCACACTCTCTGCAGGCCCCCGAACCCAAGACTGCTAAACTCCAGCCCAGGAATAGGATTAATGAGATGGCTTAAGGGTTTTGTTTTAGGGGTCGTTGCGGCATGTAGACTTGCTGAGCTCAAAGAGCCGCCAAGAATCCTGCGAAACCCACAAGCCTAAACCCCCACGCACCCCAAGCCCCCAACTCTTAAGCAGCCCCTAACCCTAAACTACGTTCGCCTCTCCAAAGACTCGTAAATAAGATCCTCTTAAGCCCTCGACGGCACTGAAACCCGAAATCCCGGACTTCATCCCTCCCTTTTGCCCAAAAGCCTGCAACCTCTCCCACACCATACTTAGAGGGCCAGGGGACTTAGTAAGTAGGTTATAAGTAGAGTTATAAGTCTCCTGAACGGAGTTTACCCCAATTATAACCCTACTTATAACCGACTTACTAAGTCCAAGTAAGCCCTTCTGATCAACCTTAAAAAGATCGGAAGCCCGAAGAGTTCAAAAACCCCAGAGCCCCCAAACAAGGAACCCTGAAGGGCACGATAAGGTTCTGCACAAAGCTTCCCTTAAGGGGTACTAAAGCGTCCCAGAAACCGGGTCCCCTTTGGGGTTGAGGGTTTACGTAGGGTTCCTGGTTCATTGAAACAGTGGGTTGCCTCTATGGGTTGCGTTAAGGCTTGCTTCAAAAGGGGAACCCTATCACAAAACCCTACAGTACCCTTCAAAACAAACCCCTTAAGGAGCCTCTTAGCGAGCCTTTGAATAACAGCCTGCAAAGGAGCCGTGCCAAGCCTTTAAGGAACCCCGGAGAGTATCATCTTTTTGGGGCTCCTTTGAATCGTCCTCTAAAGGGAACGGCTTTAGGGTTCTAGGGCTTTCCAAAAGCGTTGCAAAACCCTAAAACCCCTAAACCTGTCAGGGTTCCGTGCACGCAAACCCCCAAAGAACACTGAAAGGGGACCCTGTTATAGAACTCCATAAGACTCTAGAGCAAGGTTCAAGAACCCTGCAAAGGACCCCTTTAAAGGCACCTTAGAGGACCTCGTAAAGGACCCATAATGGCAACCCAGTAAGCAATGCAAATGGGAACCCAAAAGGGGACCTCAAGAGGCTCAGGGTTTACCTAGGCCTACTAAACCATCCTTTTTTGGTGGGCCCTTATTCTAAACCCTAGTATGGGATTAAAAAGGGAACCCTACAAAAAGTAGGTTATCGCCATCATGGCCCTTATAGTAGCCCTTATAGATCCCTTTACAGGAACCCTGGTCTATTTGATTGCTAGGGACCCGAAATTCCTCAGGGTTTCGGGTCTAGAGCACCCTTCGCCGATCCTTATTATGGCTTCTACAAGGGTTTAGGGTTTAGGGTTTAGGGTTTAGGGTTTAGGGTTCACATACATACATAATCTGTTTTTTAAGGTACCCTGAAAATCCCTGATGGAACCTTTATGGAACTGTCTAAGGGCTCAGGGTTTGGCGCCCTTCCCTTTTCCCTGATCCGGCCGGCAGAATCTTCGGATCCAACGCAGGCGACAGGCGCACATCCACTTCACCCAGCCTTTCCGGGGACTTGTAGGGCTCCTTTTAAGGGGTCTTAGGATTCCTTTTAAGGGGGTCTTAGGCTTCCTTTGAAGGGGACTTCGGGCTCCTTTGAAGGGGGGTCTTGGGGTTCTTTTTTAGGGGGTTTTAAGGTTCTTGCAAAGTTTAATTAGGACCTTTCGGGGGCCCAAAACAAAGTGTCGTGGCTTTCAAAGCAAAGCCACCAAACGTCAGGCTGAGGTGCCCGGCTCACTGGTAGTGGCGTTCCATCTCCCGCCGCTCCTCTGCGAGCTCCCTGCCGTAGGCGCTTCCGCGACCAAACGACGAATTGCAGGCTCCTGACGGATTGAAGTGACTTCTGCTGCCACCAAAGAACGTCTGGGCCGGCGGGCAATTTTCTTGAGGCATCGACTTCCAAGGCCCACATGAGGAGCTTGCGGCGATCTTCCGCTCCCTTCTCCAAGCCGTCCAGAACGGTCTCGGCTTTGAAGCTTTGCATGTGCTATCCGTGTGCAGGTCGAAATAGGAAGACGTGTTATGATACATTCAGTGCGATGCTGGCTAACCTAGGTCGACGAGGCTGCGATGAGCCCAACTGCAGGCTCTACATTAAGGTTTGCCTTTCGGCGGTTTACGGCTCCTACGGCTCCTTGTAAGGGGGGTTTTACGGTTGCTGTTAGGGGGGTTTAAGGCTTCCTTTTAAGGGGTTTAGGGTTCCTTGTGAGGGGTTTACGGGTTCCTTTTAGAGAGTTAAGGGTTCATTTCGACGGGTTTAGGGCTCCTGTGCAGGAGCTAGGGTTCCTTTTAGAATTCCTCTTTCGGGCTTAAGGCCGCTTAAGGTGCCTGAAGGGATTTCGGGTTTAGGGCTCAGGATCAAAAAGTACTTCCTGTTTCAGAGTTTCCTTTGAAAGGTTCCTCAGGAGGGTTCTGTGCCCGAAAGTCCGGGTTCCAAGCGCTCAGGGGGGATTGAAATAGTTCAGGGTTTTGAAGCTCAGGGCTTTGGGGTTGACGTAGTGAAACTTGAAACTCCTTTGCTCCAACGTTGGCTTGATCGTGCTCCTCCGATATAATATAGTTAATTCATATGCGCTACAACTCTCGCACATCCAAACCCTTGGAGCCAAACTTTGTATGATGTTATTACTAGGATGCCCAGAAACCTAGGAATAACAAGGGCTCCCTTTTGGGTATTGGGTACCTTTGACAAGGAACCTAGGACAAAAAAAGGGAAGAAGCATACTTCTGGCGATCCTAGTGCATTAAGTAAAAGGACTAGCGAACATGCTGAGGCCCCAGCCCCTGGCCGCAAAGACTCCGTGTGTGCCCTCCTCAAATCTACTCTGAAAGGTAAGGCATTTGGGGTCTAAGTAAACCCTACACCCTGACAGATGTTACGGATTTCGATGAAGAGGTTTGGGATTTCCGGTAAAGCGTTGATCGGGCAATTGGAACCGTAAACCATCCTAAACCCCAAAACCCAAACCCCAAGCCCTAAACCCCTGAACCCCAAACCCCTAAACCCCTAAACTCCTAAACCCCAAACCCGTAAGCCCTAAACCCTAAACCCTTAAACCCCAAACCCCTAAGCCCTAAACCCTAAACCCCCAAACCCCTAAGCCCTAAACCCTGACCCCTAACCTTTAGTTAAACCCCTAAACCCCTGAGCCCTAAATCCCCTAAACCCTGAACCCCTAAACCCTAAACCCCTAAACCCCAAACCCCTAAGCCCTAAACCCCTAAACCCTGAACCCCTAAGCCCTAAACTCTAAACCCTAAATCTGAGGGCTCCGGCGCACCCTCGGGCAAGTTGAGTGGTGCGTTCTCCACTCGCTGGAGCTGCAGCAGGGGCCCGAGACACTGATTTTCGGGCCTTTAGGGTCCCCTTTAAGGTTCCTAGAGACTCCAATACCCCTTAGTTAAGGAATATACCTTAAATTATAGTAAGATCCTTAATATGATTTAAGGAATATTCCTTAATTAAGGGATAGAGTCTTTGGGTTCCAGGGTACCATAAGGGTTTAGGTTTTTTCTTTTTTAAGGGGTTCCTTCAAGGGTACCATAAGGGTTTAGGGTCCCCTTTAAAGGTTCCTCCTTCCAGGGTACCATAAGGGTTTAGGGTCCCCTTTAAAGGTTCCTCCTTCCAGGGTACCATAAGGGTTTAGGGTCCCCTTTTCAGGTTCCTTCCAGGGTACCATAAGGCTTTAGGTTTAAGGGAGACTATACCTTTTCGGGTCCTTCTTGTAATGGTGCCGCCTTCTTGTGGGCTCCTTAAAGAACTTCGCGTGTAGAGACTAAGGCTTCGGGGCATAATTTACGATACTTGGGACTAGAAGGGAATGATGTCGAGGGCTCACGCGCATGCCTGAAGTCTCCGAACGGTCTTCATCCTAAACAGAGTTTTTTCCAGGAGTGCTCATGGTGCGGCTTCCAAGGGATTTCATTTAAGTTACTATTGTTAATCGGGATCTGTAGTCAACTATATGGTTTCCTTCTTATGGCAACTCCACCACAAGCGTTGTAGAGCGATAGCTCAAGGATTTAGGACGTGCTGTTGTTGATGCGAACGCTGTGCCAGGCTGACGGCGATCAGCTTTCCTTCACGCGGAATTCATGGCAGAACAGATCCCTGGTTTTCCCTGTGAAACAAAGCCCCATCTCTATAAGCTTCGGGAACCTGGGAAATCATGCATGTTTCGGATATAAGTAGGAAAATCCTGACCCTACCTACCACCACAAAGTCTCTAAAACTAAAACACGCAAGCCCTAAACCCCAAACCCGAAACACTAAACTTTGAGCCCTACAAACAAAAAAACAACGAGCTTCCATTGTTCCCTTTTTGTGGCCTAAACCCTAACCCTAAACCCTAAACCTTACACCCTACACCCTAACCCTACACCCTACACCCTAACCCTAAACCCTACACCCTAAACCCTAAACCCTAAACCCTACACCCTAAACCCTAAACCGCCGCCTGGCAGGTCATGGAGGTCGTCTCCAAGCTTGCCTCGGCGTCTTGAAGGCTTAGGTTTCTTACGGCGTTTCACGATTTAGGGTTTTAGGGTTGTAGAGCTTAGGGCTTAGGGTTTCAGGGTTTAGGGCTTAGGGACGGTTTCGGAATGTTTCGGGCTTAAGGGTTTAGGTCTTAGTGTTTGCGGTTTAACGTTTAGGATTTTAGGCTGTCCCCTGCCCTGAACCTCAAACTCAACATCGAATCGCTAGACCCTGAACCCCAAATGCTACAAAGCCGAAGCAGTAGTACAAAACCTTACAGGCACCCTTTTCTAGAAGCCCGGCAGCGTATCCGCGCTGGGTATGTATCAATGGGCTCCAAGGGTGGGGTGAAGCTGCCTGGGTTAATCCCACAATGAAAGTCCCATATGGGATTCCTACCTACATAAACCCTGAACCTTCCATGCCCTAAACCCCTGAACCCCAAAACCCTACTTAGAGGCCCAGGGGACTTAGTAAGTAGGTTATAAGTAGAGTTATAAGTCCCCTAAATGGAATTACGCCAACTATAACCCGACTTATAACCGACTTACTAAGTCCACTGGCCTCCAAGTAAGCCCCTTGCACACTCCGAATGTAAGGCCGCTGCCAGGGCTAGTGAAAGCCATGACGTCTCCTTGGATTCTCGGCGTTCCCTTCGGGATCTTCTTAGAGGCCCACAGAGCTTGCGGGCTCCTTCGGTAGTGGGGGCTCTTAAAGGGCTCCTCAGACGGATCTATAGAGTTCCTTAAAGGGATCTAGCGGGTTTCGGGTTTGGGTCTTCTTCGAGGCCCACTGAACTTAGTAAGCCGGTTATAAGCACGGTTATTACTGGGGTAGCTCGATTTAAGGTACTTATAACTTCCTTCTCACCTACTTACTGAATCCCCTGGCCTCCGAGTTCTGGGTGTTGGATGGAGGACTTGGAACGTATTGGTAGGATTAATTGTTGGGGTATGTATTTTTGCGGGGAGGGCAAACCCTGATAGCCTACACACCGAGAGCATAAGCCTGCATAACCAGAAAACAAAAATATATATACACACAAACATACAGATACATAAATAATAAGTAAATATATAAATATGCAAACATATAAAAAATAAACATATAAATACCTAAATATATAAATATATAAGTATACAAATGTACAAATAAATAAATAGATACATATATAAGTATATAAACATATAAGTATAGAAATACTAGAAATACAGACACACAAATATATACACATAGAAACATACATATCTAAATACCTAAATATGTAAATCTATAAATATATAAAAAACCTAAATATGTAACTATACAAACAGATATATAAATATACGAAAAATATATAAGCATATAAATATATAAAGACATATATATATATATATATATATATATATAGAGAGAGAGAGAGAAATACAGAAACACAGAAATATAGGAAACAATAGAAATGTGTAAATATGTAAACATGTAAGTATATAACTATACAAATATACACATATACGTATATAGAAATATGTAAGTTAATAAGCTAAACATATAATTATATACACCCCCAGCTCCGAACTTCAAGCCACCCTGGAACAACCAACAAGGAAACAGGCAGGGTTGTCCAGCATCTTCCTCTTCTTGCCATTGAAACTCTTGAAGTGAAGATCAAGACGATGTCGGCAGCGGGCTTGGTATTCTGAAAGGTATCCAGCGGTGCTGGCGGAGACTTTCCTCGCAAGCAGGGCGATCGCAGTGTGGCAAGTGATCGACCCCCCGAATCGGAGCTGAACAGAGTTCGCGGCAGAGCCGCACAGCACCTTCAGCCACATATTCGGCGGCTGGTATCTGGAAAAAGTAAGGCTGCCGGGCACCGGGACGCACGGTCGGGATGGTTCAAAACCCGCTCACCTTGATGCTGCCGCGTTCGGTCTTGCTGGCACAGGTGCTGATGGGCAAGGTTCGTTTGCGATCCAGCAACTGTGTGTGATGCTTACTGAGGCACTGCCACGAACCTTCAGCGAAGCCCCAACACCTGCAGTCTTCTATGGGGGGGAAGACCCTCGAAGCCTTTAAACCCTAAGCCCCTACAGCCCCTAAAGCCCTACACCCGCAGAAATCTCTAGAGCGAAACCATGAAACGAACTCTGTTCTAACTGTTTCTCTCGGCTTCGTTGTCGAACAGCTAAAACCCTAACCAGTAAAGGCTACTGATTCGATCCTTAACCCAAAGCCCCAAACCGCTTGTAGATCCCTTGAAGAAACTCATTGAAGGAACCCGCAAGGAACCAAAACCCTCTAATTCTGCCTTTTGATCATTTGGCGCTGTTACAGCCTCCTGCGATTGAATCTCTACATAATATTCGGGTTCAGGGTATACGGCCGGCCTTAGTATAGGGTTTAATGTCGGAACCTGATTAAGAAACCCTGGGCCTATAACCCCAAAACAGGAGGATTCATATAAGGAACCTTAATAGAGTAAGAAACCTTGGGCCTTTATTAGGGTTCCTTATATAATCCTGCTATGTTGGGGTTATAGGCCCAGGGTTTCTTCATCAGGTTCCTACATCATTATAGTACCCCTCATGGATCCCTTATAGTAACCCTTATAGACCCGTTTAAAGCAGCCCTAGTAAAGGCCCAGGGTTTCTTAATCAGGTTCCTACATTAAGGCCTGTATATTATAGAACCTACTATACATCCCTTATAGACCCCTTTTAAGGATCCCTTTAAAGGAAGCCTATTCTCAATCAGCTTGCTGCATTAGGGTTCGTTGTCTCTTCGAGTCATAAACCCTTAAAGAAGCCCTTAAATGAACCCATGATCAAGGAACCCTTGAAACAGCCCTCAAAGGAAACCCATAAAGGATCCCTTTAAAGGAGCCCTATCCTAATTCTTAAGGCCCCTATATTTCTTAATCTTCGAGTCATAAAGGTCCGACGGAGGCGCCACCGCCGCGCAGGCGACCGGAGCTCGGGTCGGCTCGGCGAACTGCAGGGAACTCTGGAGGTCTTTAGGACTTTAGGGTTTATTACTTTAGGATCTGTAGGACTTTAGGGGTTAGGACTTTAGGGTTTAGGACTAGGGTTTAGGACTTTGGGGTTAAGGACTTTAGGGTTTAGGAGGACTTTAGGGTTTAGGGCTTTAGCGCTTAGGACTTTAGGGTTTCAAGCACTTTAGGGTGTTAAGGACTTTATGGTTTAGGACTTTATGGTTAAGGACTTTAGGGTTTAGGACTTTAAGGTTTTACATACTTTAGGGTTTTAAGGACTTTGGGGTTTTAAGGACTTTAGGGTTTTAGAGTTCCGGACTTTAGGGTTTAGGGTGTCGGGATCATCTTAGAGGCCCACAGGACTTAGTAAGTCGGTTATACGCAGGGTTACAGTTGGAAGAACGCCAACAGGGATACTGGGGGACAATACTATCACCAAAAAAGTAAAGTCTATACTATACTCGCTCAGCTGTTGAAGGGTTACTTCAAAGGTTCCGGAAAGCACACTTAAGCGTCCAGTTTAAGAGATTTGGGGTTGAGGGGTTTAGGCTTTTAGGGTTTGGCGTTTGGGATATACGCCTTTCACTGAGGTTGTCAGGGCTTCTGCTGCGGGCTTTCGGGTTTAAGGTTAGGTTTGTCCTGTTCATGCTGAAGCTCCAAACACCCGTTTTTGTCACACTACACTACTTGGAGGCTTGGGGGACTCAGTGTGTTCCGATTCGGGTAACCCCATTTAGGGTAAATTTGAACGCTCTAAGTATCTATGCCATCCTGCCACATGCCCTGAAAACCCATAGCAATCAACCCTCCACAGAAGCCAACAAAATCCTCTACAGACCCAGAGCCGCCCACCCAGACTGGAAAAATCGCACACCCTGAGCCCTCAGCGCAACAGCCTAAAGCCTAAACTTTAACCCTAAAGATCCCAAAAGCCTAAACCCCTAAACCCTAAACTCTAAAACCCTAAACCCTAACCCCTAAACCCTAAACTCTAAAACCCTAAACGCCTAAACCCTAAACCCTAAACCCCTAAACCCTAAACTCTAAAACCCTAAACCCTAAACTCTAAAACCCTAAACCCTAAACCCTAAACCGTTAACCCTGAAGCCCAAAGCCCAAGAGGCCCGAACTCTCACGCGATACGTCCCTCACGCTAGTCTGACGCCCGAATCCTAAAGATCCCTTAAGGACACCCCCGAAGATCCCTTTAAAGGGGATTCTATCAGGTTCTATGATGGCGTCCCCGTTAAAGGGTGCCTTAAAGAAGCCCTTCAAAAGGAAGCATAAAGCTTTCATAGGAACCTTTGACGGGACTGTTTGTAGGACAAGTAGAACCTATTCAAGCTAAAAGGCCCTGAAGCTACATTCTGAACCCAATCCTTACCGTTGCTTAGTAGGGAAGTAGAGGAATGGGGGTACAATTATAACTACTACTAAGCAAAGGTAAGAATCCCCTATGCCCAAGACCACCCACTGACTTCAGTCTTCATAAAACCGGGTGCCCTTCGAGCCCGATATGGGAGTTTCCGAACAACAGGGGAGCCTAATATAATACCCTAAATAGTGGGATCCTTACTGTAAGGACCCCAAAATAAGGTACCCCTATTTTCGGAAACTCCCATATAAGCAAGGGAACAAGTCTCCAAACCCTGATATTACTTTGAACGAAACGCTTGAGGGATCCTTTAAGGGTTCCTCTGAGGAAACCCATTCCCAAACAGCACAACTTCTTCAGCCTGCCCAATCCCTCAACTCCGTGACCCCTACTCAGAGCCCTTCTAGACGGTTTAGGGTATATAGGCTGGTTCAAGTTATAGAACCGCGGTAGAACCCCGCATGGCACACCAAAAAGGTCAAAGCTTACCTGCTGTGCTGCTACGAAACCTTAAAAACCCGGGATACGCCCGTCTAGATCCCTTGCAGAATCCCTCACCCCAGGCATAAAAATAGCACCAAAGCCTAATATAGTATGGTCTTTGGGTCTTTGGGCACAAAAGCCTTAATATATGCTAGGATACCCAGTAACCTAAGAATAAAAAGGCCTCTCTTTTTGGTATTGGGTAACTTTATAAGGAACCTAGGACTACAAAAAGGGAATAAGGGTACTACTGGGCATCCTAGTATATGAGTCAGCCTGAGAGAGCCCTACGGTCATAAGGCCTCCAGGTTCGTCTCCAGGATTGCATCGATGCAGATGGCCGAGGGTCCACGGAGCTTTCCGACCTCTAAGAGACTTTCAGGGTTTGGGTTTCCTTAAAGGGTTCCTTTAAGGGCTCATATAGGGTTCCTTTAAGGGTTCCTTAAAGGGTTCCGGTTCCACTTCAGAAAGCGAGCTATAGGGGTTTGGGGTTCCTTTGAGGGTTACTCTTTAAGAGGGATCTATCAGGGTTCCTTTTAAAGGGATCTATAAGGGTTTAAGGTTTAGATTTCTTTTAGGGGTTCCTTAAAGGGGATCTATAAGGGTTCCGTGAAGGGATCTATAAGGGTTTAAGGTTTAGATGTCTTTTCGGGGCTCCTTAAAGGGTTCCTTTAGGAAGGGATCTATAGTACTATAGAAGTTTGGGTTTAAGGGGTTATTGGTTGCGATTCAGGGTTCGGTTGGGGGTTCGGGTTTAGTGCTCTCACGGGAGCAGGGCATGCACGTGAATAGCTTCAGGGCTCCGCGATAGTATCATGTAATGCAATAGGGTGCATAGTGCGGTGCGGTGCAGTCGCCTTTGCCCTTGCCGTGCTGTGCCCACTCATCCCAGCCGCCTTTACCACTGCCATGCCAGGGCGGCTGCATGGCGCTCACCTCAGCGCCCGGAGCCGGCACAGATGCCGATGAAGGATCCTGGCCACGGTTCGGGGAGTTGGTGTTGCATGGCGAATCCCTGCGGTGGTGTGCTGGACTGGGCAGTGGCGTCCATGGATGCCCGGTCGTCCTCACTGGCATCCCCCCATCTCGGGCGCCCCCATTGAGCTGTGCTGGGCGGTGCTGCGTCGCGTCTGCGATGCTGTGGAGTGGCATCGCGGCGCGGTGTTGCATCCCTGCGGGGCGTTGCACTGCGGGGCGGTGTGCCGCCACGTTCTAAGACTTGGTGTTGGGGCTCAAAGCTGACCTAAACCCTGAAAAACAATCCCGTAGTACCTCTTATTGGATGACGTATTCTAGGAATAGGATCCTATAACAAGAAGCTAATGTACAAAACCCCTCTCAAAGGTTTTGGGCTCGAGGTAGTTTAGGGTTAGGGTTTAGGGTCTGTGGTCTCGAGGTAGTTTAGGGTTCATTTGGACGTTTCGGGTCTCAAGTGGTTGGGGAGGTGGGCTAGGCTTCAACCACCTCCAGGGCAAAGCGCCTTCCACAGCAGAACAGCATGCTTATGTAGGAACCTGATGAAGAAACACTGGGCCTATAACACCAAAATAGTAGGATTCATATAAGGAACCCTCATAAAAGCCCAAGGTTTCTTAATCAGGTTCCTACATTATGGCAGATGGTTCTCCTGCAGTAGGGTTCTCGCCGAAGCGTTTTCAACACACACATACACAATGCCCCGTACCCTAAGTGTAAACGGGACCCAATAACAAGGTACTTGGGTTTAGGATCGTTTTACGTAACTTAACCTTTGGCAGAGGACACGACTATTAGGAACTTGGACCCGCAGTGGTAATGCTGTGCGGAAGTACCTTAACACCACCGCAAGCTTGAGACTTGCCTTGTCTGCACAAGAACAGAAGGTAGGCTCGTCTCAGATAGGTAACGCCAAACCTGAACTTCGAACCTTCGAGACCCTCAATTCTAAGACCCCAACCCTTAACCTGACTTCTGGCAATAGCCGACAGCTATGTGCGTTACATGGCAGATCGAGCGCCAAGCACGACCGGCAGCCACTGCTCGATTGCCCTGCGATGTTTCAATGGGCGGGCAGTGTCATCCTCTCGGGTTCTCCTCATGTTCGGGCCTCTTGACGGTTCTGTAGTTATTTGTAAAAACGCGGCTGAGGGGCTGAGAGGGTATAGAGCTTGGAGGGCTTGGAGAAGTAGAAAGGGCATCCGGGGTTGAAGGGTTTTAGGCTTCATCTTCATGGCTTTGCGGCTTATGTTCCTCACGGCGAACGGCAGTCCTACGCAGCTACATCGACACTTCGTCGCCCACATGTAGCACGCATCCACTCGGTACAGGCAGTCGGCAGGGAAAGATGCCAAGAAGGGACAGAGATTTCGGACTTCATGCTCCTCATCCACCAGCAGGGCTGAAGCCAAGGTCCTTGCCCGCATATGGATGGTCATCAAGTGCCGTCAGTTCATAAGCATTACCAATCACTCGCTGCCGCCAGCAGGAGAGGCCCACACCACCCATGGATGTGCAGGTGATGTGCCTGGAAGAGTCTTGGGGATTCCTGGCTTAGTTTCGAATTCCCAAGACTGTCACTGCGTGGTAAGGTTGCAGAGTTTTGGTTTAGGGATTGAAGGGATTAGGTTTATGCAGGGTTTGGCATTTGCCTGGTTGCAAAACACCCATTGTCTAAGGGACTGTATATTCGGATTATATTCGGATAGCTGTGATAATTCTCAATGCAGGTGTCCTTCATGTATTCGGCTGTCCTGTTCAACTCAAGCAGGACACCTTCGACGGCTTCAAGGCTTCGGGAGCTTTGTACATAAGTCCCAAGTAGGATTACGAATACTGTCGACCCCGCATTCATAAACTCCACTAAATTGAAAACTATGATAGGTATCCTTGAATTGGGGCCTTGAAGAAAAGTGATTCATTATTCATCTTGGGAGAAATCTACAAGGCTCGGGGTACTTATCGACTCCCTTAGAACACAAACTTTAAATACAACCGTAAAGGTTCCCCCTTCAAGGCACCCCAAAACGGGAGACCTTATAAGAAGGAGCCCTTAAAGTAGAGCCCTAACTTTTTCAGCGGCCCAAACCCCTAAACCCTAATTAAACCCTTGAGCCCTCAACCCTCAAACCCTAAACCCTAGAACCCTAACCCTAAAACCATAAACCCCTAAACCCTTAAACCCTAAACTCTGACCCCCCGAAACCCCTACCCTCAACCCTAGAACCCTAAACTCCCATAAACCCTACACCCTTGGTTTCAAGGCCTCAGCGCACCACCTATCCTGTCCCGACCCCCGGAGGATCTTCACCTCGCTCTCAGTGGCGCTTTTTTCGGGCCTAAGGATTTAACTTGGAGGGGTGTAATTGGGGTAACTCCATTTAGGGTACTTATAACTCTACTTATAACCTACTTGCTAAGTCCCCTGCCCCTCCAAGTAGACAAGAAACCCTAAACCCCATAGATCCCTTTAAGGAACCCTATAGATCCCTTTAAGGAGCCCTTACTAAGTCCCCTGCCCCTCCAAGAAGGCTTTCGGGGATCTAAGGGTTTGAGGGATCTTAGGGTTTTAGCGATCGAAGGGTTTAAGGGATCTAAGGATTGAAAGGTTTTTAAGGCTTTCAGGGATCTGAGGGTTTTTGAGGCTTTAAGGGATCTAAGGGTTATTAAGGTGTTTGAGGTTTAGGGACTTGAGGGTTTATTTAAGGTTTCTAGGTTCAGGGTTTAGGGACTTGGAGTTTTAGGGTGTAAGGCTGAGGTGATATTAAGGACCCCCGAAGGGTTTCTATAAGATTCAGGGTATCGGGCTAAGAATGGCTATGGTCAGTGTGGCGGGTTATAGATGTTTACAGCTTTCGGGCTGCAAAGCGGCCCTAGTCGGCATAATGGTTTGCTTTATGACGCTATGAGGTTTTAGGCTTAGGGCTTTTGGGTTCCTTGAGGGGGAGCTCTTAAGGCTGCTATAAGGGTTTAGGTTTCAAATGGTTTTAGGGGTTTAGGGTTTTTATGGTCTTGGCTTTGGGAGGTAATAGAGGGGCCTTAATTCGAACAGGGTTTTGGGGCCCATTATGCTAGAGTTCGAATGGGGAGCACCAAAATAGTATAGGTACTTATTTGGGTGGTTGTCAAAACTAGGGTCCTTTTTGGGTCCTCAATATAATACGGCACCTATTACTTAGGGTACCCAAAAAGGGACCCTAGTCTTCACAACCGCCCATTTAAGCCTCTACAGTTGGGGTTGGGGGTTTAGGACTTTGGGGTTCAGCGTTCAGGCTTCGGGTTCTAGGCTTGGTTTCTTAGATGTGTTTTAGCGCTTAGGGTTCAAGGTAAGCTTCCGGGCTTATGGCTTTGGAATGTATGTAGCATTAAAGCTGTGTCACTTCTTCGGCTCTCCATTTGGGAGTTTCCGACAATCGGGGACCTCATATAGTACCCTAAATGGTGGGATCCTTATTAAAAGGACCCCCAAATAAGGTACCCCTAATTTTCGGAAACTCCCATTTAGGATACTTACAACTCGGCTTATAACTTACTTGCTAAGTCTCCTGGGCGTCTCAGCAGGGACTGCATGGGGATGACCGTGACCCGAAAGGTTCAAGGTTACCTACGCCCCACTACTTGGGGGGTCGGGGGACTTAGTAAGTAGTTAGTAAGTAGACTTATAAGTACCCAAAAAGGGACCCTCATTGGGGTTATGGTACTTATAAGTCCCCAAAATAACCAGTTACTAAGTCCCCCGACCCTCCAAGTACTCAGTTTTTGGGGTTCCGCCCACACCCAAACCGTAGCTCCCAAACCCTTTCCAACCCTGAGGCGATCCCAGAAAGGAACCCTCAAAGGAAGCCCTTGCAATCTCAAGCCTAAAACCCAAAACCACACACACACACAACTCCCCAAAGAATCTCTTGAAGTAAGCCCTGAACTATACAATGCTTTATAGTGCATTTAATATTTTCTTGGGCTTTAGGTGAGCAAAATTCAAGGACATTTCTCAGCGGACTATAGTTAAACCCCCAAAAGGCTCCGAAAGCCCCGCCTCCGTGTTTTCCGTGAAGGACGAGGAATGCCTGGTCATTGAAGAAATCTTTCGAAGGATCAGATGTCCGCTTGCAGAGGGGGGTGTTTAGTATAGGCGCCTTAACGATTAGAATAGGGTTTTGGGGCCCAAAATACGATATTTACTATATTTCCAACAAGGAGCCCCCAAAATAGTATAGGTAGGTATTTCGGCCCCTAGATTAGGGTCTCTCCGAGTTTGCTTGGCAGGAAGGCTTCTTGCTTCTATCTGGGCTCTCTTTGGCAGGTTGCTCATAGCTTCCAGAGTAAACTGAGCGGCCTCGGGCTCGAGGTTTAAGACTGAGGTATAGTGCTTCGCATTTCGGGTTTCAGGTTTAGGGTTTGGGGTTTAGGGCTCAGGATTTAGGGCTGAGGGTTTGGGGTTTAGGGCTTAGGGCTCAGGGTTTAGGGTTTGGGGTTTAGGGCTTAGGGTTTAGGGCTTTCAATGCTGCCTGCCTGCGCTAGGCCCTGTGCATGCGAGAGTAAGCTTCTGGAGATTGGGGCCAGGCATTATCCGAACATCAAGCCCTTTCCCAGAGAGCCCAATACCCCCTAATTCAGGAATATAGCTTAAATCATAATTTGAAGCCCTATATAATTTAAGCCATATTCCTTAATTAAGGGATATTGGGCTCTCTGGGTTCTTCCCTCGAATCCCAGGCCCTGACCATTCAGGACCTTGTCAAAAGCATCAGAGCCTAAGCGACTAGAAGAACGCTCCCCCGCCATGCTTCAGATAGGAATATCCCTAACCAAAGCACCTACAACTCCCCCAAAACCCTAAACCCTAAACCCCAGAAGTCTAATCTATTTGCTAGGCCACTCTATCAACAACAGCCCACTCCACCCTGACGAAGCCAAGAATCCTGCAAAGACTGTTGCAAAAGCCTTTTAATGCCTTCCATGCTAATGCTCAGGGTTCTTACAACACCGTTGAACATCATTAAAGGTACCCCTTCAACGAACCCGGGAACCCAAACACCACTCAGAGACCCCCAGACGTAGAATCCTTGTTAATCAAGCTCTTCATACAGACTCGCCAAAAGCCCTTCTAATTAATCGGGCCCCCTCTATCCTAAATCCTAAACCCTAAATCCCTAAAGCCTAAACCTCTAAACCCTAAACCCTTTTCCTGTTGATCCAAAAGTGACTCAGTTGGAGGTCCGCCTCAGGTACACAACGAGGGCCAGGACCGAACGCCTCAGGTCGGTGATTAGGGTTTAGGGTTTTAGGGGCTTAGGGTTTAGGGCTTAGGGGTTTAGGGTGTAGGGTTTAGGGTTTAAAGGTTTAGGGTAGGTTAACATAAAAGCCTCTTCAGAACTAGAATATGGTTCGAGGGATATGATACTTTAACTCTGGTCTAAGATTTCGGGGGGGATTTGGGCTTCAGGGGGGCTTAAGATTCAAGGGTTTCCGGTTTCGGGTTTAGGGGTCCTACGCCCTGAAACCCGGACGCCTCGCTACCTACCGAGGCCAGCAGCTCACCCTTCTTTCTGGGTGGTTGTCGAAATTAGGGTCCCTTTGTGGGTCCTTATTATAATTCGGCACCTAATATTTATAGTGTACCCAAAAAGGGACCATAGTTTTGACAGCTACCCATATAGATCCATCTAAAGGCCCTTTCTAAAAGAGCGCTTAAAGATCTAGAAGCTCCTAAGCGGATCCGCTTATAGATCTTTACAAGCCCTTCTAGAAAGAACCCTTATATAGATCTGGAGGCTCCAAAACGGATCCCTTCAAGGACCCTTCTAAACCCCCATAATACCCCTTATAATAATCCTTATAGACCCCTTTAAAAGGAAGCCTTAGTATAGGTAATTATTAGGCTTCTAGACCCACCCGAGGCCGCAGCTCGAGCCACAAACTCGGCAGGGAGATCCGGTCCACCTCGGAAGCGAAAAGCCCAAAGAGCAGGTAAATGGAGACTCCAATACCCCTTAAGTAAGGAATATTCCTTAAATTATAGTAGGATCCCTAATATGATTTAAGGAATATTCCTGAATTAAGGGACATTGGAGTCTCTGGGTTTATGGAGGGGCCTTTAAAAAGTTAGATTGAGGCTTTAATTTTGGGGTTGCTTTAAAAAAAGGGTTCCTCAAAGGGGTTCTATGGGGTTTCGATTAGAGTATTAGAGTGCAGTATAGGGGCATTGATGATTAGACCTCGCGTCGCAAGGCCTCGAGCTCGATCGCATCGTCCACCATGTTCTCCGACGTTTCCATCTCTGCCTCTTCCTGCTCGGCGGAGTTGTCGACGGTGAGCCTCGTGAGATCCGCCTTCGCCTTGAGCAACAAGTCCAAAGACTGTTGCTCCCTCCCATCGAGCTCCTCTAGCACCTTCTGCTGTTCGGCCACTTGCTTCTCCAGCAGGTCCGCAAGCGAGTTCACATAGGTGGCCCATTCCTGCAGATACGCAGCCCTCAAGCTGCGCACTGCTATCAAGTAGTTGCGTGCCGAAGTCTGGAGCGACACAGCGCGATGCAGTTGCTTCGCACTGGACTGTGCATCCTCGTTGCGAAGCTGGTCCAGCAATGCTTGGGTCTCTAGCGGTATGGCCACTTTCGCCGTCAGCAGGGGCTGGACTAGGGTTTGGGACTGCTTCACAGTCTGATTATTATAGTATATTGAAATTATGACCCCTGCTAGCCTCTCGATTGTTAGGCTCCTTTGTGGGTTCCTTCAAGAGTTCCTTTTTGGGCTCCTTTCTTCCTCTTCCACTGCACTCCTTTCAAGGTTTTATTAAGGGTTCCTTTCAGGCTTCTTTTGAGGGTTTGGGGCTTTTAAGGCCTAGGGGTTTGGGCTGGCTTTGAGGGGTTACTACAAGCGATACTTTGGTAGTTGGGTTTTGGGGTCAAACCCTAAACCCTAAACCCTAAACCCAAAACCCTAAACCCTAAACCGTGTCAAGGTTCGAGGGCTCAGGGTTTTGAGGCCTCCTGGGCTGTCGGGCTTCAAGGTTTCTGGATTTTGTGGAAGTTGGGAGTTTCCGAGAATTGGGGGCAGGTTGTTTTAGGGTCCTTATAATCAGGATCCTACTATTTAGGGCCCCCTATTTTCGGAAACTCCCATTTGGGTTGTTGGCATAGGGTACAGAACCGTCCTTGATATTGAAGAACATTCCTCGCACCTTAAACCCCACTAATGCAAAATACCGTCACACCAGAAACCCACCTAATGCAAAATACCCTAAACCCTAAACCACGGACCCTAAACCCTAAACCACAGACCCTAAACCCTAAACCCCAGTAATGCAAAGCACCAAAGTTACAGATTCCGAAGAGTAGGGGAATCTCGAACATAGTAACACTACTACCCCAATAAGCTTTCCGATTCCTACTAAACTACAAGAACCTAAGGAGTTTAAAGGTTGGGTATTTGGGAGTTTCCCAAAAAATAGGGGTACCCTATTTGGGGGTCCTTATAATAAGGATCCTACTATTTAGGGTGTTATATTCTGGTGCCGCATTTTCGGAAACCCCCATGTGGGGATCTAAGTAGCGCAAATCAACTACAGTAGCCTCTTCTGCCCAGGCTTCAGGGGCTAGGGTTCTGCAGAACCCTAGAGAGAGAGAGAGAGAGAGAGATGTATATACATATATATATGTATAATTTAAGATATATTCAATAATTTGGGGGTATTGGAGTCTCTGGGAAAGATGAGACCCTGAGGCGCATCGCTCCTTTTTTCCCTAGAGGAAAAAGCCGACGCCAGCGCAGCGACGCGATCTTCCTGCGAGAGCTTAGGGTGGAGAGGGTTTAGGGTTTAGGGGAGGCTTGAGAGTCTTCAGTTTTCCCAAAGTCTGAATGTAATTCTGTACCCCATCGCTCAAACACAAACGTGCTGCTCAGCAAAGCAATTGATTTTGAGGAATCGGTGGACCCACAAGACCCGCAGAGAGCTTGGCATGCTCAAAGGATCGTGCAACTTCCAACGCTTAGGGTTTCTTGTCTACTTGGAGGGGCAGGGGACTTAGTAAGTAGGTTATAAGTAGAGTTATAAATACCCTAAATGGAGTTACCCCAATAAAACCTTACTTAAACACGACTTACTAAGTCCCCTGCCCCTCCAAGTAGGGATCGGCAAGGAGCCTCAGCAGGTGAGATCACTTAGTAAGGAAGGTATGCTTGCCGCTAGGAGTGCTATTCACAAACATCGTCGTAACAAGGCAGGTCATTCCCAGAGACTCCAATATCCCCTAATTAAGGAATATTCCTTAAATCATATTAGGGGTCCTACTATAATTTAGGAAATATTCCTTAGTTAAGGGATATGGGAGTCTCTGGGTTTCCCTGTCTCCAAGTGATGCAGACCGCTGGAGTTTTAGGGGCGAGCCCCAACCCTAGAACCCCTGATCTAAAGCGCTACTCCCTCAACCAATACACTAGGATGCCCAGTGACCTAGGAATAAAACGGGGCTCCGTTTTTGGTACTGGGTACCTCAATAAGGAACCTAGGACTACAGAAAGGGACTAAGGGTACTACTGGGCATCCTAGTACACGGAACAGCAACATTGCGGCCGCGAGTCGGGGAACTGGACAAGGAATGCAGGAGGGAAGCAGCAGTCCTGTTAGGGCCGAGCCCGAACGTTCTGTGGGCATTCTTTCGGGGTTCTATGAAGCCTCTATAAAGGCTCCGTAGAGATTCTGTAAGGCTTGCTATAAGGGCTCCATAAGGGTTGTGTAAGCTTTCTATTGGGGGCTACTACGAGGCTTGCCTTTATGGGCTGTAACAGGGCCAGGGTACCTCATGACTAGGTACTGGACTTGGATTTAGGACAATGCAGATGTAGATTAAGGTTTTGTGGAATACAAAAACGGTCAATAGGTAATTTGGAGAACTGTAGCACCAAATACATGGCTTCATGAAGGAAATACTTTTCAGTTTGCGGATGTCAAGAACCTCCAAGGGTAAAAGGAGGGACCCTTAATGGGGTATATACCCTTCATATAGCTATCATATATAGCCCATTATGGGTAGGGGTCCCCATTAAGGGTCCCTCAACATGAGGAACCCTAAGAAGACCTGGGGAGCGCTTATGCGTTGAACATTCTGCAGAAAAGGACTGTGCCAAATCCTGTGGAAGCTCTACATGGGAGTTTCCGGAAGCAAGGGACCCTAAACCCTAAACCTACTTATAACCTACTTACTAAGGGGGTCTTCATCAGTAGAATATGGGAGTTTCCGGAAACAAGGGACCCTAATATAGTACCCTAAATAGTAGGATCCTTATTATAAGGACCGCAAAATAACCTAGCCCTAATTTTCGGAAACTCCCACATAAGTATCCTTCTGGCAGCCACGAAACCACAAGCCTTAAGCCCTTCAGTTCTGAAATTGTCAGAGCCGTAACAATCCGAGCCCTTAGCCTTTACTCTACACCGACGACAGCCACAAGAAGCTAAGAGTACTGCCAAATCATTACATTTTAGAAGTGTTTGACACGGCAGGTTTTCTAAGAGCTCCTCGGGGCTTGAACCGTCTCTTTCCATATGCATTTACACACACATACATATATATATATATGTATATGTATACATTACATATATGTAAACTGTATAACGACAGGTAATGTGATACATATATATATATATACATACATACATACATATATATATATATCTCAGAAATACATATCTCTGTGTATATATATATATATATGTATCTTCATGTTTGTTTGTTTGTTTGTTTGTTTGTTTGTTTGTTTGTTTAATTAAATGCTGTTATAATACAACAGCGCTTACCAGAATCTGGTTGATCTAACCAAGCCTTCACGTTGGATTCTGGTTTATTGAGGCTGGTCTGACTTCGCACTTTCAGGCTTGATTTTGGTGTAGGAAAGGTGCCTGGAAGTCTCGACCGAGTCTTTTGGGCTTTGGAAGTGCTTCCGAAAGCAAGCTCTCGCATGCTCCGGTGTAAAACATGGGGCACAAATTGCAACATAACTGCGCATGAGAAACCATAGATACATCTGCGCTGGAACTTACGGTGCTCATGAAGCTGCTGTTTTGTCGTGCAGCTTGATAGCCCCTTTTGTCCGAACTTGATCATACGGCTGACTTTCGCCAAGTCTACGGTCGTGCATTCTTGTTATGTGTAGTTCCCTAGAGTCCTGCACCCTACATCTTTCTAGAACCCTCGTAAACCCTAAGCCTCCTAAAACACCCTTGTGAAACAATCCAAAGGAACCCTTCAAGCGAACCTATAATGGGCTATATATTGGGCTATATAATAGCTATATATATTAAGGGTATATACCTAGGGGTCCTTCTTAAGGGTCCCTCCTTTCACCCTTGGAACCGCAAAAACCCCGGGAGCCCCGCCGGTCGTCCGGCTTCGGGTCGAGGGGTTAGGTTGCGCGTGAGAAGGGCCTTTTAATTTAGGAACCTCAAGTATATCCAAAAAGTAGATCCCTTAATGGGGGGGTTCCTATAAAGTAACCTTAGTAGTATAGGGTCTAGGGTTTAGGGTTTAATTTAGGAACCCTAAACCCTAAACCCTAAACCCTCAAGTATTAGAATAGGGTTTGGGCTTAGGGTTTAGGGTTCCGGGGGGGCCTCAAGTATTAGAATACTAGGTTGGCCCCTTAAAGCCTCTGAAAAATAGTCGTAAATAGGGTCCTACTAAGCCCAATAAGGGAAAATATAAAATGTCCCAAAGGCCTACCTAGTAATAGGGTTTAGGTTTGGGGTTTAGGGTTTAGGGTTCCGGGTTTGGGGGCCCGTTATCCTAAAATTCTAGAAAGGGGCCCATAAAATAGTATAGGTAATTATTTAAGCTCCTGGTCCTATAGCATCAGGTTGAGGTTTTAACCACCCGGCGGTGTCAGTTTACATACCCTTTCCAGGATGCCCAGTAACCTAGGAATAAAAAAGGGCTCCTTTTTGGTATTGGGTAACTTCAATAAGGAACCTACGACTACAAAAATTGAATAAGCATACTACTGGGCATCCTACCTTTGGACTCTTTTGCAGCACCTGCTTGGTGCGACGGCGCGGCGTCAAACCGGCATCCACTACAATCTTTTCCCAGACCCCCTGGAGGATCTAGAAAGTAGATCACAAAACTTGGGACCCTAACCCTAAACCCTAAACCCCTAAACCCCAAAACCCTAAACCCTAAACCCTAAACCAGGTTACTTTATAGGAACCCCCCATTAAGGGATCTACTTTTGGGATCCTCCCGGGGTTCTGGGTTAGGGTTTAGGGTTCACGGGGCAGGGCTTAGGGCTTTAATCATGGTTTCAAAAGGGTTATCAGAAAGTTGAGAGGTTTGTTACGAGGTTTTCGGTTTTATCCAGAAAAGTGCGAATTGCAGGACTTTGGTGCCCAAAAGTACCAATGTTCCAATCCTGCTGTGCTTTGTTTGGCGGGCGTGCCCCAGTCGAAGGATCAGGGTTTAGGGTGTATAGTTTTGGGCGTAGGGATTCAAGCCAGACACCACACTCAAATACAATGCCCCAGTCTGCGGAATAGGGCTTGCGAGGTCCTTCCATGCTGCCAGCGGTGACGGCGATGAACGCGCTGAAGCCTTCATCCGAACGCAGTTATGCAGATCATACGGAAAACCGTGCATGATTTTTATAAGACCTGAAGCACGCAAGATTTGTGTAAGGACCCTACGGTAAGAAAGGAAGGCAAACATTGAAGGGGTATATCCTGGAGGCTAGGAACCCCCAACCCTATTTAGAAGGTTCGTAGTATCAATCCTTAGATATCAGCAGCACGTTGATGTATACGTATGGGTACATTCGTAGTCATACCTCCTGAAGCTACCTACATAACACCCACTTCATAATGGCATCCCGAATCGCTGCAACGGAGCAGGACCTGGAGAAGCGGGCCATCATGAAGTGGCTGAGTCAGGAGAAGAGCCCTCAAAGCAAAGACCCGAAGGACCAGAGCATCAGCTAGGTTCCCCAGTAGCCCCTTAACCACAAGGGTATATACCCTTTTTCCCCGCATCTGGCTTTAATAAGGGAGCCCAAAAAGATAAAAACAAGGGCTAAAGGGTACTACTGGGGAGCCTTGTCAGTGAATCTCGGCTCTGCAATCTGCAACTCGGCAGAATTCACCGCGGACGACATGTGGCACCGTCTCCTGCTTCCATCCAGGCCCCTGCAACCAGACTCCCAGAGACTCCCATCTGCCTTAATTAAGGAATATTCCTTAGGCCATACTGTTTATGCACAAAATCCTGCATGACCCATTATAAGGAATATACCTTAGTTCCCATAGTTTAGAATCCTTAGGGTCATGCAGGATTTTGTCCATCAACAGTATTAGGGATCCTATTTTGACTTAAGGTATATTCCTTGATTGAGGGGCTTTTGGAGTCTCTAGGAAGGGGTGTTCCGTCAACCTGTCGTCACATGTCTTCTCTGCAAGAGTCCAGAACTTTTCCGAGTTCGCCAGGCGGAAGATGTCCGGGAAAAGGGTCGTACTCTTCGTACTCTCCCCAGAGAGCCCAATACCCCCTAATTAAGGAATATAGCTTAAATCATAATATGAAGCCCCAATATAATTTAAGCCATATTCCTTAATTAAGGGGTATTGGGCTCTCTGGGTTCGAGAGGAGAGCTCGACATGTGGAAGGGAAATGGTGGCCTCGGCCGGTGCCGTCATGCCGCTCGGCGGCTTCCACTGCGGAGACCGAGACGACATTGCCCTTTGTCAAGGGCACGTCCTTGCAGAACCGCACCATGTGTGGCTCAGGGTTTGGAGTGTTGTATTTTCGGGAGTCGGGATTTAAGTTTTTTCTGGTTCAAGGTTGACTTCGGAAGTAACTTACTCCCCCAATAAGCCACGGAAATGAAAGGTTAAACTTTCTGATTCCTACTAAGTTATAAGAACTCAAAAAGTTTAAAGGTTGGGTATTGGAGAACTAGGGTAAACTGTCTGCTTCAATAACCGAAGTTCAAATTTCGAAGATAGAGACCAAATAAGTAACGGCCAAAAGATTTGCAGTTCGCCCATTGGCTAAGGTGGTTTAGGGGGAGAGAGTTTGAGCGTTCAGGGTTGGGGCGCAGCTTTTTAGGGCTTCGGGCTTTAGGGTCAAGAGCTCGCATGTGCTTGGCAACAGCGTTTCAGGTGCTCAAACGGTGATAAAGGTGGCCGTGAAGTCTGGAACTGCGAAGCCCGAAGCTCACAAAGCTCATGCAGATGAGGGGTCGGAATCTTTAGTAATCAAATCCCCTGATAGCCCCATATGACTATCTCATAGCATTAGTACAATCGGTTCCACCGGCCTGCAAAAGGTGGCTGTGCAATGCCAGGAATCCTGAGGCGACGCAGATTGCGGCTCATGGAAGGTATGGTCAGCAGGGTTTCCGCGTGGTTTTCGTGAGTGTGTATAGGGCTCCTTATGAATGCTGGTGAGGTCTGAAGACTTGATGGAAATGTTCAGGCTTGATACTGGGGTCTCGCCGAAATATATACTTACCTATACTAAACTGGTGGTTCCTTATTGTAATAGTTACCTATACTTTTTTGGTGGTTCGTTACTATATCTCTAGTACCACGTGCCCCAAAACCCCTGGTCAAAAGCTCTTCTAAATTCAACTGAGGCTTTGGAATCTCCAGGCTTCCGTTGTACACCCAGTAAGCCCATTAATTCCCGGACTTAGCCCTCATAGAACCTGACAAGCAGTAACCTCCGTACTAACCTGATAGAACCCAGTCCGAGACTAATCTTTGTAGCAACCTTCGTAGACAAAGAGTAGATAGAGCACCTTGGCAGCGACCTTTTTGCCCCGAGGAATCTTACTGAACCCCGACAGTACCCGGAACTTCAGGTCGTTATGGGTAACTACTCTGATTTGGGGTTTAGGCTGCGAAGCTCTCAAAACCTCCACCAGGACTTGAGACACACAACTGCTATGAAACCTTAGGAAACCCCACGAGGCTCTCTACAATCTTGATAACACAAGGGCAATTGAGGCGAAATCGCGAAGAAGTTCAAGTCTGTAGCAACACATTTGCCAGTGAATCTTCTGTCAAAGCTTTGAGGCCGCGCGACCTAGATTCCTGGAAAACCTGGGCCTCTAAGTATGGGGTAGAAGTTTACTTACCTTACTTCCAACACTACCTATAAGAGACCCTAAACCGTAAACCCTAAAAGAATCCCTGATAGAACCCTTTAGGAACCCTTAGAGGAACCCTTAAAGCAACCCGTTAAACGAAACCTACTAACCCCCGTGAAGCTTCGAGAAGGGCTTCGCGCAGTTTTTTGAATAAGCCCTATACTATACCCGAAACCCTTGTAGAACCCCTATAGATCCCCTTGGAGCCTTTTAGGGCAGTTCTTACCCTTATAGATCATAGATCCCTTTTTTTGGTATCCTTCTAGACCCCTTTAAAGGAATCCTTAGAGATCCCTTTTCAGGAACCCTTACCTTAATTCCTCCAAATAACCTACCTTTTGAAGGACTTATATAAAGAAATCATATTAGGGAACCCTGAACAAGGTAGGTTCCTTAGGGTCCACCCTTTAAAGGAATCCTTAGAGATCCCTTTATAGATCCCCTTTAAAGAATTTTCTGCGGCCGTGCGGCCCGTTCATCGCTTCGCTCCCGGGGCCGGTGGTCACCAGCTGGTCTGGCCTTGGGGCTCTAAAGGGATCTATGGGGTTTAGGGTTAGGGTTCCTCAAAGGGCTCCTCAAAGGGATCTATAGGGTTCCTTAAAGGGGGCTCTACTTGAAGGGGCCTGGGAGACCCCAGGAGTTAGGACCCTGGGCATCAAAATAGCCCGAAAGCCTCATGTAATATGGTCTTTGGGCCCGAAAGCCTTAATATACTGAGACTTTCACAATTACGGGAGCTGCTGGCCTTGCTTTTGGTGGTGCCCTTGCTTTTGGTGCCCCTGCTTTTGGCGCCGCCCCTGCTTTTGGTGGTGCTCCAGGAGTTCGGATTAGACATTAAAAGGGTCCATAAGGACTTCAAAAACAGGGTCTATAAAGATTACTGAAATAGGGGGCTATAAGGATTCCTTGCAAGGGGTCTATCAGTATTGCTTTAAAGAGGTCTATAGGAGTTAGGATGACGGTTCCCTTAAACGGGTCTATAACAAATCGTTAAACGGTTTGAAAAGGGTTTCTGTATTTGGATTGTATAAGGATTATCATACACCCCACAAGCTTAACGGTTACCTACCATATAGAGCACACCTTTAGTATCCCTACTCTACTACTATAGGAGTTAGGATGAGGGTTCCTTTAAACGACTCTATAAGGATCTCTTTAAGGGTTCTAGACGGGTTTCAATGAGAGCTTGGTAGACGTATGATTAGGCGGCCGAGGAGGCAAGCCCCAAGTCCACAAGCTCTATACCCTGAAGCCATGTTTTGACATTTTGCATGCCAATTCCCCAGAGAGTCCAATACCCCTTAATTGAGGAATATTCCTTAAATCATATTAAGGATCCTACTATAACTTAAGGCATATTCCTGAATTAAGGGGTATTGGAGTCTCTGGGTCCAAAGGACATTCACAGTAACCTGGGCTGCCGGCAGCTTCTTGATCTCGCCCATGAGTCCGGCCTGGTGTCGACTGACTGTACGGGACTTTGGCTTGCTGCGCCGTTGCTATTATCATTATGGCCATGCACATGATGATGATGGAGATGAGGGTGATGGTGATCATGGTAAATGCTGCTACAGTTTTTGGTAGGGGTTAGGATTAGATTGCTGCTTTAGGCTTGGGCTGACAAACTCAAGCTCTGGAAAGTTTTGCTAAGTTTAGGGCTTAGGGTTTAAGGGCTTAGGGTTTGGGCCCCTGTCGAGTGCAGTGTACAGAGTTCTGAGACGGACGAAGAATGTTCTCTGGCTGCTCAAAAAGGAACGTGTTGGCACTTTCCACGAAGCATTAAGCACTACTCCCTCAAGCCTAAACCCTAAACCCGAAACCGTGCCCGAAGCCCCCTAAATCCTCAACCGAAGGCTTGGGATAATCTGCTGCCTTTTTCAGTCGCACAGATGCGAAGACCCTGGGCGCGGCAGTCGGGTTCTGGAGTTCAGAACTGAAGCTTAGGGATCGGTTCAGGGGTTCTAGTGGAAGCCAGACAGTTGGAACATGGCTTTATGAGGATTAGGGCTAGGATCAAAGGGGAAAAGGAGGGACCCTTAATGGGGACCCCTACCCTATAATACCCTATAATGGGTTATAATGGGCTATGTAATGGGTATATCATGGCTATATTAAGGGTATATACCTTGGGGTCCTTATTAAGGGTCCCTCCTTTTACCCTTGGATAGGATCCTGCATACTTTGCACGAAGGGCATGAGGATAATGATGTTCCAACTTTCTGGCTTCTACTATATAGTAGAAGCCCAAAAGTTGGAAACCCAATAGCCTCAATCCATAAGAGCAATGTTTTGGGAATCCCAGCACTACTTGTCCTTAAACCGGTTTCCAACTTTTTGGGGTTTACTATAGGGCTTTGGGCTTAAGGCTTACCATGAAGCGGACGAAGGGATCCTTCGACTGGCTTAATGAAAATGAAAGACAACATCCTTTGTTTACACGGTATCTAGTATTGGGCGCTCTCCTGAAGCTCTTTGCTGTCACTCTTAGGCTTGCATATGACATGAGAACGTGCTTGCATTCACCTTGGGCCTTGCAACTAGGCGCTGGACATCCTATACATTTGAAACCGCTGTCCTTAGCGTTGATTGCTTGGGCTTTCGGATTGACATTAATTGGTGGGCAAGACAAACGAGTCCAACTGTTGCGCAGCTTATGCACGTGAGGTTCAATGCCTCTGTGTCACCCCACTCATATGACACACCCTGAACTCCTTCAGCCTCTGCCCCGTTACATAGAAGTACATTCAGCGGCCATTTTGGGTTTGCCAGCGCAGCGTGGGGTCCCGAGAACCCGAATCCCTGACTTTCGGGTGCACAAAACGTGCCGAAACCTTGACACGTGAACTTCCGAGCTTGAAACCTACGCATAGGCCCCATAGTAGATCCTTTTTTGGATTACCCTTTAGGATGCTGAATATGAACCCCAAAAAGGGACTACTATGGTGCCTATGAGTAAACCATAAACATGGTTATCATCGTTACAGGCCACAGGAACCTGAATGCGCAAATCCTAAAACGTACACCTGCAACATAGTTTCGGGCGTATAGAAGCGTGGCTGCGATAGTTCTGAGCACCTGACGGCCGCATCCACACGTCCTTCCATTCCTTCGGCTGTGGGTGGTTTAGCAGTGAAGAGACTTTTGGGATTTCGGGCTACGGATTCGGCTTCGGGCGGGGGCTTACCGTTTGGGGTTGTGAGTGTTGTGGGTGTAGGATTACTGTAACGCTTGGAGAGGGCTCATGCTTCGACGCCTGGGGTTCTCAGGGCATCTGCCTAATCCCCCTTTAAATCCTAAACCCAAAACCCTGTATTCATCCAGTGCATCGTGGCCACGCCGCGATAGAGCTCTCCCAGGAGATCGCGGGGATAGATTGGGACGCCTCGGCTGGCAAGGCCGCCGGGCTCAGAGTTTACCCATAGGCCCCATAGTAGTTCCTTTTTTGGACTACCTTATAGGATTCTAAATATGAGCCCCAAAAAAGAAAAAGGGATAGGCCCCATAGTAGTTCGTTTTTTGGATTACCTTATAGGATTCTAAAAATGAGCCCCAGAAAGGAACGACTATGGGGCCTATAGGTACAGCTTGGAGCCCTGCCTCTAACCCTCAAGTTGCCCAAAACCGCGCTGGTGCTAATAAGTCGCATGCGTAAGGCTACTTGGAGGGGCAGGGGGGACTTAGTAAGGGTTCCTTAAATGGCTCCTTAAAGGGATCTATAGGGTTCCTTAAAGGGATCTATGGGGTTTAGGGTTTAGGGACTACTTGGAGGGGCAGGGGACTTAGTAAGTGCCCTGCCCCTCCAAGTAATTGCTAAGGCCGGTCAAGAGAGGGGGCTTATTAAGCTGGCTTTACAAATAGACCCTTAACACCGAAAGCCCCCAACATCCGGTTCAAGCTCCAAGAGCATATCTAGTTCATGGTTGGGATCGGATTAAAAATGTATATTTTTATCCCTTATTGGGTTTAAGTACCCATGAAACCGTAAAATTTTACCCAAAGATATCGGCCTGTCGATTGGAGCTTGACTTCCGGCCGCGTCCCGCCCGAGGATGCCACCGACGCTTCGAAAGCTTCGAGCCGAACCCTGGGCAGCACACCGTCTCCGCTGGTCTCATAGGATTCTTCCAGATGGACTGCGAAATTGCCGGACACCTCGCCGCAAAGAGCAAACTGAACCGCGCAGGATGCGACAGCCAACATGCAGGTGTACACAGACTTCTGCGACACCACGTCGCCCCGTCTGGGAACCGCTACGGGTTTGATTTTTCGGGCGTTGGTTTATGGTTTAGGGCTATGAGGGCTGATGATCTCAGGCGCTGTGACAAACTCAAAACCCATGCAGTTCTAGGTATTCCTACCGTCCCCCTAAACCCTGAACTGTAGACTCTAAGCCCTTAGCTTTTAGCCGTAAATTGAAATGGAACAGCAAAGTCAAGAGAGCTCACTGTGAAGAGGGAGGCGCCGATTCTCCAATCCCAAGTTACTCCCTGGTGCTTAGTAGGGAATGGGAAAACGCATCCCTAGAGTAGTCCCTATACAATCCCCAATAATACCCCACTCCCTGCTAAGCACCAGGGAGGTTAGTTTCGAAGGGGGTAACCCCGAACCGCAAAGCGTCTATGCCCCAAGCCTCCAAACCTGAACTCTAACTTCAAAAAACAAACCCGGACAGCTCGAACCCTCAAACTCCAGAAAACCCGAAACTCTACTATATCCGAAAAGTGTTGTCCAATTGATATCTATACTAGGTCATGGTAGAGATAGTATGAACAAATCCAGCTTGTGTTCCGCAAAATACAAGGACCCTATCCAGGGGAAAGGAGGGACCCTTAATAGGGACCCCTAGGTACATACCCTTAATGTAGCTATTATATACTCATTATATAGCCCCATTATAGGGTAGGGGTCCCCGTTAAGGGTCCCTTCCTTTCCCCTTTGACCCTAATGCCCAGAATAGGATCCGAAATAGGGTCCGCTCTTTAGGCTTCCCACAAAGGGATCTGTAAGGGTTTCTGCAAGGGGTACTGTTACTACTTGGAGGGTCGCGGGACTTAGTAACTGGTTATTTTGGGGACTTATAAGTACCATAACCCCAATTAGGGTCCCTTTTAGGGTACTTATAAGTCTACTTACTAACTACTTACTAAGTCCCCCGACCCTCCAAGTATTGGAGCCTGAGATATGGGCATTGATAGCTAGAATAGGGCCTTGCGGGCTGCCATAGCATACGCCCAGACGATCTTTGGAGGATCCAAAAAGTAGATCCCTTAATGGGGGTTCCCATGAAGTACCCTTAGTAGTATAGGGCCCGAAACTAGGAGATCTACTTTCTAGAGCCTCCCCGGGGTCTGGGCATCCTACAAGGAATCCTGCTGCCCAGAGACTCCAATATCCTTTAATTAAGGAATATTCCTTAGATTAAGGGGTATTGGAGTCTCTGGAGGAGTAGTGTTGGTAATTGATATTCGGGCGTAAATGCCCTGCGTTTCCAACAAGAGCCCTCAAGTATAAGCCAAACTTTGCGCCCGAGCACGTGCCCATTTCATCTCCTGGAATGCCAGTGAGGTTTCGAAGTGGATAGACTGCTAATCTAGGGGTCCGTATAATTGCTGCTGATATGCCCTTGCAGCCCTTAGCATTTCTGGTAGAATATACATCAGAGACCCTACTCGAATGCTCCAAGGTCCCTAAATTAAGCAGCTTCGATACAGGAGCCTCGTTGTCTGTAGGGCTTCTGTGAGAATGCAGTCGGGGCAGAGGGCCTCACCACGGGTTCAGCAAGGGTGCTTGGAGGATCACGGGACTTTTTAAGTAAGGTTATAAGTACCTTAATTGGGGTTATAAGTAGTTATAAGTATAGTTACCCTAATTATAACCCTAGTTACCAAGTCCCATGATCCTTAAGGTGGGTGTGGGAATGTTGCTTTGGCTCTGGGGGTTTCTGGCTTTAGGACAGTTCTTCTCTGTGGCACGGATCAGTGACTGGGACATCGCAACTCTGTAAACTCTAAACCCTAGGCCCGAGACCCTAAATCCTTAATTTAAACTAAGGTAAAAGCCAGAAAGTTGGAATATGAGTATCCTAAACCCTTTATGGTAGATTATAGGGTATCCTACCCTGAAACCATATTCCAACTTTCTGGAGTTCCCTTTACCTTATTTTGGGGTCCTTATAATAAGGATCCTACCATTTAGGGTACTATATAAGGGTCCCCTATTTTCGGAAACTCCCAAATCCTTAATTTAAACTAACTTCCTTAAAACGAACCCAGTTGTCAAGTCCTTGTGGTTCCAGCCGCGGACATCGCACTTCAGCTCATCGCCGAGGTCCTGCTTTGAGGTTTCCCTGAAGCCACACCCACAAAAGCAGTTTGCCTTATGGCCCAAAATAATATTATGATAAAGGAGCCTTAAACATTTCCTATGGCTCATATCAGGAAACTATCCTAAGGGAGCCCTGAAACTTTTGGGGTTTAGGGGTTTAGGGTTTAAGGGGTTTTGGGATGAAGATTTTTTGAAGGGGGGTCAAGGTAGGGTTTAGGGTTGGCTTCCGGGCTGAGAAGTAGGCTTTAGGCATCGAAGGTACTTAACAGTTACTATTCCCGGAAGCCCTTTCGAACACCTAGACTCCAGTTCCCTGAATCCCTTCTTAGGGGCTGAGTACCCCATCCCAGAAAAGCTTAACAGTTTAAGTTATTATGGTAGGATTCTACAACCCTAAGCCCTAAACCCACTCTCAGTCCCTAAGCTGCAAGAGCTTTTTCGGAGTCTAGTTCCAAGTGCCTCGCAGAAGTCACACTGCTTCGGATCGTACCAGGCGGCGCCTACACAAGAGGGGATTAGGGGTGTAGGGTTTGGAGTCCAAGCTTGTAGACTGTACTAGAATGCCCAGTAACCTAGGAAGAAAAGGGCTACCTTTTTGGTAGTGGGTACCTTTATCAGGAAACTAGGACTACAAAAAGGGAATACGGGTACTTTGCATCCTAGTTTAGGGTTTCGGGGTTTAGGGTTTCGCTTTTCTTCCAAGAATCTGTTTCCAAGTAGCCTTTGGGTTTAGGTTTATCGGGTTCAGTGATCGAGAGTACAAACAGCCTCAACCAACAAACAGAGCGCTGGATGGTATAAGGATGATCGTGCCCCCAAACGGCTAAAAATTACTACCCTTATAGAACCCTTACTCTTCTACTACGAATGCTTTAGGTATGGCCCCCATACACTAAGAGTCTATAATAGGGCTACTATTAAGGTCCTAGTAACTCTTAGTATATCTATATTATGAATATTACTCAACTATTTCTGAGTGGGGGCCGTACCCAACGAATGCCTAAAGCCAAGGCGCACCCCCAAAAACCCTAAACCCGGAGCCCCTACCCTAAACCCCAAGCCCCTGCACCCTAACAGAATGCCTCAAGACCAGGGACATGCGTACTCTACAACAACAACAACTACTGCTACTACTACTACTACTACTACTGCTACTACTGCTACTACTGCTACTACTGCTACTACTACTACTACTACAACTACTAGTACTACTAGTACTAGTACTAGTACTAGTACTAGTACTAGTACTAGTACTAGTACTAGTACTAGTACTAGTACTAGTACTAGTACTAGTACTAGTACTACTACTACTACTACTACTACTACTACTACTACTACTACTACTACGAACCCTTGTTCGAACCCCACCCCCCCAACCACTATTACGGTAATTACCCTTAAGGAAGCCTTACAGAGCCCCCTTACTAGTACTCCATACTTAGGAATGTCAGAGGGTTCGTTAGTACCCCTACCCCTACTTTCCATAGGACTTAGGACTAAGGGCACCCTTGGGGACAAAAGGCTGAAGATGGTCTTCGTAGTGCATGCAGATCCCACGAGTTGCCAGTAGTGCTCAGTGGCCTGTGGCCTTCCTCAAGCGGCTGGTGAGCTGATCGTCATCATGGGGAGTGTCATCACCGCCCTCCATATTGTCTGTCGTCACACATGGTCTTGTTGGTCTCTGACGTGTCGGGAGAGACAACTTAGGCTGCAGGGCCATGATGAAGGCAACAAGCTCTTGGGCTTCTCTTGGGATGTTCGCCAGCCCGAGTGAGTAATTCTGCCATGTACCTCCTTGATCCGCACGCTTGAGGCAGTCGATTGCCATAGCACGAGTATCGGGATACTCCCTGCATTGGCTAGCTGATACCCTTCAAGGCCTAACAGGCCTTGGAAGGGAATCAATTTCAGCTACCAAGCTGCATGCTTTCCCGATTCGACGAACCTCATCCATAACATAGGGTACAGTGCAAAGCGGCGGGAAGTTGGCTAAGAGTGTGTCGATAGAGCGTCCGAACTGCGTCCTTGTAGAAAACTGCGCGTGCTGCAGGTTCAGGTCCCTTCTAAGAGAGCCAGAAGTAGGGTGAAGAAGGTAGAAGGGTGCCCTTTAGAGGGTCTCCCTAAGGCTAGCTCGGATTGTAGTAAAGCCCCAAAACTGGCAACCCAGTAGCCTCAATCCCTCAGAGTAAAACTTGGAAGCCGGATTATGGACGATTACTGCTAGGATACCTTATAATAAGGTATCCTAGCAGTAATCGTCCATAATCCGGCTTCCAAGTTTTTGGGGCTTACAATAGCCTCAAGCCATGGAGCTTAGTAAGCAATTTGGAGTTATAAGTAGGCACCATAATCCCAATTAGGATCCCTTTTGAGGTACTTCTAACTCTACAAACTACCTACTTACTAAGTTCCCCGAGCCTCCAAACCCTACGCCCCTTAGTATCCCTCTACTACTAAGAATGCCTCAAGGCAGGCTTTAGTACGAGTAAGCAAAGAACCCTTATAGATCCCGTTAAAAGAACCCTTATAGATCCGCCTTTAGTACCCTTGCTCAACTACTTACTAAGGACTCCTCAAGCCAAGGGGCACGCGTGTTTCATGTTCCCGCCCAGCAGCGCGCAGTGCTGAGGTCGATCTCGAGCGTCACCTCTGCTTGGAAAAGCGGGGCGGACTGAAGGCTTGCATTTACTCCCCAAATAAGCAACGGAAATGAAAGGTTAAACTTTCTGATTCCTATTAAACTATAAGAACTCAAAAAGCTTAAAGGTTGGGTATTGGAGAACTAAGTGTAGGGCTGAACAGTACCGAAAGGGTTGTTGGGGTTTAGGGCGTTCGGGGTTTAGGGGGTTAGGTGTTCTGGGTCTAGGGTTTGGCGTGTCAGGTTGTTAGGGCATTAGGTTGTTAGGGTTTCTTGAATTTTGAAGATTTTTCAAGGGTTCCTCTAATGGCAGGGATTCCTAAGAAGCTTTGGGAACTGGGTCTAGGATTTAATTAGACTTCGCAGCACGGCTCAGCGCTGACTAGGTCTGGGAACACGAGTGAAGGTCGCGGTTTAGGCTTTTTTACGACCGCCATGCGCCACCAATGCTGTTATGGTAGAAGGAAAATCGTCGTGCAAAGCGCGTAGGCGCTGCCGCCAAGCGAGCGGAGTAGCTGGGGTGTTTCTGAAGGTACTGCTTCAGACCCAAGAAGTCTACTCTTAACTGGGAGGAGTAGCCGGGCTGTGTTTTGACGTCCTGTTGGAAGAACTCCAAAGCTTTATCCGATACTAATCCTAGCCAGTGCGGGGGGGGAGGACCACGTTTGCTGTTCTTTTGAATGCCTACTCTATCTTTGTAACCTGGGGAGAAGATTACGTGGTGAATAGGGTCATTGTGAGGAGTAGCCAGGCTGGTAGTGAGCTGTTGTAGCTGCTCCTGTAGTATTAGTTGGGATGGGAGAATGGGCTGTTCCGCTTTTAGCCAAACTGCTTTGTTGGTGATTCTGGAGTAATATGATGCTTTTATGCCTACCACTCTCCTTAGGAACTGGAAGTACCATCCGTCGATTTTCTTGAGATGTTTTTCTTCCAATGTGAGTGTGCATAGGCCATAGAGGAGTACTGAGACGACGTAGGATCTGAATATGATCAACCTGGTTGTTTGGGGCACCGAAGTCTTCCAGAAGGCTGATAATTTGCAGTAGGCTATGTGGGCCTGGGAGATCCTATGGTTGATTGCTTCGAGGGTGGGATTTGACCAAGCCACCATGGAGCCTAAGTATTTGATTTTATCGTTGACTGGGGTTGGCGTGCTATCAATAAAAGAGGGCGGAGTAGTCGGAATGGGTGTCCTCAGATACTCTGTTTTGGTGAAGTTGAGGAATAGCCCATATAACGTTGCCTCGGATTGTACATTGCGCAAGTATTCCTCTACCGCTGTAACTGTAACCCCAAATAAGAGAGTATCATCTGCATATTCTAGATCGTATACTGGTTTGCCAACAGACCATGTGTTTGTAGGCACACCGGTGCTGAGTAATCGACGGTCTACGTCTGAGAGGAGCACTGTCATTACAATTATAAAGAGGTAAGGGCTGAGGGGGCATCCTTGTCGAATGCCCGTGTGAGGAGTACCTTTAGCTTTTTCTCCATTTATTCCTACTGTATAAAAAGTTGGGTTAGTGTAGATGTCTTTAATAATATCTATGTAATGCTGATGAACCCCAAACCTGCGTAGTGCAATTAGCATGCTTTCGTGGTCTACTTTGTCGAAAGCCATACGCCAATCCAGAAAAACCATATGGAACTGCTGGCCGGTCCTGGCGGAGTAGTCTTGTAATCTGCGGAGTATGAACAGTGGATGCAAAGTGCTTTTGCCCTTTCTGAATCCATACTGTGTTTGGCGGAGTAGCTGATCGTAATTCTGCGCAAGTCTGGCCTGTATTAGAGACGCGTAGACTTTGTACAGCGTATTTAGCAGCGCGATTGGGCGGTAATTCGTTGCGTCGGCGTCGTCGCCCTTCCCTTTGTAAAAGGAGCAAGCTATTGCGTCTTTCCAGTCCTGTGGCATCGTTTTGTTTACCCAGCATGTGTTCATTAAGTCCAACAGCTGGTTTTCCCCAAACGTATCGAGGAGGAGTAGTAGATCCTGTCTCAGAGAGTCAGGACCTGGCGCTTTGCCTTTCTGAAGTTTGTTAAGCACCGCTGTGAGTTCCGGCATGGTGAAAGGTTTCGGTGGGGTTGCGTCCTGTGGGCGTAGGGGCGGCGTATCCCGGAGGAGGTGGTGCTCCTCTGAAGATACCTGAGTAGGAGCCCACTGAGATTGCGTGAGATGTGTGGCGAATGCTTCGTGGGTTTTCGACCATGGGATCTGTCGTCCGTCCACCACAAGGCGACGTTTGCGCTCTGAGAAGCCTTTTTTGAGTTTGCGGAGATTAGCCCAGAGGGAGTGGTGGCTGGGATTGGGATTGTTTTCGAAGGTGGCCTTTGTCCATTCTCTTTTACGTTTTCTGGCTTCTTTTTTGAGGTCTTTATAGTAAGCGGAGTAGTTGGGGTCCAGCGCTGCGTTCATTCGTTTGGCAATGCTGAGTCGTTCTGCCAAGTCCGGGGTGATCCAGGGTCGTTGCGGAGTAGCCGGGTTTGGTGGGAACACTTCCTTTTCGGCCGCGAGGGCTGCTGAGAGGAAGCGTTCGTATTTGTCTTGAGTCGTGCCTTGCGTTGGGGTAGAGTCTTGCGTTAGGTCTTCCAAAAGGAGTGGAGATTTTTGCGTGAATCTGCCTCCCTTGGCCTTGTGCGAAAGTTTACCGGCTTCCGCTAGCGCGTCGGCGCGCTCATTGTATGTATTTCCTTTGTGTCCCTTAACCCATTGCCACCTGATACGGGTGGTTTGTTCGAGTTGTTGGCGGAGTAATCTGGCGGAGTGAACCATTTCTTTATGTCTTTTTGGTCTAGCCTGTCCGCGTACCATTTGCGCCATCCATTTGCTATCATAATAGAAAGTGACGTCCGCTGGCGGATTGGCTCGGATTTTAGGGTTTAGGTTTTCGTTTGTGCCCGTTTTGAGCTCAGGTTCAGGGTCTTGGGCTTTAGCTGAAAGTTTAGCTTGAGGGTTGATGGCTTAGTGTCTTGGTCTGCATCTGTAACACCTGAACAAGGCTTGAGGCATAAGGTTTACGGTGGTTGAGGGTCTGGGGCTGGGAAGTAGAGTTTGTGGAAGAGATTCTTTGTCTTGTGCGTTTGATTGATGCTTGGAGCTTAGGATTAATGTAGGAACCTGCTTCAGAAACCCCGGAACTATAACCCCATAATACTAGGGCTCATATAAAGAATCCCAATAAACACACAGGGCATCTTAATCAGGTTTCCATATTTGCCCTTGGTTTCTGACTTTCGTGGGGCATCCAGGATTTGAGGGTGTTGGGAGCGCTTAAGGGTGCGTGTAGGTCTCTTTGGATGAGATCTCAAGGGCTTGGGGTGTAATGGAGGAACCTGATTAAGAGACCCTGGCCCTATAACCCCCAAATAGTTGGATTCACATAAGGAACAATAAAGGCCCAAGGTTTCTGAATCAGGTTCCTGCTTTAGGCTGTAGGGTTTACGTTTCAGGGGCCTTTACGGTAGTGTAGCAAGGTAGAGCAGGGGACCCACCGTCATCATCAGAACCAACTGCCCAACACCTGCAGGAGTTTCTTTCTGAATGGCAGGGTTGGGTTTGACAGCTCACTTTTTGATCCCCGCCTTTGAGCAGGATTCCAACCAGGCCAACATCAGGATCTGTTCTGTTGCGCTTTGTTATGCCGGGAGATTGTCGAGATGTTCCTTTCGGAAAAGTTACCACCACTTGTGCTTGCCTACCCAGACCATCCAAAATCCGCTAATTCAGGAATCTACCTTACATCGTAGTAGGATCCCGAATACGATTTAAGGTATATTCGGTATATTCCTTGATTCAGTCTATTAAGGAATTTTGAAAGACCTGGGCATGTTAAGCCCCTCGAGTGCCGTAACGCTACCCGAACAGAAAACCCAACGTTATGAGAAGCAAACCCTAAACCCTCAACCCCTAAACAAACTTGTGCAAGCAAGCAGCAAAGGTAGAAGTCATCTGGGGCACCCTTGCCCTGCTCCACCTCAGGTTTGTATGCAGGGATCAAACCCTATACCGCCCAAGAGGCACAACTGAATTGGGTTTACCGGTAGCCTGAAACACTAAACCCTTTCTAAGGAAATATGCGAAGAAACCATAATCGGGAACCATTGAAGTGCAGGCCTAGTTTAGCTCTGGGCTGCTCCACTATTGCGTTCCCGGCCGAGTTTAGCTCTATTGAGGGGACCATTACTAATCACGAGCTCACATTAGCAGGTAGGTTATAAGTAGCGTTATATAGTATTTGATGGTACATGATCGTACGTTATAGTATACTGTGATTTTTTCTGCAGCTTAAAACGTAGAGCTATAAGTACCCCAAATGGAGGTACCCCCCCAATTGTAACCCTACTTATAACCGACCTACCAAGCCCTTACTCCCCAAGCCTAAACCCTCTACCCTCAACTTCCGAAACCCTGCAAACCGTCCGAGCTATGTTAGCCTTGAAAATTGGGGGTGGGCCTTGTAGACGTAGTCCGTGGAATGGAGCCCACCGGAATCGAAAGACCAGGTTCCCGACATGCCGTGCACGGCCTCTCAGAAGCAGTGCGGGCTGCCACCACAGGAATAGCGGGAAAGTTCGGCTGCTGGAGCAATAAGGAATTCTGGGTGATCCGGCTTCAACCGCTGGAAGATTTCGGGTCTTTCAGGGAGTTTAGTATTTAGGCTGCAGACATTGGACGCTTGAGTCAACGTGTCGCAGCACAGATTTCGTGAGGCTTGCGTAGATTAGGTCGAGCTCTGCTTTTGCACCATGGTTGAAGATTTGTTCGCTCTACTATACTGGTAGCTCAAAAGTTCAGGCTTTATCTTAAGATCCCCCAACATAGTACGGCGCGATTACGAAAAGGCCCTGAACCCCGCCCAAAGTCCATACAGATCCCTTTGCAGACCCCGTCATGGGGTAGCAGCTTGCGGATGAGGCTACCCCCAATCGGAGGTACTCACCTATACACATTAACCCAATGAGGCCCTAGCTGCTGCCTACTTACTATGTTTCCGGGGCCTCCAAGTGCTGGAACGGATGTGGTACGTTTCCGCTTCATCACATGGGAGTTTCCGAAATTAGGGGACCCTAATATAGTACCCCAAATAGTAGGATCCTTACTATAAGGACCCCTAAGGAAGGCAGCCCTAATTTTCGGAAACCCCCACATGATGCGCAGTCGAGGATGCGTCTGACAAGCTCCGCACACAGCTCTCCATGTCGGTGCTCGTCCCAGGACCACTTCGAGGCCCAGGGGACTTACTAAGGGCTCCTTATAGGGATCTACAGGGTTCCGTAAAGGGATCTATAGGGTTCCTTAAAGGGATCTATGGGGTTTAGGGTTTAGGGTCTACTTGGAGGCCCAGGGGACTTACTAAGTCGGTACAAGTAGGTCGATGATTAGGGTAACTCCGATACTTATAACTGGGTGGCTGTCAAAATTATGGTCCCTTTTTGGGTAGCCTAAATATTAGGTGCCGTACTATACTAGGGACCAAAAAAACCACAATTCTGACAACTACCCAACTCTACTTGTAACCCACTTACTAAGTCCGCTGGGCCTCTTACCTTTGGTTAGTAGGGAATGGAAGAATGGTAGCAATATTGAAAGCCATGGCGGAGTTAAAGTCTAAGTGCATGTTCTGCAGGGGTTTTGGGTGTAGGGTTTAGGGCACCGAGCAACAAAGAATCAGGCCATGCGTCAGGGAATACTGTAGCCCGCAAGTACCGAGTAATTACCTAGCAAAATGGCCCTCTAACGACATACGTGTGCAGCGCAACATAGCAGGTGCTGCATGGGAGCCCTTAAGAAAGAAACCCCAAACTTCCTAAACCCACGAGCAATCCCAGCACACCTTGCGCGATACCACCCAACAGATATTCCGAGCAGCCTATCATACAACAAATCCCTCTTTCCTTGCCTGGCCCCACACGGTGAGTGGCAACTTCACCTGCAACGTAGACTCCGGATTAACAGCCCGCTTCTTTGAGGGCTAGAATACTTCGGGGGCCTTCATGATTAGAATTGGGTTTTGGGGCCATTCTACTATTAATAAGGACCCCCCTCCCCCCAAAAAAAAACAGTAGGCAATTGTTAGGGCCCCTACATTACTGGGATCTCTTTTACAATTCTCACCGAGGCAAGAGGTTTGATTGATTCACTGGCCTCAAAGACCTTTTTGAGGATATTAGTTATCAATATAACAAAAATCCCTATAAAACCGATTCCTGACTTTGACAAGATCTAAACTTAACTCTGAGCCCTACCTGAACCCTGAATAACCTAGCTTTTTAGGCTTCCTTCTTCTGATTTCCTTATAAAAGTCCTTGAAAAGGTAGGTCCTTCAGGGTTAAGGCAGACCCTAAACTGTACTGCACTTAGAACCCTAGCAAAAATTGTAATTCTAGCTGTTTCTTAGGGATGATAATCACAGAAAGTTAACAATTATTTCTAAGTACCCCTACCCTTAAGTAAATAACCCCATCCCCGACGAAGCTTAGGCTTCAATGTAGAGGCCTTGATTATCAGAAGAGGGCTTTGGGGCCGACAACAGTAAACTAGGGTTATAATTACGGTAACTATGCTTATAAGTACTTATAACCCCAATTAAGGTACCTATAACCTTACCTACTAAGTCCCATGATCCTTTAAGTACAGTGAACCCCATAAAGTTGGAAACCCGATTAAGGCCAAATAGTGCTGGGATTCCCTATACATTACTCTTTAAGGATTGAGGCTATTGGGTTTCCAACTTGTTGGCTTCTACTGTATAACAAGGAACTTCCCAAAGAATATTATAGGTAATGATGAAGGCCCCTATACTACATCCTAGTTATAGCCCTCATAGTAGCCCTTATAGATCCCTTTAAAGGAACCCTAAGGACTAGTATAATACTATAGGTAATGATTATACTGTTGATGGACAAAATCCTGCATGACCCATTAAAAAAAGCCATATACCATAATTCCCACTTTGTTGAGTCCGTAGGGTCATGCAGGATAGGGTTTCAGATTATGATGTTAGCTATATTCCTTCATTAAGGGGTATTGGGCTCTCTGGGCTTGCAGGATTAGGGGCCCCTTGAGGTTCTAGGATGCCCAGTTATCTCGGAATAAACAGGGCCCTTTTTGAGATTGGGTAACTTTGTAGGGAACCTAGGACTACAAAAAGGGAATAAGGGTACTACTGGACATCCTAGGGTTGCAGGGTTTAGCATGGTCTTTTCGTATTGAGTTCTCTTCCTCTTTGTTTTTAGTAGAATATGACGTTAGCATAATCAGCAGTCTTGCTAAGGCTTATGGCTTGAGGCGGAGTCCTTGTTCTTTAACTAGGGGAGCCCCGAACAAAGGGTTCGGGGTTTAGCACTTAGAAGTTACAAGTTAAGGCTTCAGGGATGGAGGGCTGAGGGTGATGCTGAGGGTGGATGATCCTGAAGCTCCCAGTTCCAGGATTTAGGGTTGAGGGTGGTTAGGGTTTAGCGCCCACCCTAAGACCCCAAACCCTAAAACCGGTTTAGGGTTGACGTTGAGGGTTGAGAGCTCAGGGCAAGCTTTCGGTTGTTGAGGGCAGGGGGTTCCGGTGTGAAGTTTAGGGTCTCGGTGGTCTAGGGGTTTAGGGTTCTTTAGGGTTCCTTAGAGGGATCTATAAGGGTTCAGTTTCTCTAGGGTTTGGGGTTTAGGGGTTAAGGGTTTAGGATCTATCGATCTTAGTTGCTGAGTTCCTAAGCCACCAAAAAGTTTACACTCTCAGTTTTATAGTGGGTAATCGGGTAATATTATCCCAAGAAGGTGTAAAGTGTATCCACTCAGCTACTAGGAAATACTGACATTGTTCAGTTGTATACAAACCACCCATAAACATCTAAACCATCAGCAAAGAAAACCAAGAACAACTGCTTAGAACCCCCTGACACCACAATCCAAGTATACCTTGAAACAGCCCCCAGCGACAAACCCCGCCGCTCAAACCAGCCAAAACGCAACATCCTCCATAGATTCCCAGGCCTATAACCCCGATCTCCCAAATCCCCCAACCTTTTTAAGGACTTCTATAAGGAAATCATAATAAGGCACCCTAAAATGGTAGGTTATCCAGGGTTAAGGTAAAGCTTGAACTCTACACTGCTCCGAGCCCTACAACTCTAGGCTCTAACCCCTCACATCTCCCAAATCTTGAGCCCATTACTCACTGGCCCAAAACCCAAGTTTAGGGTTTTAGCGGTTTATGGTTTTAGGAGTTTAGGGTTTAGGGTTGAAACTTTCAGAATCGACTACATTATAAGAACCCCCAAAAGTTGTGAAAAGTTGAGTTTACGGCCAATAAGATTAACCCTCAAACTGGAGTCTTGGCCTTCATCTGCTTCTCAGCACCGACGAAAGACTGGGCAAATTCAATCGGATGGCACTTGTTGTTGTCGGTGATATTGGTGTTTCCGAGTTTGTATGAGGATTCTATATGGGAGTTTCTGAAAATTAAGGGTACCGTACCTTATTTTGGGGCCCTTATAATAAGGATCCTACTAATCTAGAGTACTCTATTAGGGTCCCCTATTTTCGGAAACTGCCATATGTCGTGAGAGGACGCAGTTTCAATCCAAAGGGCTTTCGCATCGATAGTTCAAGGTTTGGGGTTAGGTCCAGGGCTAGGAATCGGCTACGAACACGTGGTACCCGGATGCAGAAGGGACTGAGAACGCAGGCAAGGTTATAAGTGCGGCTACATCGTACAAATAACATATCTCGATTCAGAGTACTTATACAACATCAAATACTTTAGCCTTCTTATCCCAAACTCAAACTTGGGCCGCAATCCTCAACCGAGTGCCTGGAACCCATTACCCAAAACAGCAAAAAACTAGCACCCCAAACCAACAAGTTAGAACAACCCCCGATTCAGAGAACTGCTTGGGGCCCGTTTAAGTGCTCAGAAGAAACCTTGTCATAAGGTGCCTTCGTCTGTTCTGCACTAGGGGTCCTCAAACAGGACAACCCTCGAACCCTAGGCCCGAACCCCAAAACTCCTGAATCCTACACCCTGGCCTCTTTATCCTGCTCGTCGGGTATCAGGGGGAACTAAAGGTTAACCTTTCTGGGTATATAGGCAATTTATAGGGACTATACTACCCCAAAAAGGTTAAAGGTTGCCTACTCTACTACTAGGCCCTGATCCCCATGCCCCGACCCCCCAACCCCGAACTCCAAGCCCCGAACCCGAACCTGAACCCAATCCCAGAAAAAGTAGATGCTTTAATGGGGGTTCCCATAAAGAACCCTTGGTAGTATGGGGCCCCAAATTAGGGGATCTACTTTCTAGATCCTCCCGGGTGCCTGGGATTTAAACTCTCGATCCCCAAAACCGTACAAAAACTTCGGCAAGGATCCGAAGTTTTTGATAAACCTTCATAGAACCCTTGAAGATCCCTTTACAGGTATCCGAAATTGAATTGGAATCTCTTGTACATATGTAGCATAGGAATGGAAATTGGTATTGGCTAACTTTATAAGGGACCGAAGACCACGAAACAGTGGGAAACAGGCCCTCTGGGAGACCTAGTTGCTTAAAATCAGGCCATACCCCAACCTACCAAACTCTACTGTTACTGCGTTTTGCAGAGTCCCTCTAAAACCTGCTTTAGGTTGTCAAGAAGAGCCTACAAAAAACAGGTTCTGGTAGTTAACATAGAGGCCTTAACAATTAGAATAGGGTTTTGGGTCCAGTATACTGCAATTTTAATAAGGAGCACCCAAAACAGATGTTGTTTATTATTGAAGCCCCTATGTTACACAAAAAATAGGTTATGGTACGGTTGGCGATATAAATCCTGCATTACCCATAGTAAAGAATAGACCATACTTCCCGCAGTTCAGGGTCCTTAAGGTAATGCAGGACTTATATCATCAAATGAAGTGAATGTGGTCCTTGGGCCTTCATTGGGGTTCCTTATATGAGTCCTACTATTTTGGGGTTGGCAGGCCCAGGGTTTCTTCATGAGGTTCCTACATCATGGTAGTACGCCTTATAGATCCCTTATAGTAACCCTTATAGATCCCTTTAAAGGAGCCCTAATAAAAGCCCAGGGTTTCTTAATCAGGTTCCTACATTAAGGCCTTCATATTATAGAACCTACTATAAACAAACCCCTGATAGATCACCAAGTTGCCAGGAGCTTGTCTGCGGTGCCACCCAGGCCGCTCTTCGATTCAGCTGCCTGATGGGGGCGGGCTATAAGACTACAAGAAGGGGTTTAGGGCTTAGGGTTCCTTGAAAGGGGTGTATAAGACCACCAAAATAGTATAGGTAGTCATTTACGCCCCTATAGTACAAGAAGGGTGGGCTTAATGTCGGGACCTGATTAAGAAACGTTGGGTTTTATTGGGGTTCCTTATATGAGTCCTGCTATTTTGGGGGTACAGGCCCAGGTATAGATCCTTAATAGTAACCCTTATAAACCCCCTTAAATTAAAGGAGCCCCAATAGAGGCCCAGGGTTTCTTAATCAGGTTCCTACATTAGTGTTTGTGGGATTTGGGATGGTTTACGGGCCGCCGCTCCAACATCGCGACCCAATTCAAAGGCGTTGAATCCTGAGCTTTCGTGAGTTCATCTGAACCCCCAACTATTATTTGCTTAAGAACCCCCCAAAAAATAAAAAAATATTCCTTCTGGGGGTAATATAGGGATTATTATTCTTATTTTTTGGGGGTTTCTTAAGCAAATAGCAGCCAAAGCTGCACCTACAACGCCTTAAGCCATCCCAAATCCCTCCTTGCAAACTTCAACCGGCTAAGTGACCCCAAATTTCGTACCTCAACTCCCACACGCCGCACTCTCAACTCCTCGACCCTAAACCCTGATGGAACCCTTCTACATCCCTTTGTGACAGAAATCTTGGCGGAATCCCAATTCATCCCTGAGCCCCTGTCCGGGTTGAAGAGGCCATAGGGCATGTCGACCATGCGTGCGTTGCCTCTCAAGTGGGAGTTCTCAAGACTATGGGACCCAAATATCGTACCCTAAATAGTAGGAGCCATATTATAAGGACCCCCCCTCATTATCGGAAGCTCTCAAGTGTTTCGTGGGGCTTTCTTGACTGCAGGTGTTACGTTCCCTGGTTTGGAGCTCAGGATGTTGGGGTGCACCTGTAGTCTCCATTGCAGTTCCTGTTTTGGGGATTACCTTAGAGGATCCTACATTTAAAACGGGTTAAACCAAAGAAAGGAACTACAATGGAGACTATAGGAAGGGTTTGGGGTGTCCGCTGTAAGTAGAGCAAATTGATTTGGGACTTGCGGGTCTGTTGCTGGTACTTAAAGGATCATGGGACTTAGTAACTAATGCTATGATTTGGGTAACTATACTTACCTGTTAAACCGTTTGTGCCTAATAAATTGGCCCAGACTAAAACGCTTACCACTTTCAGCCCTGGGGCTGATTTTATAGTGTGCTGACGGGCCTATGCCAAAAAACGCTGAACAAAACTAAATCAGCCTTCGCAAAACCCGAATGAGCGAGAAAAACCAGAATCAGCCTTCAGCTTCGATGACAGTATTGCTTTGTAGTACCCCTTGACCCAGAGAATACAACCCATTGCCCTATCTGTAAGCATAGTGTGCTTCGCCACACCTCAAGCCCAGTCCGACTCTGATTGTGGACGAAGCAAGGTTTAGGGCTGCAGGGTTTAAGGTTCAAGTTGTGTTTTAGAAGTTGAGGTCACCCAGTTTGCCTTTGGAGAAAGAATTAACATCCATAGCAAAATAGCCTTACGCTGCAAGACTACGAAAGCCGATAATCAAGCTCAACATTGACACACTCCTTAATTTGCCGGAACTTGCGTGCCAAACTTCAGAGCCCAAAGCCCGATAAGCCTTCAGAATCCCGATAAGCACCCAATCAAGATTAATCCCTCCACATTTCGCCCAATGCCGGTCGACTGATCTGGTGCTTCAGCAGCTCGGATCGATGAGCGACTCTGCCGCAGCGGGTTGCACAAGGGGCAAAATCATAGTGTTTGTTACAGGGCTTATAGTTCAGGGCTATACAAATTTTAGGGCAATTCTTGTGCCTGTCGATCCTTGCAGAGGGGCGCTGCTAACCGCCGCGAACCATTGTGCAGTGTCATCCCTTGGGCAGGGTTTTCCAATCCATCCATGTTTTGATAAGCATGCGCTCTAATGTGCGCTGTCCAGTCAATCTAGCGGATACTCGCCTGCTGACCCTTGCCACCTTTCCGATGAAGTCCTCCCCAGCTTCTGCCAGGAAGGCAGCGGGTGATAAGATATGTGTGCAGGACGGTATGTCCAGTTGCAACTTCAACCTTCTTGCCATATGCTTGAAAAGATGAAGGGATGGTTCGAGATGAAACCGGTTCTCCTTTTGCTGGTGCATCTTCTGGGCCAAGTAAACATAGGTGGCAGCAAACATGTTGACGGCTTTCCTGAGATGGGATGACAAGTTCTACAGGATGTATACTATGTTCAGGGGTTTCGGGCTCGAGTGCTGGCACGTACGGATTGCAATTGCTTTGGGTTGCATCTCTCACTCTCGCTCTTCGAATTCGTCTCCGTCTCTCTCTCTCTCTCTCTCTCTCTCTCTCTCTCGCTCGATTGGTTCCGAAGCAAACAAAAAATCAGGCGAGCCTAAGGTTGGGATTAATATCGGCGTTTGGGGTATTGGTTCGGCGGACTCAAAGTGTTCATGCAGATCGGAGTGGCCTTCTACAAGGGTCCAATTAGGGTTTGCAGGAGGGCTTGATTTTGCAGAACAGAGTTAACACATGTGCAGCCCATGATGTATTTCATACAGGTTGGGTTTCAAGGCTCGTATCGATTATAGGGTTTGTATAAACTAAAACTGAATTAGCTAGAGTACAATCAACAGAAAACAATTATACAAGTCTGCAGCTTTGCCACATTGCCTTTTGGGCTTGAGGGCGGGTCAACCAAAGGCCAGCATGGTTGATGATCTCAAAGAAATGAAGTGCGGCACAGGCACCATCGAGCATAGCATCCATGAGCTCAGGCACATCCCCAGCGAAATTGTTTTTCAAGGGTACACCCGGGCGGTTGCCGTCCTCGTCGATGGTCCCATACCGAAGCACCCGTACGATCCAGCGAAACATAAGGGTACAATCCGAGCCTTTAAACCCCCCCCAAGGGTAAAAGTTGTTCTTCTTGAAGTGGAGGATTTCTCGCGTGAACTGCTTGCAGTTAGGACAGCTTTTCAGTTCTCGGCAGCTGGCTCGGAAGTCGTCGTATGCCCTCTCCAATCGGTCTTCGACACTGTTAAGTCTGCCTGGAAATACATTCCAGAAACAAAGGCAAATGAGTACACTGGCGGTGTAGTGCCGGCCGATACCAAGTTTTACCACATGAAATGCGTCGTTGCGGAATTGCGCTTCCGGCCTGTTGGCATTGTGCGGGATAACCAGAAGGTCCGGTGGTTCCGTCCAAGGGCGTTCCACGTAACATTGTTGCTGCCACGTGGCTGTCTCTCTGCAGTCTTCCCAAGGAACATCATCCAACCCTGCTTGGCAATGGTGGCATATTCGTTTGTTTTTGCCGAGGTGAAGAAAAGTTGCCGTCAACTTCCCAGCTTTTGCCAAAGCGGGACTGTCTCCTTTGAGACCCAGACAGACTCCGAACCAAGCTTGCCCGTTCTTGTCCAAGCATCCACTGTAAAAGACATCTTTGCACTTCGTTGATATTTGCTTCATGGTATTGTGAAAAACATGAGAGTGGTCCACCTTTTTTGTTTTGCGATACCACAAGTGCGGAATGGCACTCAGAGCAAACCTGCTTCGCAAAGAGCTGCCTTTCGAAGTATGTCTCTGTGAATTCAAGCAGGCCTGGTAGTGCTCCTGAAGATTGCTGAAGTCCGTCGAGCCATACTTGTCCACAAACTCTTTTCGAGTTCCCAGACCAAACAAGGATTCCCAGGCGATGATCATCACGGGGCTTTTCCGATAGCCACGTCCTTCATCTAAGTAAAGAAAGAATGGAATGCAGAATTGCAGCCGGCCCTTGTGATGTGTGAACACCTCGTGACCGCTCTCCTCCTTTTCATATGCCCACCAAAAAGCCTTTAGGTGAAAGTGAATCTCTTCAGTCTCATCCAGGGTGTATCCTCCCAGAAGGACTCGAGGCTCTTTGTGAAGCATATATGTCATCCAGGCCCCCACATGCAGTATAGGAACGTACTTCAGTCCCTGTTTCAAGAAAGACATCGGAATATCTAGTGTCATTTGCCAATCTCGAATGATCTTGTGAAGCCTAGCCTCAGCGTGCGTAAGATCCAGTTGCGACAGAACCTTGATGCCTCTGAGGCAGCCCGGCACCTCTGCTTCAAGCGTCTTCGCCAAGGAGACCACACGGTTTGCAGGTTCCTGCGTGGGCGTACTATAGACGATTGCTGTTCGATCGATATAATCTATTGTATAGTACGATCAAGGTTTGGACTGGTGTTTCTGTTTCCATGCATTGCAATAGAACATACATGACTGATGGAACATTGGGGTCCGGCATACACAACACTTGTAAGGCTTGTCTTTTGGTTTTGGGTGGCTATACATCAGCTGGGTCCTTCTTGGGTTTTGCATGTGCATGGGGCGCACAGCAGGGGGTCCTGACTTGGAGGCTTTTGTGGGGATTGCTTCAGGATCGATCGTGATTTATGATGAATATCTGGACTTGGATTTGCATGGCTAGCTAATCGATATAGACTAATTAACATGAGACCTGGATTTGGGCGTCTTGCAGGCTTCCTAAGACTAAGAGTGTAGCGAACATGCATATACTCTACATAGGTCGCCCTTTTACTTCGTCTAACCTCTGCACAAGGGCCTGCGATTCTATTCAGGGCGCTTATACTTGGGGTGCACCGTCCGGAAATCTGTCAGTGTTGTATACCCATACAAAACTTCAAAACAACTCCCAAGCCCTGTATCCCGCATCTAGCCCATCTATAAGTGACATACCCTCTCTATATGCAACCAATGTAGAACCTCCTAAAGTCCTAAAGTCACTAGCTGAGCCCTGTGCCCCGTTCCCAAGCGAAGCGACCAGCTTCTCCGCCGTGGGTCCCGGACCTGCGAGGGCAGAGGTTTAGGAAAGGGACAATGCTATAGGGAGAATACTACGTACGGCAAGAAGAGTGAATCGGGTGCATCGCTGCACTGCTCACTTGTGCATGCAATACACTACAGAGCTTTTTTGACCAGCTGTTTGAACGACATGTTCTAGCTTTGTTCCCCATTCCAAAACTCGGTGTGCATGATTCGTTGAATCACTCGGATCGACATGAGTGCTTGCTTGAATCATGAAGCGACTTTGTCGCCCAAAAGCGGATGGCAGCAGGTTCTATGGCAGGGTCCCAGGCCCCAGGTTCTTGCCATCTCTAGAGCAGCTAGTCTACCGGCCCTGTAAAACCCTGGACAATTATGAACCCCTCCCGGGCCCTGCCCAATCCCACGCACATCCTTGAACCCTTCTGCAGCAGACTTACTTCTCTGCGGTCTTGCCACGAAGTCGGGTAGCCTTAGGCTTAGCCTTGGATTTTGGTTCAGCAGACTCATCAGCATCAGCATCCTCGGGTTTGGCGGCTGCCGGTTTAGCTTTCGCCTTGGGCGCTCTTGGCAAGGACGGCTCAGCCTTTGCCTTCGGCTTGCTGATTTTGGCGCGGCTCTCCAGCTGCAGGGCCTCCATGGCCCTCGGCTGCAGGGTTATACTTAAATTACTTATGGGCTATTTAGTTAAGAAGGGACGATTGCTTAAGCTTCCTATGGCATGGCTTTATAAGTTACCTGAAACTGGGAAGGGGTTGAGGTTGAGGGATGTCGACGATATATAAATTGAATTTATAGATGATATGGATTGATATTTTATTCAGGAGGGTCTAGGTTTCTGAATGACGACAAGGGTTGGAGTCCACAGGGCATGTGTTTATAGATAGGGTTGTTGTG